TAATTTAAGAAAAGTGAGGTCAAGGTCAAAGGAAAGGTCAAGGTCAAAAAATGTTGCTGCAGTTGAATAGCTCTCATCAGTATGTATCAGCATATGAAGTTTGATAACACTATCTTGAATGGTTTCATTAAAACTGAGCTAAACACTAATTCAGAGGTCAAGGTCAAAAGAAAGGTCAAGGTCAAAAAATGTTGATGCAGTTGAATAGTTTACATCAGTATGTATCAACATATGAAGTTTGATTACACTATCTTAAATGGTATCTTTAAAACTGAGCTAAACACTAATTTAAGAAAAGTGAGGTCAAGGTCAAAAGAAAGGTCAAGGACAAAAAAATGTTGATGCAGTTGAATAGTTTACATCAGTATGTATCAACATATGAAGTTTGATTACACTATCTTGAATGGTATCTTTAAAACTGAGCTAAACACTAATTTAAGAAAAGTGAGGTCAAGGTCAAAGGAAAGGTCAAGGTCAAAAAATGTTGATGCAGTTGCATAGCTCTCATCAATATCTATCAGCATATGAAGTTTGATAAAAATATCTTGAATAGTTTCTTTGAAACTCAGCTTTGAACAGAGCTAAACGCAAAGTGTGACGGAAGGACAGACAGAAGGATGGAAGGACGGAAGGACAGAAGGACGGACATGACAAACACTATATGCCCCGGCCATATTCATGGCGGGGCATAAAAAAATTCTGCTTGCCCAGATTCAAAATTTTTGTTGTATCATTTTATTCCATTTACATTTCATAATGAATTGCTCTTTTCATATTTCTTCCGTTTATTTTCTCTTTTTGTACTTTCTTCTTGAGTCTTTTAATAAATCAATAAACAGAGAAAATATTTAAGTCTGAATTTAATCAAATGCACAATCATGCTATAGATACCTTATAACGAGATAGTATACATTATTTGATTCTTTTTCATTGCTAGGGGATTTAAGGGCAAAACTTGGAAATTCACTAGCCTATTGGGCTACTTCTAAAACAATTATTACTACTACTAGCCCACACCAACTTTAACTAGCCTTGGGTCTCAGGCTAGTGAGTTTTCGTGTAGCTGCAGATCTGTAGCTGGTGGTCTGAAAAAAATTGGGATGGATGACCAGAGAGCTACAGTGCAACCCACTGAAAAAAAGTATATTTATTGTGCACAAAAAAGGGCGATGTTTCTCGATTTATTTCTCCATATATATCAAAGTACCATCTCAAAATATTACAAAACCATGTGTTCCTAACACATTTTTTTTAATCACTACTTCCTCAATAAAACATTTCCCAAAACCGTTGTTAATAGCCTTCCTGGAACTGAAAATGAGACCATCGAGAATTTCGATAATAATTTAAACAAACTTGATAGATCTAAGGTTGCCTGTGTAAAAATAACTAAATAATAATGGCTTAGAAGTTCTTGATAAGAAGATTTTTAAAGATAAAGTCGAACACAGATATCTCTAATACCATGGATATGTTGAAGTGATCAGAAAGTCCTAACCACATATTTCATAAGTATTTTACCCTTGATATCCCGAACCCTCTGATATCTCCAAGCTTTTTCTCGGCCCAATTGAGTGCGAGATTACAAAGTTTGACTGTATTTCCTGTATGATCAGGTTCTTTCGGATATATAGGTTTTCGTTTTACCCTGTCTGAGTTTAAGGTTGGAATGATTATTAAAACAGCTCTGTCTTAGGGTAAATCACATAGTACTTAAATTTTCTCTTATCTAGAGACGGGGACTGGGTAAGGTACTATTTGCACCATGTTTCTCCCCTAGGTTTCTACTTGAAAGATAAGAACAGGGCATCTCAATCTTCTTCAGATTTACTACATCCAGAACTTAACATCAATTCCCTAGGATACTTGCCATGTGTTGCCAATGTAGTAAAATAAACGGGCAGATAATTCTAATCTACACATTTTCTATGAATAATCCAGAGTTCTGAATGTCAGTATGGCATGTAAATTTGAAGTGAGAAAAGAAGGTTGAGAAATGAGTTGAATTTTTGTCTTTAAAGACCCAATTTTTTTACCGTACGGTTACCTGAGGAGGGGGAGTGGTCTTGGTAGTACTGATGTTATTTACCTGGAGAGCCCCAATACTCAAGATGTCAAAAATCCCTATACACGCTGCATTACACAGGAAGTCCGGCTTTTGATAATCAGGGTCAACATTACGCATTTTGTGCATAATTTTGAGTGAAAATATTTAAATAAATTATGTACTGAAATATAAAATTTGTAGACTTAGCGTTTTCGTCGATATCTTTTGAAAAAATAAAAGACATATCTTTTTTAACAATCGTAAAATTAAAAAAAAAAACCGCGTGAAAACTATAAAGCAATCATATCAATATTTTAATCGCCAATAAAAAGAAATTATTATAAAATATTAAGTGTGAATATTGAAATAAAAGATTCCACTTATTGTGTGGACATTTGCCACGATCAGAATATTATTTACTTTTCTGGCGAACAATGGTGTCCAAATATTCGCCATTTCCGAAGGTCCGTGTACTTATGCCCTGTTTACAGGTTTGGATACAAAAAGAATCTTTCGTAATTCATGGCGTTAGATACAAGATACTTTATCTATATTAGTATAAATAGCTTTTCTTATTTAATCCATTGCATTTTGTTATAATTTTCAAATGGTGGGGAAGGGATCGATTGTTTTACAATTACGGCGAATTGAATTTCTGTGTACCCGAGTCAAAGGTCGACAAGGGCATTACGTACATTCTTAAAATCAAGGCACAGGTTGAATAAGGGGCTCCGAAGAATTATCGGTCTGTGCTGCTACAGAAACTTTTTCTCTCTCCGAATCTCAGTTAATGAAGGAATATATGGCTTGAATATCCGCTAATTTTTCTTCGAAAAGTTCTATTGTTTCTTCGAAAAGTTCTATTGTTATCTTGGACGTCATATCGCTAACAAGTACAAAATAGCAGTGGAAATAGAAAAAAAATCACGGAAGTCACTGTTTAATTATCTACTCTCAATTATTTTTAAAAAATATAATTATCAACCAATATAACAGCGATATGATTTTTTTTAACCAGAGTGTATACAAAGCGACCTTTCACGCGGTACATAAAAGTGTTTGACGTGTGTCGAGGTAATTGTTTTCAAGACATGCAAACTCAGATTATCAGGTAGCCCACGTAGCTGGCCCGTCAATCAAATCAGAAGCTATTGTTTTTTTAATGATTGACAGGCGGTATAATATTCATCTTGAATTAGGTAGATTTTGGGGGCGTTAACATAAAATTGGGTGTTTAAATGGATTACTGTTTAGAGTAGAAGCATATAAAAGCTCAAAAAGGTTCGTTATGATTAATTTGGTAGTTATTTTCAGTGTAACTCCTTTTCTACTCCTCAAAATTGTTTTGGATTGTATGTATCCACTTCAATTTGCTATATTAACTATATGGAACATATTCTAACTGTGGTGGGAGCTTGTCCCAAGACACATTTGGATTGTTCTTGTCACTATTACCCCTATTAGCCAACCCAATACTATTGAAGATGAAAAGTACAAGCATATCAGGTTGGGCACACCCCACCAAATGGTCATTTATCCCCCGTTTGGTGGACAATCTCCCATATCGGAGACGTATTTTACTGACCATTTGGGAAAGAAAAATGGCTGTGTTCAATTCTATAGAATGGCGTGGAATGGCGCATAATTTTAAACCATGTGGAATAAAATATCTATATTTATCGGTGTTCTGAGTGAAAAAAATCGGAAATTCAATATGTAATTTTTTGCGCAGAGTCGTTCAAAAATTTGACAAAAAACGTCACGTACGTAAACAAGTGAAACGTTTCTCAGTTTTTACTTAAAAAGAAAATTCCCTCCTTCTCCAACTATGCTGCACCTGTCAATTATGTTCTTTACTTTATATTTCAATTATCCGGGCAACCAGTCAAATAATGCAAACCAATAAAAACGATGATCTTTTTTAACCTGGTCAAAAGTCGGATTTAACTACGGAGGCACATTTGTGTTGATTTTCAATTAGGAAATCAAAGGAAAAATAAGTTTTCGCCGTTATTTGATATATTTTGTACGTAATGGCTTTGTTCTTTATAAAAATAGTAAATGAAGTTAGATTATGATATAATTATTGTTTTAAAACGATGTACTTGGAACAAAAACAAGAATAATTGTAAAAGTCACTTTGTAAATCTTTTATTGAAAATTATTTATCAAATATATTAAATTCATCAGTAATATACATATTAAACCACAAAAGGTCGCATGGAATATGGAACTTCATCCTAAAAGAAAAATAACAACAGATATTACGTTCAAGTCTAGAAAAAATTAAATTTATAGCATTAAGTGGCCACCATACCAGTAAAGTAATGAGGAGCTCGTGTTTAACGGGATTTTATGGAAATAAATATTGACGAAGATCCAAAAAGCGATTGAAATTTAACTTATCAAGAGTTAAACCACTGGATAAAATAGAATTTTTATCCTACTAGACACAATCAAAATTTTTTTGATCGATTGATAACGAAGTTAGGCTGTTACGGACAACTATGGGTATCGTTTTCAGGAAGTTATGGAGAAATTGCACATGGAAAATCGACCGAACTGTGTAAATTGTGCAAGGAATATGTTCACTAAAATTCCCCAATGCCTAAGTAAATGCGCTTTTGCTTTAATTTAATAAAATTTGGAATAGAATAAAAAAGTCCACCATTTGGTCAGTAAAAGTCGTCTCCGATACGGGAGATTGTTCACCAAACGGGGGATAAATGACCATTTGGTGGGGTGTGCCCAACCTGCATATATCAATATGGCCTTCAGTTACTCCAACTTATGGGTAAGTTAAGTGCTTAACTGTAAAGTAATCAGCTTACGAATATTATGTGTACACGTGGAAAAAATATCTTTGATAAAAAAGTCTATATTCGTTTATGAAAATCTATCAGTCTATATGGATATATTTTTCAAGGGGTCATAGATAAATATTGTGACTTACGATGGCAGTTTGAATATTATGCTTCCTGAAGGAGGGACTGCAGATGAAATTACTTTTTCTCACCAGACAGTAAACGAGACTAACACTGGCGAAAATTTTTCAAGCTAGTAATGTTTCAACTAGATCTATACTATTGCTGATGTGTGAACTTCCAACTTCCAGTCAACATTTACCATGTCACAAAAATGTTTGTATACGATATCAAAGACTAAAACAAAGAAAATCGGATAAAACGGAATATGATATCAATGATAAGCGATTAAATCACAAATATTTTCTGAATATGGTTCATTCATATTAAAATGATTTTTCATTCCTTTATTCTTGTGAAGATTCTTACTTTTAGACTGATTCAAACAATTTTTATTCTCTATGAACTCAATAATGCTTAAAACATTTTTGCCATTGTTTACAAGCGCGCAATTGACTCCGATTGATGGATGACACAGATGGAGGAAAATTTGTATGAAGTTTTAAAAAGAGTGTTTAAGCACAAGAGCTTTAAGTCTGACTTGCAGAAAAGGGCTGTGAAATGTGTGTTTGAAGGTATATTTATATTTTTTACTTTTTCTATCAATGTTAATCACATAGGCATTCATCAGTTAAAAATATTTCTACTGTAACCGAAGATGACCATGATTCGAACCCCCCCCCCCCCCCCATTCTCGAATCATAATCAGGTGCTCTACCAACTGAGCTATCTGGCCACCAGGGATCGAACCAACCTGATCAACACATTCCTTCCTCTGTAAATGTCTTTACCACAGGCACGTGTTTCGTATACAGGGTACCCCAACTTATTTTTACCACAGGGTAAGTAACTCAATTTCATGCACCCCCGCTTCAAGCTTGTATTTTGTTAATAATCAGTCATTAACCTACTTTAAAAAGACATTGTTTGCTACGAGAGACTTTTTTTCTTGTCAAAGAAATTTCAGACGTCTCTGGTCGAACCTCTTTATTGTAAACCACTCATTTATTCCTTGAAAATTACCTCGATACATATTAAGACTTTTGGTGGGATACAAACTTCAGGTTGGGTGTAGGATAAAACCAGAGACTTTCGAGTATTCCATTCTGAGGTCTCTGGTTTTATCCTTCATTTATAACCCCAACCTTGTGGTAAAAATAAGTAGGGGTGCCCCATATACGAAACAAGTGCCTGTGGTCTTTGCCCCTGGAAGATAGCAACCCAGGCTCTTCCTTATGAGGTCCTTCTCCGGAATTTCTCCTTCACCTCTTACTTCCAGAGCAGGGCACAGCACCAGATGTAACTGCTGAGGGTAGAGGAGAGAGATGTGACAGACCAGACCAGGATTTGAACCCGGGCCTCTGAATCAGAATCAGGACATCCCCCACCCCACCCCCCGGCCAAGAGATCTTGCCCCCAACACTATTACAGACAATTAACCCCCCCCCCCCCCCACACACACACACACACTATATACAATTTAGGACAACTAGCCCCCACTCAAGACAGCTCGCCCCCATTTTTTTTCTTGTGAATTGCAAGAAAAAACAACCACTATTCATTTAGTATATTTTATATTCGAATGTAGACCAGTATTAATGATTGTGATTTTTGTTATTTATTTTTTTCACGCATTTACATGTCATTGATATGTTTGCATATCTGTCAACATGGCCAAAATTTTCTGGGGGAGAAAACATGTGACAACCTTTTGCAAATACAAAAAGTCACTCATTTCACTGTATAAGAAAAGAGAAACTAAACAAGATAAGTTTTTTTTTTTTTATTAATTTATAAAATTTACAACTTTTTATTCATAGTTTGGTTATGAGTACCATGTGATTTTTGAATTATAAAAAAAATTAATGTTCTTCAATGTATAGTATGTATGTCCATAAGAGTGTCATTTGAATAATATTCATGGCAAATGTCATAGTTCAACTTGGCAATTAGAAAAAAAGGGACTGCAGACAGTCTGAGTTTCCAGCTTTTAACTGATGGATTTGATTTTTCTCACTAGGGAGCAAGGGTTGTGTCCTGGATTTAAAGATCTGAAATTGAAAAGAATTGGAAATATAGTCAAAGCTTAATGCTTACATTGTTTAAAATTACATGTGTAATCTAGTATGAATGAAATACATGGATTCCCAGACCCTGTATTCTTTTGTTTACTCTCAATACATATTATATCTGTAGTAATGTTCTAATATGCTAATTTTATATCTTACACACTTTTAAGTAAGACTTAAATAATTAAGACTTTTTTTAAAAAAAAATTGATTGTCTATATATATAAAGCACCTTGTCCACATTTAAGTGTTTAAACATCTTAAGGAGGGCAACTGGGTTTTTCATTGTGCAGTTCTTCGCACAGCATAGTAAAATAAAGTGTATTTACTCTTTTAAAGCAATTTTTTTTCTATAATTTATAAAAATTAAGAAATTAAGAAAATCTCAAGTTAAAAAATCTAATTACATTTTTAAATAAATGAGTTTTTAAACAATTTTTCAAATGATGGGTAGATAGACGTGGTAATAGTGTGTTTCTGGCGTTATGAATAACCGAAGTTCTGTAAGCGGGGTCATTAATTATGTCATAAAATAAAAAGTATAAAATAGATGCTATTGAAATTTTAAACATAGGAAATTGAGAATCTCACAATCATTTTGTGGTATCTGTCATGTTTTGTTGTACTCCATAAAATATCATGAATTTTGACATTTTGAGATGCCCCCTCTGGAAACCAGATGGTAGAATTTTGTGTTTCTTGCATAAAATGTACAATATAGTATTACCCATCAAATAATATAATTTGAGCAAAAAGTCTTTAGTAGCATTTGTATAATTGCTCTGAAGTGGGAAAAAATGGTGTTTTCCTATATAATCTTATAGGAAATGTACCTGTATTTTGAGATGGTCCCTAAAAAATAACCAGATGGTAGTTTTTCACTGAATTTGGCATATATACTGAAGTCAATGTAAGGTACATATGGTATAAAATTAAAGATTTTCTCTGTAGTAGTTTTCACACAATGAAACCCCAGTAGGCTCTCTTAATTATTTACTGGTATTAATGAAAATTAAAGTGCAAATGACGGCGTTAGGAAACATGATAATGATTATTACTAAAATCAAACAGGGCTGTCATTCTCTCTGATTTGGGTCAGATAAACAGACCCTTTCCAATTGGGACCCCCCCCCCCCAAAAAAAAATTCTCCAATTAATTTATCTATTTACACTAGGGATGGCAATTTGTAACCGATTAACCGATTACTCGGTTGGAACGATGGCAATCGATTAGAAAATCTGTAATCGGTTAATCGGAAAAAATAAAATATTTGTTAAACTGAACACATTTTTTAAAAATTCATTTAGAAAAAAAAGAAATCTCTGCAAAAAGGATGATCATTTAGGATTTAATGGATCTAATTTGGATGTACAGGTAATTATGAATTTCTAGATTGAGACCGTAGCGTAATTGGTCAGTTTATGTAGTGTTAATTACTGTGAATACACCATGTCGTTACCCCGACATCCTGTAATTCTTTAATGATAATAATTGAATCATTGAGCACTGTGAATTGGCGTGTTTGTCATTTTCAGTTTTCAATTCAATTTAATTATTAAAAAAACATTGTAAATTAAGGGCTAAAGAGTTCACATGTAGTTTTGATTATCATAGTGAAAATGCAAAAAGAACTTTTGTGACATCTGTTCTGGAAAATTATCAAAGATTTCTTAGGCTTTTTTCATGGCTTTCTCAATTTTTTCTTGTCTACTGGAACTTAAATAAAAAAAAAATGTACCTGTAGTTTTCTGATCCGGAATCAAGACTAATGGAATGTTTTAACTTCTATGGTCTTATTTGGGTCTATTTGTGTATATGGACAGAGCTACTTGAAAAACAATTGTCAAGAAAACATTTGATACGATTAACCTGTTAATCGGTCGGAACGTCTTGCGGTTAACCGATCAGCAATTTTGTAATCGATTGCCATCCCTAATTTATACATTCCAGTATATTGCGATTCGTTAACAAAAAATATCGTATTGTGATACCTTTTTCCAGTATACCGGCAAAATGATTGGGCTTTAGATTTATGAAGTAAAATATGAAATTTAAGATGTCAGAAATGTTTTCAATCGTGCTAAACAGTACCAAACAGTAAAGGTTTCTGTTGTATGGTTGCATTTCATTGCCAAACTGTAGTGAAATCAAATAGAACATTTTTGTTACAATGTATTTGTAAAAGTTTTATACACTGTGCTATAAATGGAGGTTAAAAAATAAGAAAAGAGCATTTTAACTGTTATTAAAAATATTGCAATACATATTGCAATACAGTTCCAAATACATGTATCACGTCTTTATATGACCATCATGCTACTATTCTGTAGGACAAAACATTAACAGAGATGTAAATAACAATAATGGTTTTTATGAAATATTCATGTCTCTGATATTACATTGCTTAGTAGATTTTTGATGTGGTGTGCCTATAGTTATATATGCATATATGTCAGATGATGAAACAATATGGGGTGTTACAGAGTTTTCTAAGCTTCCCTAAAAAAGTCTGTCTCAGTAAGAATAACCTAACTTTGTCTAAGGACATGCCTGTATCTGACAGTTAGAATACATCAAAGTTTATCAAAATTTTGAATGTACTTTCATGTATTTTCAGGAAAACATGATGTTTTCATTTCCATGCCAACAGGGGCTGGTAAGTCTCTCTGCTATCAGCTTCCAGCTGTTGCCTCGGCTGGGGTCACTTTGGTGGTCTCTCCACTCATTGCACTCATGCAAGATCAGCTGGATCATCTAGACCTTCTTAACATCCACGCAGAAACCATCAATAGTAAGATGACAGCCAAACAGAGAGCCAGGGTTGTGGCAGATTTAAACAAAAGCAAACCAAGCACCAGACTTCTCTACATAACTCCTGAGCAAGCAGCATCAGAGGGCTGTAAATCAATAATAGAAGGACTTGTGAAAAGAAGAATTTTGAAATATTTCATCATAGACGAAGCTCATTGTGTGTCACAGTGGGGACATGACTTCAGACCTGACTATCTAAAGCTTGGTTCTTTTAGAAAAATAATGCCTAATGTACCATGTGTAGCATTAACTGCCACTGCAACAGCACGAACAGTGGAAGACATTATCCAGCAGTTAAAACTCAAAGAACCTGTGGCTAAGTTCAAAAGTAGCTGTTTTAGGTCAAATATCTATTATGATGTTGTAATGAAAGATGTTGTCCATGACCCATATGAAGATTTGATGAAATTTGCACTAACAGCACTAGGAAGAGAGTCTTTCAGCAAGGAAGAGAATTCCTTTATAGAAAATTGGGTAAATCAGCTTACATATGCAGTTGTATGATAGAAAAAGTGTAATTTGAATATCTAATAGAAGTAAGACATGTCATAATTACAGATGAGGAGTTTAATATGCAAAATTTTCATTTATATCTTTTACTTAATGCTAAATAATGTATGGTAATGGCTCAAGTTAGCATATTTGATCAAATGTTGATGTTGTCCCAATCATTTTAGACAGAATTTGGATGTGGCATTGTCTACTGTCGAACAAGAGATGCCTGTGCAGAAGTGGCATCTCATCTGACAAGAAAAGGTGTATTAACAAAGCCATACCACGCAGGACTGAAATCGGATGTCAGAGAAACAGTACAAACAGACTGGATGGAGGGCAAGTTTCCTGTGATGGCTGCCACAATCAGCTTTGGAATGGGGATAGACAAACCTAATGTTAGGTAGTACATGTGAACATATTCTGGTAGACAGCAATTATCAGTTTCTTGGTTTCTTTGTATAGGTATCATATTCACTTACATGTAAGTCAGATTTTTTTTGGAGTAACATTTTGGTTCAAAACTCTGGTACAGACTTATGAGTCCTAGAAACATCAATATTTTTATGCCCTGCCATGAATATGGCCAGGGCATATAGTGTTTGTCATGTCCGTCTTCCGTCCTTCTGTCCTTCCGTCCTTCCGTCTGTCCTTCCATCACACTTTGCTTTTAGCTCTGTTCAAAGCTCAGTTTCAAAGAAACTATCCAAGATATTTTTTTCAAACTTCATATGCTGATAGATATTGATGAGAGCTATGCAACTGCATCAACTCTTTTTGACCTTGACCTTTCCTTTGACCTTGACCTTACTTTTCTTAAATTAGTGTTTAGCTCAGTTTTAAAGATACCATTCAAGATAGTGTTATCAAACTTCAAATGCTGATACATACTAATGAGAACTATTCAACTGCATCAACATGTTTTGACCTTGACCTTTCCTTTGACCTTGACCCCACTTTTCTTAAATTAGTGTTTAGCTCAGTTTTAAAGATACCATTCAAGATAGTGTAATCAAACTTCATATGTTGATACATACTGATGTAAGCTATTTAACTGCATCAACATTTTTTGACCTTGACCTTTCTTTTGACCTTGACCTCACTTTTCTTAAATTATTGTTTAGCTCAGTTTTAAAGATACCATTCAAGATAGTGTTATCAAACTTCAAATGCTGATACATACTGATGAGAACTATTCAACTGCATCAACATGTATTGACCTTGACCTTTCCTTTGACCTTGACCTCACTTTTCTTAAATTAGTGTCAAACTTCATATGCTGATACATACTGATGAGAGCTATTCAACTGCATCAATATTTTTTCACCTTGACCTTTCCTTTGACCTTGACCTCACTTTTTTTAAAATTAGTGTTTAGCTCAGGTTTAAAGAAACCATTCATAATATTTTTATCAAACTTCATATGCTGATGCATACTGATGTAACCTTTTCAACTGCATCAACAATTTTTGACCTTGACCTTTCCTTTGACCTTGACCTTACTTTTCTTAAATTAGTGTCAAACTTCGTATGCTGATACATACTGATGTAAGCTATTCAACTGCATCAATATTTTTTCACCTTGACCTTTCCTTTGACCTTGACCTCACTTTTCTCAATTTGTGTTAAAATATTGCATTACTAATATACCCTCAGCGGGGCATTCATGTCCTATGGACATATTTCTAGTTGTGGATGATAAAATGTAGTAAATGTATTTTCTGCATAACTTTGACAATTAACGCTGACAAAAGTCAGCTAGGACATATTCTTAAGATCCTTACATGCAGGAAAGAAACATCCAATTTTACTTCATGTATATACATTAAGTACAAATGTTAATAAATTTAATAATTAATTTTTGTTGCTGTATGAAATTGGCCGCTAATTCATGAAAAAAAATTGCTCTGACTTTTAAGATGGTCAATGGCAAATTCCACCAAAATCACCTGAAAAATTACAACCAGGGATAGACAAATGGAATTTTTCAGTACTTGCCCTTGGACAGGCTACCATCTTAAAATTACTTGTCCTACTAAAAAATCAAAAACTTGCTTGTCCCACCTTTTTCTTAAATAACACAAAATTAAAGCATTATCATTAACATTAAGGACTCACCTAGATCCCAATTTCCCAATTAAATCACTTAACTCTCCCAGGGAGAATTTAGGGGAAATGTCTAATTCTAGGGAGACTTCTTAGCATGTGCAGTGAGCATCGATTATTAAACTTAAAATTTTAAGTACATGTCAATGTGCTTAAAATTTGATGCATACACATTTCTCTGTATTATTTACAATGTAAATGAAAACAAAAAATAATATCTTCATTATTTTATTATGAAAAACACTCCTGAATGTTGATTGAACGACTGACTTCATGATTGTGTGTGATCGCCAGTCAACAGCTCCAACTTTAATACCAGTAATGAGTTTGTATCATGTATTCACAGCATTTATTTTACATTTTGGCAATAAAAAGGTCTAAAAATCCTCTTCAACTATTTAGACAACTCGGGGGCTGCCAGAGAATACATGCTCTCCTCATGTAAAAAAACTTCCAAACTGATCATAATAGAGAAATTTAACCACTATAAAATAGCTAAGATACTGCAGTCATTATTTTATGGTAATCTTACTGTATACTTGGAGAGAGATGTGCAGTTTTGATGAAAACTTTTTGCAGATTTGTTGCTCATTGGACAATACCCAAGTCAATGTCAGGTTACTATCAGGAATCTGGACGTGCAGGGAGGGACGGGGCACAGTCATACTGTAGGATGTATTATTCCAGGCGTGAGAGGGATACCGTGGCATTCCTTATCAATCAAGAAAACTCAAGGTTTACTGTAAGGATGTAGAAATACTTCAAATGAGTTTCACTGTGAATGGTATTAATTTAAAAAAATGATGATCTGATGTCAGCAGAACTTGATTTTTTTCTTTTAGGTTAAGCTCACTTTATATAGACTGCATAAGTCTCCATAAATTTTATATACTGTATATCAGGTTATATTTGCCCAATGTTATTTTTTGCCCTTTCAAACAATTTTGCCCCATTTTAAATTCGCCCAGTCAAAATTCTGTTGAAGAAATAATACTGTGTTCTTTGAATTCACCCCTTTTAAAATCGCCCACCTGTGAGTAGGGCAAAAGGGACAAAAATAAAATGGAGGCGAAAATTTCCTGTATACAGTATGTAGATTATCATATTTACAGTAAAACTTGTTTAGTACGAACATGGATATAGCGAATTTACGGATATAGCGAAGTTTTGGAATACCCGGCAAAATTCTTAACAATTCCTAGTAAAATTTTAGGGATATAATGAACTCAGATATAGTGAATTTATGGTTATAGAGTACTGGTTAAGTGACCATTCTCCTTCTAGTTATTTTCTTGCAGCATTGCGTTTTAAGAAAGATAGGTGACTATATTTTTATATTTCTATATATATATATATATTTTTTCTATATAATTTTTTTTAGAAAAATGCGGAAGCTCAGAAAGTAAGGAAGAAGTCTGCCGAGAGTGGTTTTGATGCCATGGTTAAATATTGTGAGAGCTTAAGGTATGACACACAAGATTGTTCAATCTTTTCAGGCTTCTCCTGAGTTCGTTGGTGAATAATTCTATAGACTGTTAGTGTACAATTTACATAGTACATGGCTATTCCTTCCTTGATTAAAATTCATTTGCAACATATAATATGTGCAATGGAATTGACTTTCATGAGCATTTAGCATAATGATCTTCATGATCAAAAGTTCTAAATGTGTAAAGTGTGTGCAAACCATATTTTGAATATTGGAAATACTTAATATTTATACTTATTAATAGGCTATTATTTGGTCAAGAAGAAGGTACAGTTTTAGCTTTAATTGTGTGTAACATTTAATGTTTTCAAAGTTTCAAAGTTTTGAAACTGACTTAGATATTAGTTGAGTATATGACTGTGATAAATCAGGAAAGAATATAGCATGAAGGAGTACCATTCTGGAAATATGACTTCATACAGTAAATTTGATGCATTTCTCTATTTTAAACAGAAAAAGCCTCAAAATGACCAATTTCTAGGGTAATTTTCTTTAAGAAAATACATGTAGTGTCCACAGCCGTCGCCCACTTTAATTTTTAGCTCACCTGAGCCGAAGGCTCAAGTGAGCTTTTCTGATCGAAATTTGTCTGTTGTCGTCGTTGTAAACTTTACACATTTTCATCTTCTTCTCAAGAACCACTGTGCCAATGTCAATTAAACTTGCCACAAAGTATCCTTGGGTGAAGGGGATTCAAGTTTGTTCAAATGAAGGGCCACACCCTCTTCCAAGGGGAGATAATTATGAATTAGTGAAAAATTAATGGCATATTTTAAAAATCTTCTTCTCAAGAACCACTGGGCCAGGAAAGATGAAACTGATGTGGAAGCATCCTCATGTAGTGTAGATTCAAGTTTGTTCAAATCATGACCCCCAGGGGAAGGGTGGGGCCATAATGGGGGATCAAAGTTTAACTTAGGAATACATAGGAAAAATCTTCTTCTCAAGAACCACTGGGCCAGGAAAGATGAAACTCATGTAGAAGCATCCTCTGGTAGTGTGGATTCAAGTTTGTTCAAATCATGACCCCTGGAGGTAGGGTGGGGCCACAATGAGGTATCAAAGTTTAACATAGGAATACATAGGAAAAATCTTTAAAAATCTTCTTTTCAAGAACCACTGGGCCAGGAAAGATGAAACTCATGTAGAATCATCCTCTGGTAGTGTAGATTCAAGTTTGTTCATATCATGACCTCCGGGGGTAGGGTTGGGCCACAATGGGGTATCAAAATTTAACATAGGAATACATAGGAAAAATCTTTAAAAATCTTCTTTTTAATAACTACGGGGCCAGGAAAGATGAAACTCATGTAGAATCATCCAATAATCATCTGGTAGTGTAGATTCAAATTTGTTCAAATCATGACCCTCGGGGGTAGGGTGGGGGCACAATAGGGGATCAAAGTTTAACATAGGAATACATAGGAAAAATCTTTAAAAATATTCTCAAAAACCACTGGGCCAGGAAAGATGAAACTCATGTAGAAGCATCCTCAGATAGTGTAGATTCAAGTTTCTTCAAATCATGACCTCTGGGGGCAGGGTGGGGCCACAATGGGGTATCAAAGTTTAACATAGGAATACATAGGAAAAATCTTTTTCTCAAGAACAGCAAAGCCATGATTGGTCATAGTTATATGGAAGCATCCTCGGGTAGTGTAGATTCAAGTTTTTTCAAATCATGACCGCCGGGGGTAGAGTGGGGCCACAATGGGTGATCAAGGTTTTGCGTAGGAATACATGGGAAAAATTGTTAAAATTCTTCACAAGGACAACAAAGCCATGATTGATCATGAATATAAAAGCATCAAAAAAGGTAATTTAGATTTAAATCTGTTCAAATTATGACCAATCAGGAGAATAGAGGAGCCATTAAAGTGGATCATAACAAAGGAAAACAAAGGTTATATCAATAAAAATTTTCATCTTATAAACAGCAAAGCCATTATGTGTCATATTAATTCAAAAGCATCCTTAGGAAGTGTAGATTTAAGTTTGTTTAAATCTCCCCCCCCCCCCTCCCCCGAACCCACTTTTATATTTAAACTTTTCAATACTGAACTAATATTTGCTTTTACCTAGCCAGTTCCTCAGGTGAGCGATGTGGCCCCTGGGCCTCTTGTTGGATATGTTATGTAAAATTCTTTGAAAAATCACATATCTCAAAATCTTTGTGGGTGATGCCTGTGGACAATATTATCTGAAAGAAAATTCCATTGAAAATTTGTGTCTTCTGTACCTTTTTAAGAAAATATGTGAAAATGACAAGTTTATGACGTCACATTTACCATTTAGAAGGTCATGTGAGAAAAATGATTTGTGTGATCTTTCTGCATGGAATTTCAATGATTCAGAAAGCTTGAGTTTTAATTTTTTACATCACTTTCATTTTTTAAGAATAACACAGGGCAAGATTTGCATTGAAACCATACCTTGTTCTTTAAGCTGCAGACATTGGTCCATATCCAAATATTTTGGAGATGAGAAGCCAGAGTGTAACAATATCTGTGATGTCTGTGCTGAACCAAAGAAGGTGGAGAAAGCCATGGAAGACATGCAGAGAAGTGCTTATGGTAGTATGAAGAAGGGGGTACCTGGTGGGGCTATGTACACTGTGTCAGAGGAGGATGAAGAGATGTACGAAGGAGGAAGAAGAGGTGCAAAGAGGTAAACAAATCAGACAACTGGAAACTTTGAAATGTTTGATACTTTCCAATGATGAGCAAATGTTATCTTTTTCTTACCAAACGTTTGCATTTCAGTTTTCTTTCTACTGTTCAATATAAAATCAACATTGATTCACATATAACATTTATTCCTAGCTTGCATATATTTAATTTATAATTGTGTTTTATAGAATTAATTTTATACGAATATCAAAAACATTAATGATTGCAGATATTTTTTGTACATGTGCATCATTTTCTTTTCATACATAAACATTATTGCAAATAAAATTGATCTACAGAATTAAATCTAAAAAACAGAGAACTGAATAAAGCTAATAAAAGATCTGTTCAAACATAGAGGAGTTTATTTATGAGGTAAATATTAGTAATTTTATTTGTTAGTTTTGAGAGTTTCCTCTGAGTGAAGTCCTCATATTACAGGGATTATGATGAGTATGGAGATGAGGAATATTCTGAGTATCACCGTGACCAAATGGAGCGTGAAACGGAACAGAGACAGAGGAGTGCACTTATAGCAAAGGAATTCCAAAAACGCAAAGTAAGGCTATTTAAACATTACATAAAAGTTATTGCAATAGGTTACCAGGTACTTGATCTAGCAAACTATTGACAGCTCAGTAGAGCATGTTTGATATAATTATATACTGGGTATATGGAATTTAAAAGAGTGCTTGGTGTTACCAGATTTTATACGCCTGTCTTTAGACGGGACGTATTATGTTATGGTGTTCATGTCCGTCCAGCTCATAACTTTAATACTTTTAGCCTAGGATTATCAAACTTTGTCAGCTGATACTTCTTGGGTAGAAAGTGTGTCACACACTAAAAGTAGGTCGCTCTGACCTTTAATTAAGATGCTATGGCCAAATATGGAAAAATCCTGTCCAGCTCATAACTAGAAAACTATTGGACTTAGAATCATCAAACTTAGCCAATTTATGCATCTTAGGTAGAAGGTGTGTCGCGACCTATTTCAAGGTCACTGTGACCTTTAATTTAAGTGAAATCAAAAAAAGTCTTTTTACTATTAGATTACACAATCCCAAAAAATGAAAGTGTTGCAGTATCCTTATTAAAAAAAAAAGTTAAATCAAGAAAATACATATTTTTTTCATTATATACTTTACAGCAATCTATAACAAATGTAATGTTACGAGAGAAATTCCATCTCTCTCAGGGGTGTAATTATCAAGCACTGGTCAAGGAGAATTTGATAACAGAAAATTGCACGTCAAATTAGAAAGAAATTAATGAGTTTAGTGTGAGGAGCTAACTGGTAGAGCATCTCTGATCAAGCAGGTATTATCTATATCTCTTGGGAACTGGGCAAAAAGAATCAGCCGTTGGATTAAATAGTTGGCTAGCCTAATTTGGTGAAAAGTAATTAAAACTTATTTGATATTTTATAATAAATGAATTTGATATTGTATAATAAACTAATTTGATATTGTATAATTAAAAAACTAATTATACCCTATATTGGAATGAATTGCAGCTTAAAACCAGTCTGACATTAAATCTAAAAAAATCAATTTTTAAAAAAAAATGTTTTAATTATGGTAGATAGTCCCTACAAATCTAAGGGTAATGCAGGAACCTTATCAAAAATGTTAAAAATGTTGCATCAAGATTACACAAGTCAAGTTCTTTTTTCTTTTTATAAATCTTTGTAACAATTTTTAAAAAAAAATCTTTGTTTTCAAATTTAACTTCAGAATGACATAAATATGCATTATTATTGCACTACAAAGTAGATAGTATGTGCAGATCCATTTATCCTTTGGGAGTAATGAGTGGACATGCATCCAGTTAAAGATTAATTAATGAGTTCAGTGTAGGAAGGCTAGCTGTCTCAATCATTTCTTTTAAAGGATCTCTGATCAATGCAAGCAGCTCGTATCTTTCTCTTTTGGGAATTAGACAAAAGAACTGCTTGTCAGTTTATAGCATATGTCATTTGATGACCAGCCTTTTATTTTTAATATTAATTTGATATAGATTAAGTTGTTAAGACTAAATTGATATTGTTTAATATGATCATTTTTATCTAATTTTTTGATAATATCAACTAATTCAGAGCATCATGTTTCACAAATCTGAAAGGGGGGGGGGGGGGGGGGGGATTTGTCAAGCTCTAACACCACCAGTTGTTGATCAATAATGTAATATTTGTTATAATTAATGCCTACACCACAGGAGATGTATAACAAATATTATAAGGAATGGAAAAATCATTGAAAGCCTTGTATCAAGGTTGACATGATTTTCTTGCACTCTTAAACTGTTTATGACAATTGAACAATATTTGATGGGCGTATCATGCTGTGGCAGGGCACTTTATTAACTAACTTGAGTTGGTTAGGAGACATATTGCTATTTGTTGCTGTCTCAAGTCTTGCATTGTGCATCTTGCCATATTTGGAAAGTTTTGAACATTTTTAGTTGTTCTCTGATAGAGTTTATGGATTATGGGAAACAAAAAATTCAGTTCAATGGTCACAGTTCCTCAAGGGCAGACTAAAAACCATTAAAATTCTTGCATTATTCAGAACTTTTCTATACTCCTGGACATCTAGGAGGTAAACTGATGACATGATAATAACAAACAGTTAGCCCACTACCAAAATTGCAAAATTCAGGTCTTTGGGCTAAGTTGGCATATTTTGAAAAAAATATCATACAATAAAACATGCTTAGAGCAAACAAGCTTATAAAGAATTCTAGCTTACAGTGAAGTAGTTTTCATTCCCTGTGCTTTTAAAACAGATTTTGAACTTAACAGATTTATAATAAAGCAAAATTGTATGTCCTTGGCACTTTGCTGTAGACATTTTTAGCTCACCTGAGCTGAAAGCTCAAGTGAGCTTTTGTGATCACATTTTGTCTGTAGTCCGTCTGTCCGTCTGGCCGTCTGTCTGTAAACTTTTCACATTTTCGACTTCTTCTCCAGAACCACTGGGCCAATTTCAACCAAACTTGCCACAAAGCATCCTTGGGTGAAGGGGATTCAAGTTTGTTCAAATGAAGGGCCACTCCCTCTTTCAAGGGGAGATAATTAAGAATTAGTGAAATATGAATAGCATCTTTAAAAAATCTTCTTCTCAAGACCCACAATGCCAGGAAAGATGAAACTCATATGGAAGCATCCCCAGGTAGTGTAGATTCAAATTTGTTCAAATCGTGACCCCCGGGGGTAGGGCGGGGCCACAATGGAGGATCAAAGTTTTACATAGAAATATATAGGAAAAATCTTTAAAAATCTTCTTCTCAAGAACAGTAAAGCCATGAAGAGTCATATTTATATGGAAGCATCCCCAGGTAGTGTAGATTCAAGTTTGTTCAAATCATGACCCCCGGGGGTAGGGCGGGGCCACAATGGAGGATCAAAGTTTTACATAGAAATATATAGAAAAATCTTTAAAAATCTTCTTTTCAAGAACAGTAAAGCCATGAAGAGTCATATTTATATGGATGCATCCTCAGGATGTGTAGATTCAAGTTTGTTCAAATCATGACCCCCGGGGGTAGGGTGGGGCCACAATGGAGGATCAAAGTTTTACATAGAAATATATAGGAAAAATCTTTAAAAATCTTCTTCTCAAGAACAGTAAAGCCATGAAGAGTCATATTTATATGGAGATGCATCCTCAGGATGTGTAGATTCAAGTTTGTTCAAATCATGACCCCCGGGGGTAGGGCGGGGCCACAATGGAGGATCAAAAAGTTTTACATAGAAATATATAGGAAAAATCTTTAAAAATCTTCTTCTCAAGAACAGTAAAGCCATGAAGAGTCATATTTATATGGAAGCATCCTCAGGTAGTGTAGATTCAAGTTTGTTCAAATCATGACCCCCGGGGGTAGGGCAGGGCCACAATGGAGGATCCAAATTTTACTTAGAAATATATAGGAAAAATCTTTAAAAATCTTCTTTTCAAGAACAGTAAAGCCATGAAGAGTCATATTTAAATGGAAGCATCCTCAGGAAGTGTAGATTCAGTTTTGTTCAAATCATGGCTCCCGGGGGTAGGGCGGGGCCACAATGGAGGATCAAAGTTTTACATAGAAATATATAGGAAAAATCTTCTTCTCAAGAACAGCAAAGCCATGATGAGTCAAATTTATATGGAAGCATCCTCAGGTAGTGTAGATTCAATTTTGTTCAAATGATGACCCCCGGGGTAGGGTGGGGCCCAATGGGGGATCGAAAGTTTTACATAAGAACATATAGAAAAAAAAATTTCTTCTCAAGAACAGAAAAGCTATGTTAGTCTTATTGATATGGAAGCATCCTCGGGTAATGTAGATTCAAGTTTGTTCAAATGATGACCCTTGAGATAGGGAGGAGCTACAATGGGGGATCAAATTTTTACAAAGGAATAAATGGGAAAATTCTTTTAAAATCTTCTCAAGTACAACAAATTCATTTGTTATATATTGACATGAAAGCATCATCAGGTAGTTTAAAATTCAAGCCCCCCCCCCCCCCCCATTCATTACTGAACTGATTTGTGCCTTAGTCTAGCCAGTGTGCTCAGGTGAGCGATGTGGCCCATGGGCCTCTTGTTTACTGTACTTTGAATGCTTCCTTATTCCTCGATATTAGCAAGCAGATTGTATGCACTAGTACATTCAGTTAAAATGAGCCTGAATGAATTGAAAATGCAAAATGTCCCCAGGACTTATGCTGTGTCAAATTAATTAATATGTACTTAAATTGCATTATATCTTGGAACAAAAATCCTCCACCAAAATTGCAAAATTCATTTTACATGGGTCCAGAGTTCTTGAGGCCCAGTTGGAGATAAGTTAGTCAAAGCCTGAGAAACTCAAAATACTCAGGTGACTTTCAAGGCCCATGGGTCTCTTGTTTGTGCTTCACATCACTTTGTCATTTATGAAAATGTCTTTCACCATGTTCTTTGAATTTTCAATTTAATTATTGACAGTTAATAAGCAAGCATATTTAACAATTACTAGTTCATCCTTGTGTTCAAAGAAAGTAAACAAGATCTATTCCAAAGGTTGATTTTTTTTTTTATGAACAGAGGAACAATGGAGGTGAGGTGACAGATGAATTTGTTCAACCGAGTGAAGACTGTCCCCTGAGAGATCCAGCAAGCCAACGGATTCCTAAGCTGACTGTAAAGGTAAATTCTTCTATTTTCATGGCCCAGCATGAATATGGAAGGGGCACACAGTGTTTGTCATGTCTGTCTTTTATCATTCTGTCTGTCAGTCAATCCATCACACTTTCTATTTAGCTCAGTTTCAGAGAAAATGTTCAAGAAATGTTAACCAGAATTTGTAAACTAATACATACTGAGAACTAATCAACTGTGGCATAATTTTCTGACCTTTCCTGTAACTTGACCTCTCATTTTCTATTTTGTGTTTAGCTTACATGTAGTTTCAAAGTAACTAAAATAGGTAGACTTTTAAATAATAGGTAAATGAAAATGGGACAAAAATACCATATCTTTGTACATTAAATAATCTTCAAAGACTGAGAGAGGTCAATGTGAGGGGGAATGAAATGTATTAAATAATAGTGCTCTAGAACTATTGTTTTGTTTAGTCCACATGGGGATAGTGACAAATGGGGGAAAGTACAGGCAAATAAATATTTCAACTTTTTAAGATTTGTTACTGAGCACAGTATCATGATATTCTGTTGAACAGGATTTTAAATATGCTGTTGGTAAATCTAATGACTCAGTTTTACATTCAACCAGTAGAGCTATTTTCTCTTCAGAAACTTTTAAAATAAGTGTTAATTTTTTCATTATGCAGATAAGAGAACACTGCCTGGGAATGATAGAAGAGGCCTTGAAAAATAACTACATCGGATACTATGTGGATGTACCAACAAAACTGGCTGCATCTGACTACATTCCCAAAAGCTGTGCCATTGATATAGAATATGATGTGCTCAAGGCCAATAAATTGGCCAATGTGTATAAAGCCTCAATTATGAAAACCATTAATGACATTAAGAAGTGCACTGGTTCAAAAGAGCTTCACAGTTGTTTGGTTCCTAGAAATGAGAACCAGTGTAACACTGATGACATAATTAGTGAGACACCAGACAGGAAGACAAAGAATGGTTCCCCAACAGCAGAATCGCGTATCTTGTCTAACCCAGTGGAAAAGGGCATTTCAAAATTAGGCTCAACATTTGTGAAAGCAAGTTCTCTAATAAAGAGCAATTCACCATCACCTTCCTTGCCAAATCTTTCGAATCCACACTCTGCTACAAATTATGCAGAAAATGGAATTTCATGTAAATCTGAAACTGGTGAGACTTCTAGTCCTATACAAGACATACAGGAGCTACAAGACTCAGCAAAATTTAGTACTCAGTTTCTTAAAGCAAGTGAATTAGTTAAAAAAAGTAGCATTTTCAGTAACAACAAAACTAAGTCATTGAATTCCATTACCAAAGAACGTAACAAACCACCAGTCCCCAAAATAACTTATTTCTTTGAACGTGCCAAGAAATCAGAAGAAAAGGATACAATAACTAAGGCTTGCCAGGATAATATCTCATCAGAAAATGTTACACCAAGTGCCACTTCTGGTGAAAGGGCAAGTGAAAAAAAGGTCTCTCAGAAAGACTTGAACTTAAAGAGACATGCTAGTCCAAGAGAAGAGGTATGAATTTGGAGCAAAGAGCTAGGTTCACTTTATGCATAAAATACCAATTTATTGACTAACACTTTATGTTCCATTTTAAACATCAAGTTAAAGTAGAGACTTAGTGCTTTCATTTCCTATTAAAAATTTTCTTCTTAAAGCCAAGATCTTGGAAAACAGGCTTCATGGAATTGCAATGGTCTTGAATTTTAAGGAAAACAAGTATATTTGAGTACTTTCACAGAAGAGAAATAATATGAGCGCACCCTCTGATCTAAAAAATAAAACATGTTTTGTAATCCTCAGAAATAGTTCTATCATTTAATAGTTGCATATTTTAGATCAGAGAATGCGCTCTATATTAAATATCGAAAAAACATTTAAAAATTGGCTGTTTTTGTAGAATTTTCCAGGATATAAGGAAAATGACACATTTTATGATGTCATAATGCATTGACTAGCCAGAAAATTACGTCATTTTTGATAGATATGCAATCACCAAAGGTCTAAATGATATTTAATGCATTGTCAATTAAAACAAAGCAGTTTCAGTTTTTCTGAAATTCACAGGGCCAAAAAAGGCCCTAAGTGAACCTTGTTCTTTGTGTGCATTTGTGGATAAAAAAGTCATTGCATTCCCTTTGTTAAGCTATATGTGATTATCATACTATTAATATTTTATAGCTCTTTAGAATCTAAGGTACATGTGAGCGTTTCTGATCACCTGATGTCTGTCCATGTGATACCATTTGTCCTGAATATAGCTTCTCTCCTCTTGGCCCAATCTGCTCCAACTTCACTCATTTGCCCCCTGCCGATGGCAGGGCTTTTTTTCTTTCAATTCATTTGACCTCAAACCAATTTTCTAGATCAAAGGTCATTCTCAAAATTATCTTCTTGCAAAATCCTTGTGTGGATCATATTTTCTCTCCACATGGCCCCATCTGTATCATACTTCATCCATAGAGTGTCTGTGTGCATTGACCTTGAATTTAGTTTCAGGGTCAATGTCATAGCAGATCTCTATGAAAATTCCTTGTCTAGAATTTCGCAACCCCTGACCTAATCTTATTTAAAATTTCACCCATAGAGTGTATGTAGGTAATGGATGTGCAGTGACCTTGAACCGATTTTCTATATAAAAGGTCAATGTCAAACAACATCTCAATTTAAAGAAGAGTATATTGTCCCCTTGGTCTTATGGGCTCAACTTCACCTTTAGAGTGTCTCTAGGTAAGATGTGTGCAGTGACCTTGGAAAATTTTTTGGGGGTCAAGGTCAAAAACATCTCTGTGTAAAATCTCTGATGGATCATATTTTCTCTCCCCTTGTACCTTTTGGCTCATACTTTGCCCATTAGAATGCCTGTAGATAAATGGTGTGCAGTGATCTTGAACCAAGTTGCTAGGTCAGAGGTCAAGATAATAGCAATTCTCTGTATGAAATATTTGTGATCATATTTTCTTTTCCCTGGGCTTCATCTTGCTCTCACTTCACCCAAAGAGTGCCTATTTCTAATGGGTAATTGAAAGATCAAATTCACAGTGGACCCTTGTTGTAAGCATGCTTGACCAAAGAATGCAATATGTGCAGTATCTTTGTGTTAAGTTTCCAAGTTAGTTTGAGCTTCATTTCTAAGTCACTGATGAAGGGTCAAAGAAGAACTTGTAAAAGGTCAGAATTCCATATAAAAGCAGATACATGTACATGTATATATGTTCTGCCCTTGAACTAGTTTGGTTTCTACTCCTGAGAGTGGCCTTGGGTAAAGAGTATGCTGCATTTGAACCAATCCCCCTTCCCCCCACCACCACCACCACCAAAAAAAAAGAGTGAGGAAAAAAGAAAATTTGCAAATAAAATGTTTTCTCCTTAAAACCGAGACATTTTTTTAAGTACAAAATAGTCCTGAGTCCTCCCCAAATCTGCCCTTTACAAGTTGCTTTCATCCTATTAAGTATACTTTACTAAAGCAGGGCACTTTAAAATAGTCACCATCTAAATGATATATTGTTACACAATTATTCTTGATACATGTATTTAGTTGTGTGCATAATTTAGGGAAAGTTCCTTTCCACAAAAAGCTAAATAGAATACACAGTAAAATGTGATATGTTTACATTATTTAACTGTAAATTAAATTTTGTGTATTTAGACTACCTGAATCATCTTATTTAAACTTATTATTTGCATGTAAAAGAACATTTTATTGACTTGAAGAGTATATTTTCATTTATTTTTATTAGTATACAACTGCTTTTTAAGATTCAATAAGAATTAGGAAGGGAAGGGTCATGAACATTCAGAAAGCTGTGAAAATTTCACAGAAGTCATTTCTTAAGTTAATTTCTCTAAAGGTTGGCTTAGGTGAGGATGAATTTAATTTTTTTTCTTCAAATTTTTACAGACGTCTCAAGAAGTCAAAAGAAAAAAGCTTGACAAACCTTCTTCAACAAGCAGCCAAGTCAAACAGACAGCAGATCTGGTGGTGCGATATCTTTCTCCATATTATAAGGATGGGCATATTGTTTCTAAGGTAATGACAATCCATTGCTGTTAATTATGTAAATAACTAAATATATTGGATCCAATTTTAAACTTCTCAAGAACCATGGGGCCAATTTTAACCAAAGTTGGCACAAAGCATCCTTAGGTTAAGGATATTCTAAATTGTTCAAATGAAGGGCCAAGCTCCATTCCAAGGGGAGATTATCCAGAATAGACCCCCCCCCCCCAAATGGGGAGATCATTTAAAAATCTTCTTTTCAGGAACCACTGGGACAGAAAGAAGGAAATAAAAGTGAAAGCCTCCTGAGGTAGTGTAACACAACTGCAAGACCATGTAAGTCATATTGATATTGAAGTATCCCCATAATGTGTGGAATCAGAGACCCATAGAGTTTGAGTAGGGCCATAATAGGCCATAATATGGGGTCACAATTTTTTATTGTACCCCTGCTCAGAAGGAGAGGGGGCATACTGTTTACCCTTGTGTGTGTGTCTGTCTGTCTGTAACAAATTTTTCGTCACAGTTTTCTCAGCAACTACTCATGGCAGATGCATGAAATTTTAGCACACTCTTTGTTTAGGCATGCTTTATGATGGGATTCATTTTTAGACAAATCCAATGTCAACTTCCTGTTTATCTTTGCATCTGTCCATACCATACATAACAAATCTTTGTCACAGTTTTCTTAGCAATAACTCATCACAGATGCTTGAAATTTTAGCAGACTCTTTGTTGAGGCATGCCATATGGTGGGATTCATTTTTGTATGAATCTGATGTTAACTTCATGCTTTTCTGTGCATCTGTCTGTACCATACATAACAAATTTTCCACTTTTTTCAGCAACTACAGGTACTAATTAAAGAATTATGAAATTAAGCACATTCTGTGTTGAGGCCTGCCATATAATGAGATTTATTTGTGTTTGAATCTGATGTCACCTTCCTGTTTATCTGTGTGTCTGTCTGTCTGTACAATATGTAACAAATTTTTGTCACCGCTTTCTCTGCAACTACTCATTGCAGATGCTTGAATTTTTTTGCAGACTCTTTGTTGAGGCATACAGTATGGTTCATCCCTGTTATCTGTCTGTAACTGAACTTGTGTATATTCACATCAGAACAGGGTATTACTAGTGAGCATTGGCTCACAGACTTCTTGTTGGAATCTAAAAATCTGATGAAAAATAGCTAAAAAGCTGAAGTAACTTAGGTAATTGTTGTGGCCTATGGGTCTTTGTTGTTATATTTAACCATTAAGATAAGGTTGAAAAGGGGATCTGCGATCAGGCCCCAGGTTCATGAAACAGACTTAGATTTAAGTCAAATTTTCAATTGCCTGTAAAATGTTTATTAATTATTGAATTAATTTCTAAATTTGCAGATAACAACTCTTATGTGAAGCATTTAATATTAAAAAATATTTTAGTTTGGTCTGCTTGACTTTTTTAACATTTTAGTACATGTTTAGCAAAAAGATTTTTGACTTTAGCTTAAGATGTTTCATGATCCTGGGACCAGGCTATAATACATAAGTGGAAAACCCCTTTTATACATTTTACACATATTGGGTCTTTTTTTCAAATTGTCTTTAAGAATTTATTATGAATAATGAGGCCATAGGTTGAGATAGTGCAAGCACTGACTTTATGGGTGTCACTGTAGATGTTAATTTCCATCCAGATCAAACTAAGAATTAATTGCAGTTCTGTCTTATGATATGTTTGTAGGACATCTTCAAAACTATGGCCAGGATGCTGTCTTACAGGGTGCAGTCTGTATCTGGTACTGAAGATCAGGGTAAGGAATGTAAAGCCTCTCATTCAGGACTTTGTATTTATATACTGTTCAAGTATATCTTAATTAAAACTGAAGCTCTGTAGAGGCTGGATTGCATTTTTTAGGTCACCTGAGTCACTCAGGTGACCTATTGCTATCCATTTTCGTCTGTCGTCGTGCGTCTTATGTTAACATTTGAACATTTTTAGCTTCTTCTCTGAGACGGCTCAACCAATTTCAACCAAATTTGGCATGTAGCATCTATGGGTGAAGGGAAACAAAAATTGTGAATTTCTTGGTCCCTGCCCCCCCCCTCCCCCCGGGGCCTGAGGGGTGAGGCTAAAACCACCAAAAATAATGCAATCTTTAAAAATCTTCTTCTTTACTCCTGGACACCAAGCAGTAAAACTGTTGGCATCATTGTAATAAGCATTAAGCCCTCTACCAAAATTTTAAAATTCATGGCCCAAGGGTCAGGGGTTCTACTGCTAGGTCGGGGCTATATAGATCATATAGTGAAAGTGCATTATTTCTTTGAAAATCTTCTCTGCTCCTGGGTATTAAATAAAGTAACTAAGTACATAATTATGATTAGCAAGAGTGCTTCTTCCAAAATTATGAATTTCATGGCCCCAGGGTCAGGGGTTCTTGTGCTAGGGCTGGGGTCTATTGATTATATAGTGAAAATGCATTAATTCTTTGAAAATCTTCTTCTCTGCTCCTGGGTTTTAAATAAACTTAGTAAGTACATAGTTATGATGAGTAAGAGTGCCTCTTCCAAAACTGTGAATTTCATGGCCCCAGAGTCTGGGGTTCTGGTGTTAGGGTGGGGCTCTATTGATTATATAGTAAAATTACATTAATTCTTTGAAAATCTTCTTCTCTGCTCCTGGGTATTAAATAAAGTAACTAAGTACATAGTTATGAAGAGCAAGAGTGTCTCTTCCAAAATTGTGAAATTCATGGCCCCAGGGTCAGGGGTACTGGTGTTTAGGCGGGGGTCTATTCATTATATAGTGAAAGTGCATTAATTCTTTGAAAATCTTCTTCTCTGCTCCTGGGAATTAAATAAAGTAAAAAAGTATATAGTTATGATGAGCAAGAGTGCCTCTTCCAAAATTGTGAAATTCATGGCCCCAGGGTCAGGGGTTCTGTTGTTAGGGCGGTGGTCTATTGATTATATAATGAAAATGCATTAATTCTTTGAAAATTTTCTTCTATGCTCCTGGATATTAAATAAACTAAGTACATAGTGATGATGAGTCATGATGAGCATGGTTGCCTCTACCAAAATTGTGAATTTCATGGCCCCAGGTTCAGGGGTTCTGCTGCTAAGGTGGGGCTATATAGATCATATAGTGAAAGTGCATTATTTCTTTGAAAATCTTCTTCTCTGCTCCTGGGTATTAAATAAACTAACTAAGTACATAGTTATGATGAGCATGGTTGCCTCTACCAAAATTGTGATTTTCATGACCCCAGGGTCAGGGGTTCTGGTGTTATGGCGGCGGTCTATTGATTATATAGTGAAAATGCATTAATTCTTTGAAAATCTTCTTCTCTGCTCCTGGGTATTAAATAAAGTAACTAAGTACATAGTTATGATGAGCAAGAGTGCGCCTTCCAAAATTGTGAATTTCATGGCCCCAGGGTCCAGGGTTCTGGTGTTAGGGCGGGGATCTATTGATTATATAGTAAAATTGCATTAATTCTTTGAAAATCTTCTCTGCTCCTGGGTATTAAATAAAGTAACTAAATACATAGTTATGAAGAGCAAGAGTGCCTCTTCCAAAATTGTGAAATTCATGGCCCCAGGGTCAGGGGTTCTTGTGTTATGGAGGTGGTCTATTGATTATATAGTGAAAATGCATTAATTAGGGCCCGGCAAGGATTTGCGGGTGCCCTATAGTAATCAATCTGTCTGTCTGTCTGTCATTCTTCCGTCCACAAATTTTCTGTTTTTTTCTAATAACTTTTTTTAGGATTAACCAATTAAGTTCAAATTTGGTATGTTGGTTGAATAGGCAGTAAGACATATTTTGATGCTAAGTTTGGTTCTCTGTGTCTTCTGGTTTGGAGCTGGGGTGATGGGGTAGATTCCTTAACTTTATATAAGAGTGAATGGACAAAGAGAGATAACTGCTGAGAATGTTCCTATTGTAAACTATGAATGGCTGCAATGAGTCTCTTGGGATTAATTAACTTTCCTCTTGAAGAAAATCCAAAGCATTTATCTTTATCTGTCACATTGAGATTAATTAACACCTCTGTCTGCAAATAAAGTTTGTTTTGAAGTTAAGGTCAAATCTAAATGATATTTACATTCTCTGAAATGTTGATTTAAATAATGTTCATGCTTTATTTTGGTAAAAAATACAATGAGTTATGATTTTATTGAATTCTAAAAACAAGATATAAATAAAGATATCTTTTTTTATTATTATTTTTTGTTTCTTTTCCTTTTTTCTTTCTTTTTTTCTGCCTTATGTAAATTCAAGAATACTATATATTTTAACAGGTATTCAGATAATAACCTCATTCTATCATTGCTGAAAAAGTTCTTATTGTAAACTTAGAAGAAAAGGTTGAGAGAGCAGTATAATTAATCCCCTGGGATTGATTATCTTGCTGGTTGCAGAAAATTTTATAGGGTTATCTTTCTGTCACTTTAAGATTAATTAACACCTTTGTCTTCAACTGATATTTGTTTTGAAGTTAAGGTCAAGCCTGGGTGATATTTGCATTCACTGAAGGCTGGCATTTCAGAAAATACATGCTTCATTCTTCTTTAAATATACATTTAATTGAGTTATTATAGATGTGATGTTTTTTACTGCCTTATGGACAAGGACACTATTTACAGGTTGTTGGATATTTAGCAATTGCCTTTCCTTATTCTTCTTTATATATATTTTTTAAATTTTTGTAATCAAGTAAAATTCTCATCCCCTAATCTGCACCCTTACATTTCTACCCATTGGCGGGGCCCTTGCTGACTGGTCAGTTTTCTAGTTCTTTGAAAATCTTCTTCTCTGCTCCTGGGTATTAAATAAAGTAACTAAGTACATAGTTATGATGAGCAAGAGTGCCTCTTCCAAAATTGTGAAATTCATGGCCCCAGGGTCAGGGGTTCTGGTGTTAGGGCGACAGTCTAATGATTATATAGTAAAATTACATTAATTCTTTGAAATTCTTCTTCTCTGCTCCTGGGTATTAAATAAACTAAGTACATAGTGACGATGAGTTATGATGAGCATGGTTGCCTCTTCCAAAATTGTGAATTTCATGGCCCCTGGATCAAGGGTTCTGATGTTAGGGCAGGGCTCTATTGATTATATTGGGAAAATGCATAAATTCTTTTTAAATCTTCTTCTCTGCTCTTTGGTATTATTCAAATAAAGGAAGTGCATGGTTATGATAAGGAAGATTGCCTCTTCCAAAATTGTGAAATTCATGGCCCCTGGGTCAGGGGTTCTGGTGAAGAGGGAGTTGGGACTCTATTGATTATTTAGTGAAAATGCATAATTTCTGTCAAAATATTTTTAGCTCACCTGAGCCGAAGGCTCAAGTGAGCTTTTCTGATCACCTTTTGTCCGTCGTCCGTCCGTCCGTCTGTCCGTCTGTCTGTCTGACTGTTCGTCCGTCTGTAAACTTTTCACATTTTTGACTTCTTCTCAAGAACCATTGGGCCAATTTTGACCAAACTTGGTACAAAGCATCCTTGGGTGAAGGGAAATTTAAATTGTTAAAATGAAGGGCCAAGTCCCCTCACAAGGGGAGATAATCAAGAGAAGACAAAAATAGGGTGGGGTCATTAAAAAATCTTCTTCTCAAGAACCACAGGGCCAGTAAAGCTGAAACTTATATGGAAGCATCCTGGGGTAGTGTAGATTCTAAATTGTTCAAATCATGACCCCCGGAGGTAGGGCAGGGCCACAATGTGGAATCAATGTTTTACATAGAAATATATAGGAAAAATCTTTAAAAATCTTCTTCTCAAGAACCACTAGGCCAGAAAAGCTGAAACTTATGTGGAAGCATCCTGGGATAGTGTAGATTTTAAATTGTACAAATCATGACCCCCGGGGGTAGGGCGGGGCCACAATAGGGAATCCAAGTTTTACATTGAAATATATAGGAAAAATCTTCTTCTCAAGAACCACTAGGCCAGAAAAGCTGAAACTTATGTGGAAGCATCATGGTGTAGTGGAGATTCTAAATTGTTAAAATCATGACCCCAGGGGGAAGGGCGGGGCCACAATAGGGAATCCAAGTTTTACATTGAAATATATAGGAAAAATCTTTAAAAATCTTCTTCTCAAGAACCACTTGGCCAGAAAAGCTGAAACTTATGTGGAAGCATCCTGGGGTAGTGGAGATTCTAAATTATTAAAATCATGACCCCCGGGGGTAGGGCGGGGCCACAATAGGGAATCCAAGTTTTACATTGAAATATATAAGAAAAATCTTCTTCTCAAGAACCATTAGGCAAGAAAAGCTGAAACTTATGTGGAAGCATCCTGGGGTAGTGGAGATTCTAAATTTTCAAAATTATGACCCCCGGGGGTAGGGCGGGGCCACAATAGGGAATTCAAGTTTTACATTGAAATAAATAGGAAAAATCTATAAAAATCTTCTTCTCAAGAACCATTAGGCAAGAAAAGCTGAAACTTATGTGGAAGTATCCTGGGGTAGTGTAGATTCTAAATTGTTCAAATCATGACCCCCGGGGATAGGGCAGGGCTACAATAGGGAATCCAAGTTTTACATTGAAATGAATAGGAAAAATCTTCTAAAATCTTCTTCTCAAGAACAACTGGGCCAGAAAAGATGAAACTTATGTGGAAGCATCCTGGGATAATGTAGATTTTAAATTGTTAAAATCATGACCCCGGGGGATAGGGCGGGGCCACAATAGGAAATCCAAGTTTTACATTGAAATATGTAAGAAAAATCTTGAAAAATCTTCTTCACAAGAACAACTGGGCCAGAAAAGCTGAAACTTATGTGGAAGCATCCTGGGGTAGTGTAGATGCTAAATTGTTAAAATCATGACCCCCAGGGGTAGGGCGGGGCCACAATAGGGAATCCAATTTTACATTGAAATATGTAAGAAAAATCTTCTTCTCAAGAACAACTGGGCCAGAAAAACTGAAACTTATGTGGAAGCATCCTGGGATAGTGTAGATTTTTAATTGTTAAAATCATGACCCCCGGGGTAGGGCAGGGCCACAATAAGTATTAGAAGGGGGTAAATCTGGTAAAGAACAGCATGGCCAAAGTTACTCAGGTGAGCGATGTGGCCCATGGGCCTTTTGTTTCTACTACTGGTTATAAAGCAAAGAAACAAGTGTATAGTTATGATGAGCAAGGGTGCTTCTTCCAGAATTGTGAGTTCATGGCCCCTGGGTCAAATGTTCTGGTGTAAGGGTTGGGCTTTATTTATTTAATAATATAGTGAAAATGCATTTCTTTGAAAATCTTCTATGCTTCTGGGCATATTTGAGGCAAACAGAGTAAAAGTTTTAATATGCAAAGGTATTTTTACCAGAATTTTGAACACCTGGACCATTTAGTCAAGTGTTCTGGTCCTGGCCAGGGCTCTATTAACTTGTATTCTGCTGAGCAAAGTTATTCCCCTTTGCCATTCACCTTTGATAATTAATCACTGTAAACAATGTATTTGAAAGGTTAATAGAATAAGAGAATTATGCAAGAATTTTTATTGTATAATACAAAAAGTACTTTCATAGTTTTAATGATCAGGTAGACTTGAAAATAATAGATGAATGAAAATGAGACAAAAATAACTTATCTTTTTAAATGTTCTTCAAAGGCCAAGAGAGGCCAATGTGAGAAGTAATAATATGGGGTTAAAAAGTAGACATTTTGTTAAATAGTCTGAATGGTAATAGTGATAAATGGGGGACATATAGATACTAGACCAATTATTTTGTTGATGCTAATCATACTATTTTTTCTTGCTTTTGGGCAACAAAGCTTCATTTATCAGTTTATGGATCCTCTAAATTGGTGTATTGTACTCAGGTTACCGTTAAGGCCCTTGGGTCTCTTGTTATTTTTTGGCAAACAAAAATTCCATTGGAAGCAAAAAGAATGCCAAAAGACAAAGGATTTTATGGGTAGTCATGTAGTAATTTTCAGTATTCCTCGTGCTTGGCAAAAGTAAAATGATACAAAATTCAGAAATGATAGTCATTATAAAACTGTAGTACATGTATTCTATAATTTCATTAAACTTTTCTGAGCTACATATTTAGCATTGATAGCAAGTACAGGTATATGACTGACATAATTTACCGGCCAGAGTAATATCTTTGTAAAGTGATTTCATATTAAGATTTCATATTGATTTTATCTACAAATTATCCGTTATCTGATTGTACTTTCAGCTAAACAAGAGTGTAAACGCTTGATCAAAGAAATTTTTGCCAAACATGCGAAGATAACATCTACGGAGGAATTTGATGACTGGAAATGAACATCAGACATTGTGTATTTATTTAAACTGACTGTATCTAGTTATCACTTGAATGAGCAGACTATTTTGTCTTTGGTTTAGTCTTGGGCATCTGGCAAACATATTGTTTGCATGATTTCTGTTTTTCATCCCAAAAGGTGACTTAATTGATTAATATTTATTTGAAAGTCATCATGTATTTAGAACAGTTATTCATTTCTGTTTGGGGTGATTTTTTATGGGCTGTATGTTTTGTATGTAGCAAGGAGCTAGTCTAGTGAATATGTCCCCCCCCCCCCCCCCCCCCAAAAAAATCGTATTTATTTAATTGTCAAAAGATTTTTGGCCTCTTTTTATGCCCCCGTATCAAAGATTCGGGGGTATTTAGTTTTTGCCCTGTCCGTCCATCTGTCTGTCCATCTGTTTGTCCGCAAAAATTTTAACCTTGCCCATAACTTTTGATTGGTTGGAGCTATGACTTTCATACTTCACATGTGTATTCCTTGTGACAAGACCTTTCTTTGGGTACCATCACATTTAACCTTTTGACCTTGACCTTGGAGTTTGACCCACTTTTGCAAAATTTTTTGAGACTTTAACCTTGGCCATAACTATTGAACAGTTGGTGCTTGGGGTTTCAAACTTCACATGTGAATTCCTTGTGACAAGACCTTCCTTTGGATACCAACAAATTTGACCTTTTGACCTTGGAGTTTGGCCTACTTTTGAAAAACTTTAACCTTGATTATAACTTTTGAACAGTTGATACTAGGGCTTTCATATTTAAGATGTCTATTCCTTGTGACAAGACCTTCCTTTGGATACCAACCACTTTGACCCTTTGACCTTGACCTACTTTTGAAAAAAATTAACCTTGCCATAACTTTTGAATGGTTGGTGCTAGGGCTTTCATACTTCACATTGTAATCCTTGTGACAAGACCTTCCTTTGGATACCAATCACTTTGACCTTGACCTAGGAGTTTGACCTACTTTTGAAAAACTTCAACCTTGGCCATAACTTCTGAATGGTTGGTGCTAGGGCTTTCATACTTCACATTGTAATCCTTGTGACAAGACCTTCCTTTGGATACTAATCACTTTGACCTTGATCTTGACCTTGGAGTTCGACCTCCTTATAAAAAATGTTTACCTTGGCCATAACATGTGAACGTTTGGTTCTAGGGTTTTTACATTTCACGAACATGTATATCACTTTTGACAAGACCTTCCCTTGGGGCCCCATTTGACCTTGACTTTGACGTTTGACTTACTTTTAAAAAACTTGAACCTTTGCCATAACTTTTGAACAGTTGGAGCTAGGGCTTTCAAATTTCACAGGTATATTCCTCGAGACAAGACCTTTCTTTGGGTACCAACATTTTTATCTCTTGACCTGAAGTTTGACTTGCATTTGAGAAACTTTAACCTTTCCCATAAGCTGCCATATGGGGGCATCAGTGTTTCACAAACACATCTTGTTCTGTATGACATTTAATTTTTTTTAATAGTTTTTCTGTTTTTAGATTAACTGAACTGAAACTTTTCTGATCAAAGTTTTGTCTGTTGCTGTTGTCTTTTTTTTTACGTTTTCAAAGTACTTCTCAAGAATCACTGGGCCAATTTCAATCAAATTCTCAACAAAGCACCCTTAGGTGAAGGGATTCAAATTTGTTTGAATAAATGATCACACCGACCCTTTTCAAGAGGAGACAATTCAAACATAGTGAAAATAGGCCAATAATCTTCCCAAGAACCACTCTAGGCCAAATGGGAGTCAAAGTTTTACATCAGAAAATTTTAAGAAAAATCTAAGAAAATTTTCCCAAACACAATTGAGGGAAGAAAACAAAACTATAAAAGCTTCCTTGGCAATGCAGATTCAAGTTTGTTCGGATCATTTCAGGATATAATTTGGACAAGGTCAAGGATTGTTGTATTAATAGTATTAAACTGGCCCTATCTTTATTATGTTAGGAAATTTTTATCATGTCACATCTTACTTGACTTAAGATGGGATGTATCTTTAATTGAATATGTCTTTTAACTAGTTAAAGGCACAGAAAATGCTAGGATTTCTACCAAGGCCATTGTTTGTCTTGCATGGATTAGACAGTATAATTGTTTATGGTCTTAGTGTGAACCCTGATTCAAACCCACTAGTATTGTAGATGTGTGTGTGAATGTTTGTTTATTCGTAGAAACTGAGGGTCATTTTATTACCTTTCTATATTTCTTATATATTCAAGGCAATCTCCTTCATGCTCCCATATTTTGTTATGTCACTTTATATTCAAGGTTAGTAGTTATTGACAGCTTTGAGTTTGCCCTGTGGATGATAAAGGCCCTGTTGGAACTGTTTGTTAATTTTACATATTTTTGATAATTTGCCCAGGTTGTTAGAATAACTGCATGCAGTCATTTTTCAAATTAAACATATATATATGTGTGTGTGCCAGATGAAAATCTTATATTTAACACGAGAACTGTGATATCACATGTATGTGACCACTAATCTGCAACTTTGTGGAAGAATATGTAAATAATTTTAAGTTGTTTTTTTTTTAAATTAAATAAATGTTGAAACATGTTTTGTGATTGTAATTTGTCACAACAAGGGTCTTGTAACAAAGGAAACCAAACATTGAGGTACAATCAGACACAGGCATTTTTTTTTTTAATCTCTTAAGGTTTCAGATTAAAAAGTCAGAACTCTGCACAGAAATTTTTCAATGATCTAAGAGGAATGTGTATTGTGCCCCACCATAAATATGTTTTTCATGTCCATCTTCTGTCCTTTATTACTTCCTTCCCTCTATTTCTCATCCTTTGGTCCCTCTCCTATCACATTTTGCTCTTGGCTCAGTATCGAAGATTGTTATCAAAATTCACACACTGATCGATGCACAGTTGCCAAAATTCAATGATGCACTAGCTAATCCTGAAAAGATGAAACCTAAGGAAAGCTTTCTGACGTAGTGGAGATTCAAACTTGTGCAAACCATGCATATGACTTCCAGTGGTATGTATGTTGTATGGAACATAAATAAAGATAAACTCAAACAATTGAAAAGATCTCTATTTATTTGAAGATATCAATTCATTTATTGGTGCAACAATACAAATGAAGATCTTTTCAAATAATTAACAAGATGTGTTTGTAAAACATTGATGGGCCTGTATGGCAGATCATGGCCAAGGTAAAAGTCTTTCAAAAGTAGGTGAAACTCATGAGATCAGAAATGTTGGTACCAAAAGAAAGGTCACAGGAATAAAAATTTTAAGCATGAAAGCCTTAGCACCAACCACTCAGAAGTTAAGGTCAAAGTTAAATTTTTTTTTTTAAAACTAGGTCAAACTTGGTCAAGGTCATAAAGTAGAAAATGTTGGTGACAGCAATAATTGTTGATGTGTGCATCAATTCAAATATTGAGCGTAATAATGAAATTAGCCTAATGCTGTTTCCAAATATACCTCAATCAATGTAATTTACACCCAGGGGCAACAGTTTTTACCTTGTGGATGACAAATGACTTTCGCCCTCATATCTAATGATCTTATTATAGCTATATCTTCAATATTATTTCAGTTCATGTATATTAATTTGGTGCTCTATATGGTGGGGTCAGTTTTTGAATATTTGGATTTGACATTAAATTGCCACAGGTGCTTGAGGACAGGAATCCCCCCCCCCCTTCCCGATATAGACCTCCGGGCCTTTTTGACTTTTTTCTCATAAATTATCTTTCAATGACATATTTGTGATATAATGTAACGAAAAATGCCGGGATTAAATATTTGTATTATAATGGTTATTTTTCTGTAGTCTACAGCATTTCGTTATAAATATTATGTGGGCTCTGTACCTTTTATCAGTTGACAAGACAACAAAGTCCTTTATAAATACACACAAATTTATTGTAACAAATTAACAACGTATATATGAAATGAACGCTCGTGCCATTTTAAGTGAATTGTCGAATCCTGAGAGACGCGACTATAAATTCTTAGTCAAAGCCTTAGAAACAAGATTTGGTTCTCAAGGTAGAGCTGAAATTTATCGTGCTCAACTCCAAACCAGAGTAAGAAATAAAGACGAGTCAATCTCTGAACTTTCTCAATCCATTAAAAAGCTAACAAGACAAGCTTACCCAGAGGCACCATCCTCACTCACCAAGATTCTTTCTCGAGACCATTTTATTGATTCAATTCCCGACAGTGACATGCGACTTAGAATTAGAGAAGCCCATCCAAATGACATTGATGAGGCAGAGGCCCAGGCCATTAGACTTGAGACACACCGCTTAGCAGACAGACAACGAGGTTCAAACCGACCAGTTAGATTTGTCAATGAAAAACCAAACCAGACCAATGACTGTGACTCATTACAATTGATAAAAAATGGTTTTACAGAGGTTAAAAATGAAATAGGATCTTTAACCAGGGAGATCAGAAAAATAGTGAACACAAATTCACAACCCCAGTACAGAAACCCTCCAAGAAACCAAAATGAACCAAGACATGTTCAATCCAGATGGAAACCAAATGACCATTACTTTAACAACAACAGACAAAACCAAAGACCTGCCATGAAAAATCAACAGGCTCAGGGAAACCATGTGAGGTCGCATCTGGGGGCCACAGATCGACTTCTACAAAATGGCCCTCAACAGTGTTAATAAATGAAACCATGTCTGGGGATGAGGGATTGTTCATTGCTGCCAAAGTTCAAGATACCCCTATGTCATTATTGGTGGACACTGGAGCCAGTGTCACCATTTTAAGTGAAAAATCCTTTCAATCAATGAATCCCTCCAAACACACAAAAATTACCCCAGTTAATACAAAATTGGTTACTGCAACTGGAACCACTTCCTCTTTTATTGGTCAGACTCGTGTTGAAATACAAATTGACCAGCACAAATTTTTCCATGACGTCCTTGTTGCTGACATAAATAATGATGTCATCCTTGGTATAGATTTTCTAACCGCCAACAAATGTGATGTACTCTTAAGTAAAAGTTGCCTTGATGTACAAGGTGATAAAATACCCTGTTTTAGATATTCAAATGAAGTATCTACCTGTTGCAGAATTACTGTGACAGAAAATGTTGTTGTTCCCCCTGGGACTGAAATGATAGTTCCAGGTAGATCTACCGGTCATGTCAACAAATGTGCTGCCATTTTGGAGCCCACCAATACTTTTGTGGAAAAACAAGGTCTTATGATTGCTAGGTCTTTAGTACATCCTAGTCAAGGTATCGTACCACTAAGAATACTGAACTTGCAAGATGAACCATGCAAAATTTACAAAAATACTGTCACCGCCACTTGTGAGCCGGTAAATAATAGTGACATACAAGAAAAACCAACTACTGTAAGTTTCCACAATGTGTACATGTCCAAGATGGAAACAAAAACATCTGAGTTGCCTTCTCATTTGAAAGATTTGTACACCAGGAGTACTGTAAAATTACATGACAGTGAGTGTATAGCCTTGAGAAATCTTTTAATTGAATACCAAGATATATTCTCCAAATCTGACAAAGATATAGGTCACACCAACATCATACAACATACCATTGATACTGGAAATGTCCACCCCATAAGACAAAGACCCCGTCGAGTGCCCTTATCAAAAATGGCTGAAGCCGAAGCTGAAATAAAGAGCATGGCTGATCAAGGTGTCATTGAACCATCCACTAGCCCATGGTCTTCAAATATAGTACTTGTTAAAAAGAAAGACAACTCCCTTAGATTTTGTGTTGACTTCCGTCAACTCAATGACGTTACTAAGAAAGATTCTCACCCCTTACCCAGAATAGATGATACCTTAGATGCCCTTTCTGGTGCCGAATTCTACAGTACTCTTGATTTAAAGTCAGGGTACTGGCAAGTTGGTATTTCTGAGGCAGACCGCCCAAAAACAGCATTTTCCTTCCCAGGCGGAGGACTGTGGCAGTTTACTGTCATGGCCTTCGGCCTCTGCAATGCGCCAGCCACCTTTGAAAGACTCATGGAGAAAGTTCTCAATGGACTCTCCTGGAAGGTGTGCCTAGTGTATCTAGATGATATTATTGTATTTTCCAAAGATTTTCAAGAACAATTAGAGAACTTGAGAAAAGTTTTTGAACGACTTAAATTTGCTAATCTGAAATTAAGTTCTAAAAAATGTTGTTTATTCCAAAGCAAGGTGTCCTTCCTTGGCCATATTGTCAGTAAAGATGGTGTGGCCACTGACCCTGAAAAAGTCCTGACAGTTCCCTAGTTCCGTATTCAGCAGCATGTCCCAGAAGCAATTACTGCACGACCCAGCGAAGGTGCAGAAGGTGATTATTTATTAAATTATAAAGGTGTATATATTGGACTCCGCACCTTCTCCAGTACCGACCATTTCCCTTGTATTGTAGGAGGTTGATCCGCCCCTTCCTTGTTATTGTTTACATTAGTTACGGTACATCCGCACCTTCTCGGACATATGCACCTTCCCCCAATTTATTATATACGAGGTGCATACACTTGCACCTTCACCAGAAACCAATTGAAGAATATTTTCCTATAACCTAGATCTAACTAGTATTAATTGTAACGGGGACCGTTACAGATGTTCCCCAAACGCTCCCCAACTTCCTTTAGGTGTCTTATTCCCTGTAAGCTTCATTAAATAAGGCAATCAAATATACTGGGTATTTTACGCATTACACGCGCACGCACGGGCATGCATGTACAAAATGACCATGTCAACTTGTCTACACTTTTAATACATCTTTATATTCAAATTTCATTAAAAGATAAAAAAAAATCGGCTATATTAAGTATATCTGTCATTTTACGCATTGCACGCGCGCGCACATGCATGCATGTCCATGATGACCGTGTCATCTTGTCAACACTATTAATATATCTACATATTTTTGGTATCAAATCATTTCATGAAAAAGTATAAAAGTTACAGCTATATCAAGTATATTGGTCATTTTAGCATTGCATGCGCGCGCACGTGCATGCATATGCACGTTGACAATGTCGTCTTGTCTACATTTATAATATGTCTATATATTCTGAGTATCAAAGTATTACATCAAAAAATGTAAAAGTTATGGCTATATCAAGTATATTGGTCATTTTACTCATTGCACGCGCACGCACGTGCGTGCATGCAAATGCATGCATGTGCGCGCTGATCATGTCATCTTGTTTACACTTCTAATATATATTTATATTCTGAGTTTCAAAGCAATTCATCAAAAAATATACAAGTTAAGTCTATCTCATTTGTATAGGTTATTTCAATCATTGCGCATGCGCACACGTGCATGCATATGCATTCTGACCATGTCATCTTGTCTACACTATTAATATATCCTGATATCCTGAGTATCAAAGCATTTCATCAAAAGATATGAAAGTTATGGCTATATCAAGTATATTTGTCATTTTACTCATTGCACGCGCACGCACGTGCACGGACGTGCATGCATGTGTGCGCTGATCAAGTCTTCTTGTCTACACTTTTAATATATATTTATATTCTGAGTGTCAAAGCAATTCATCAAAATGTCCGAGTTAAGTCTATATCAATTGTATTGGTTATTTCAATCAATGCGCATGCGCGCACGTGCATGCATATGCATTCTGACCATGTCATCTTGTCAACACTATTAATATATCATTATATTCTGAGTATCAAAGTATTTCATCAAAAGATATGAAAGTTATGGCTATATCAAGTATATTTGTCATTTTACTCATTGCACGCGCACGCACGTGCACGGACGTGCATGCATGTGTGCGCTGATCAAGTCTTCTTGTCTACACTTTTAATATATATTTATATTCTGAGTGTCAAAGCAATTCATCAAAATGTCCGAGTTAAGTCTATATCAATTGTATTGGTTATTTCAATCAATGCGCATGCGCGCACGTGCATGCATATGCATTCTGACCATGTCATCTTGTCAACACTATTAATATATCATTATATTCTGAGTATCAAAGTATTTCATCAAAAGATATGAAAGTTATGGCTATATCAAGTATATTTGTCATTTTACTCATTGCACGCGCACGCACGTGCATGCACGTGCGCGCAAAATGACCTTCGTTCCGCAAATCTACATAGCATTCCTATTAACCCTAAAAAGGTTTCAACTCAATCGGATGTATAGTTTCGGAGATCACTCACGGACAAAAAAGTACCCAGGAAGAAAAATAATAATAACTAGACTCTTGTTGCCATGGCAACAAAAAAGTCTTCCGTTCTTCTAAATCTGTAAGAATTTGCTTTTTTCTGTGTAAAAAAACATACATATCATATTTACTGTGAAAGAAAAAAATAACTGGAAAAAAGTCCTTTCAGTACTTAAGGTACTTTGATTTTCATGATCAATCTTGTATACTGCATTTGGCACCTATAAGAGATATACGAATATCATAGAGCAAGGATAATTAGCAATTAAAAAAAAATGTTTGCAATCATTTCTAAGACAAACAAACAGACGAACAAACAAACTACTATCATAAACTTCACTGTGTATACGTTCTGGCATAATTGTGATGGTGTTATAAAAAAAAATATAATGAATTAAGTTTGTATCACATTAAACGTTAAGTCACTGAGTTTTGTAAAGTTATAATATCAAGATTTGAAAGCATACCTATAAGAAAGATTATTCAGTTACAGTAATTATTCAGCAATCGATCGATTGATTGATCATATGTTGTTTAACGTTCCTCGAGAGAATTTTTCACACACATGGAGACGCCACTACTCGCCGGTGGAGATTTAAAAATTTTGTCCTATACTTTGGCACTTTTCGCCATTGAGCAGTGAGGAATCTTTTTTGTGCCAGCACCTTCTGCGACACGGGACCTCGCTTTATTCGATCTCAAAGGACCGGTCTCCACGTCCCACAATCGAAGTTCATAATACCGAGATGTTTTATTTTTTATTTTATTTTATATTTTCACAAGTTTGTTGCATCAGATTTACTTAAAGATCATACTTCAAGATCATTTCGAACTCAGGCTACTTTATTGCAGTGCATAGAGCGTCAAGTGATTTTGATTGACAGGTCATGATCAACACAAGTGCACTTCTGCGATACTTTTTAAGCAGAAAAATATACAGGATGTGACCATGACTGACTGTGAAATCAGAAAACATTTAATAAAGAAAGGGTGTGACTGATATAGAAATATATTTGGGTCTATGTAAATGGATAGGAGGATCGGGATTAATAGGGAATCTCTCTCTCTCTCTCTTTCTCTCTCTCTCACACACACACAGACATGTAAATTGAGCATTTCAGTATCATAATGTACCATTATAGAATATGAAATTCTGTACACATGACATGTAAATGGTAATTATAACCACGTTCCAGATTTAAATCTAAAACGAATATATAATTCAAATGCCTAGCTGCACGAACGTCTCCAAATATTAATCAAGACGAGGGGGGGGGGGGGTTCAAAGGAATTAGATAGTTTTATGTTTTATGAATTATAAGGAAAAGTAGAGACGTCAGTTGCATGTATATAATTATATATCATTGCATAAAATTGTGCTCATTCAGGTATAATTATCCCACATATCAACAGACCTGTGCAATTTTTTTATCATGTTTTTTTTTTTTTTTTCAAAAGAAACATAGCGTAGTATTATTTCACACAGAATCGCGTTTTCACATATTTTTTTTTTAACTCTTTGAGTATTTCACAAGAATCCAAGAATCGCCTTTTCACATCTTTTATAACTCCTTGAGTATATAGAGTATAGATCATGTGTCATAAATAATTAAACTTTTTGTCAAATATACATGTAATAAACAAATCTAATCTATAAATTGATTTTCTTTCTTTTAAGTGGCAGATATCAATTTATTTCCAAAGGCTTTAAAACAGTACTGTATTACGATTTTCAATCGCTCAGTTCCTTTTCGAGTGTATGTAATATTTTTTAATATTGAAAATAATACTCGGAAATCGGGATAAATTCGCATTCAAATAATAGAGAATAATAAAATCGTCTGATTATAGAAGGCTTAGTAACTATCTTATAAATATTCTGAACTTACTACTATACGAGATAAATAAAACTGCATGCCTGTCCATCACTATAAATGTATATTCAGTGCTTATAATATATTTACTTGAATTAGCTACCTAGCATATATAGTTTTTTTTTTTTAGATATATACATGTGTAAATCAATTAACTGTCAATACAGACTTACACTACACTGGTAACTTTAAACTATACATGCACTGGAGGCGGTAACTAACGTACTCTTACATTTAGAAGAGTGAACATGGAACGTCTAAATATGTTGATATGGAGAGTGTATATGTTTCTAACGTCATCGATACTATTTCCGCCTTTATCTCGAAAGTTCTATTCTCACTTACAAGTCAGAGTTATCTTTCTTTGCCCACTAGATAAATAGGGAAAATGACGGTACCAAAAATCTACAAAATGTGGAATCTGATTTCAAAACAAATTATATATCTAGTATTTGTAGAATAACCTCTGTTATACATAATAATATCTTGAAAAAATATTAAAAAACAAAAAAGTTAAAAATTTACCGAAACACAAATTTACTTCCGGTTCGGACAGGAAGTACCGGAAACACACGAAAACAACTTCGAAACAAAGAGAATGTCATGATCTAATACTCCTGTAAATTTCACATCTTTATCTCAAACCGTTTCCGAGAAAAATGCCGGACAAAAGTCCATTTTAAAATTTAAAATTCGGCCATAACGTCGGACCGGAAGTGAATTCTTCAAAAAACGGAATTTTATATAAACTTCACATATCAACCTATTATGTTGTAAAAAATTGTGAAAATCTATCCAGCCATCTCTGAGTAATCGCGCTCACAAAATTTGGGAGGAATAATAATAATAATAATAATAATAATAACTAGACTCTTGTTGCCATGGCAACAAAAAAGTCTTCCGTTCTTCTAAATCTGTAAGAATTTGCTTTTTTCTGTGTAAAAAACATACATATCATATTTACTGTGAAAGAAAAAAATAACTGGAAAAAAAGTCCTTTCAGTACTTAAGGTACTTTGATTTTCATTATCAATCTTGTATAATACATTTGGCACCTATAAGAGATATACGTAATATATCATTAGCAATTAAAAAAAAAATTGTTTGCAATCATTTCTAAGACAAACAAACAGACGAACACCGTACTATCATAAACTTCACTGTGTGTATGTTTTGGCATAATTGTGTATGGTGTTATAAAAAAAATATAATGAATTAAGTTAGTATCACATTAACCTAAAGTATCTGAGTTTTGTAAAGTTATAATATCAAGATTTGACAGCAGACCTATAAGACAGATTATTCAATTACAGTAATTCTTCAGCAATCGATTGATTGATTATACGTATGTTGTTTAACGTCCCTCTCCAGAATTTTTCACTCACATGGAGACGCCACCACTCGCCGGTGGAGACTGCAAATTTTTGTCCCATACTTTGGCACTTATCGCAATTGAGCAGAGGGGAATCTTTTTATGCCAGCACCTTCTGCAAAAAGGGACCTCGATTTATACGATCTCATCCAAAGGACCGGTCTCCACGTCCCACAATCGAAGTTCATAATACCGAGATATTTTATTTTTTATTTTATTCTATTTTTTCACAAGTTTGTTGCATCAGATTTACTTAAGATCATACTTCAAGATCATTTCGAACTCAGGCTACGTAATTGCAGTGCATACAGCGTCATGTGATTTTGATTGACAGGTCAACACAGGTGCACTTCGTGTGATACTTTTTAAGCTGAAAAATATACAGGATGTGACCATGACTGACTATGAAATCAGAAAACATTTAATTAAGAATGGGTGTGACCGATATAGAACTAATTTTTGCTCTATGTAAATGGATAGGAGGATCGGGATTAAGAGGGAATCTCTCTCTCTCCCCCCTCTCTCTCTCTCAGACGTAAATTGAACATTTCATAATGACAAATCTACCATTATAGAATATGAAATTCTGTATACATGTAAATGGTAATTATATTCACATGTTACAGATTTAAATCTAAAACGAATATATAATTCAAATGCCTAGCTGCACGAACGTCTCCAAATATTAATCAAGACGGGGGTGGGTTGGGGGGTGGGGGGGGAGTCTTCAAAGGAATTAGATAGTTTTATGTTTTATGAATTATAAGGAAAAGTACGGACGTCAGTTGCATGTACATAATTATATATCATTGCATAAAATTGTGTTCATTCAGGTATACTTATCCCACATATCAACAGACCTGTGCAATTTTTTTTCATGTTTTTTTTTTTTTTCAAAAGAAACATATAGCGTACCATTATTTCACACAGAATCGCGTTTTCACATATTTTTTTTTAACTCTTTGAGTATTTCACAAGAATCCATGCCCAAGAATCGTCTTTTCACATCTTTTATAATTCCTTGGGTATATAGAATATAGATCATAAATAATTTAACTTTTTATCAAATTTACATGTAATAACAAAATCTAATCTATAGATTGATTTTCTTTCTTTTAAGTGGCAGATATCAATTTATTTATAAAGGCTTTAAAACAGTACTGCATTACAATTTTCTATCGCTCAATTCCTTTTTGAGTGTATGTAATATTTTTTTTAATATCGAAAATAAACTCGGAAATCGGGATAATTTCGCATTCAAATCATAGAGAATAATAAATCGTCTGCATTATAGAAGGCTTATAACTATCGTATTCTGAACTTACTATACGAGACAGATAAAACTGCATTCCTGTCCATCACTATAAATGTATACTCAGTGCTTATAATATATTTACTTGAATTAGGTACCTAGCATATATATTAATTTTTTTTTTTAGATATATTCATGTGTAAATAAATTAACTGTCAATACAGACTTACACTACACTGGCAACTTCAAACTTTACATGCACTGGAAGCGGTAACCAACGTACTCTTAAATTTTGAAGAGTGAATATAGAACGTCTAAATATTTTGATATGGAGAGTGTATATGTCCCTGACGTCATCGATACTATTTCCGCCTTTATCTCGAAAGTTCTATTCTCACTTACAAGTCAGAGTTATCTTTCTTTGCCCATTGTCTACACACTAGGTAAATAGGGAAAATGACGGTATCGAAAATCTGCAAAATGTGGAATCTGATTTCAAAACAAATTATATATTTAGTATCTGTAGAATAACCTCTGTTATACATAATAATATCTTGAAAAAATATTAAAAAACAAAAAAGTTGAAAATTGACCAAACACAAGTTCACTTCCGGTTCGGACAGGAAGTACCGGAAACACACGAAAATAACTTCGAAACAAAGAGAATGTCATGATCTAATACCCCTGTTAATTTCACATCTTTACCTCAAACCGTTTCCGAGAAAAATTCCGGACAAAAGTCCATTTAAAAATTGGAAACTCGGCCGTAACTTCGGACCGGAAGTGAATTTTTCAAAAAACGGAATTTTATATAAACTTCATATATCAGCCTACTACCATGTGAAAAATTGTGAAAATCTATCCAACCATCTCTGAGTAATCGCGCTCACAAAATTTGGGAGGAATAATAATAATAATAATAAAAAGAAACAATACAATCACTATAAGTCTTCCGTTGTGAACGGAAGACTTAAAAAGAAACAATACAAACACTATAAGTCTTCCGTTGTGAACGGAAGACTTAATAATAATAATAAGAAACAGAGTAAAAACAATATGTTCCCAAACTTCGTTTGGGGAACATAATTAGAGTGTTTTTATATTTATTCTACACCTTATTCCTGACGAATATATTATCCCTTTGATCTACCGCGCCAGCTGCTGACCAGGAAGTTACCTGTTCGTTTCATATACGTTGTTAATTTGTTACAATAAATTTGTGTGTATTTATAAAGGACTTTGTTGTCTTGTCAACTGATAAAAGGTACAGAGCCCACATAATATTTATAACGAAATGCTGTAGACTACAGAAAAATAACCATTATAATACAAATATTTAATCCCGGCATTTTTCGTTACAATAATCTATATTAACAATTTGAAAAATTACCTAAAACAAACATTTTATAAAATCTACCTCACTCTCTCTATATATATAGGGTAGGGTAGTAATTTTTATAAAATGTTTGTTTGAGTCAATTTTCCGAATTGATGATATAGAGATTATATCACAAATGTGTCATCCATATATAATTTATAAGAAAAAAGTCGAACAGGCCCGGGGGGTCTATATCGGGGGGGGGGGGGTCCTGTCCTCAAGCACCTATGTAAATTGCATGTACCTAATTTTTTAAAATTAAGAAGACATTTTTTTTCATTTGTAAAGTTATGGATAAATGAAGTTATAATTTTATTCTAGTCCAATGAAGCCAGTCAGTCTTCACACGGTAAATCGACTCACCGGACCTAATAGGTTCAAAGCCCAAACGGCTTGGCACCTGTAAAATGTAAAACGGAGGATCTCGATCTCGAGGAAATGGACAGAGAAAGAAAACACTGAGTAAGCTATTGTTTGCAATTTATCATTGATATCTTGGTAAAAGAGACTTTTAATTATTTTGGTTTTTTTTTTTTTTTTTTTTTTACAGTTTACGCTTAAAATCAACCTTACATGTATATTCCGACTTCGATAACAATAACTGTCGTCATGTAGTTCGAATTTCCTCATTAAAGGACAGCATGGTCATGCAGACAAATTGTTCTGATTCGTTCTAACAAGTAATAGCTAGTGCTCTGAAATGTAGAAGGGGGTTCGATTTAATGAATTATATTTATTTTAATGACATTCATTCAAAATATTACTTTAATATTTGTACAGCTAATGAAACCTACAAAACGTGTCAGTATACATAGTCATCCTCAACCCCAGGGGTCCCGAGGACCTCTTACAAACTTCATTCGGAGCCCGAGACACATACATTTTGCTGCTTGCAAACAAGCATGCTTCTATTGATGTATACTTTTTTGAAGAAGATTTAAGGGAAATTTTTTTTCTCGGGCTAGTAGATTTTTGACAGGGCTAACAACTTTTATTTGTAATAGCATATTTCATGTCTAGCTAATTTTATGATGGGTTTCAAATACTGTCAAGAGATAAAACAATCAGTCTTTGTAAGAATTTGCTGCAGTCAGCACATCAAACATCTAATGAAGTTTATCAGGGGTCCCATTAAGCCATGAGTGGACTCAAGACTGACATTGTAAGGATTAAATAGTCAGATTTTTCTGATTGGGAATTATTCCAGTCTTGTGGGGTGTTCAACAGAGCAAGTGCTCACAAACATTTCTGATGTAGGGATCAGGAATTCTGGCTAGCATTCCTGAGCACTTGCATTGTTGAACATGCCTCTGGTTTCTCCCCGTATTACATAAAAACCCTGCATGAAATCAGCTATTTTGTATATATATGCATTTTTTTCATAGTGACATTATTGTTAACTATAATGCAGTAATTCATCTTAGGCTGTGTAGATTACCTTCCTTAATTCCATGCTATACTGAGTAGGTAAGTCTACCTTGAGATGCAGATGTTATCTGCTCTAGTTCAAGATGGCTTTGCTGTTTGCATCTGCACTGTGACAAGATTTTTTTTGGGGGGGGGGGGGATATGGTAAGTCATTGAAGGGATTAGATTTTCAAAGGCATAGACTGCTTAACAATGTTATGTTGAATATATTATTTATTCTTTATTTTCAGACAAAGAAGACTTGAATTAAACATGCGTCTTACAAGACAGTTATTTGTATCAAGGAAAAAGAGATTCAAGTTTTTATTTGACAAACTAATTTACAAGGATCTACCTTTGAATGCTCCTGCTCTCAAAGGTAAACTGTTGCATTTTTTTTTAGTTCACTAGTATATTCAGAGATCGTCCTGTCATGTGCAAGTTCATTACCTTGAAGTTGGAATTTCATTTTTTATAAGGAATAAGATTTTTTCCCCCTTTATATACATATACCTTTGAAATCAGAGCTAGATAATTATTAGCTCATCTGAGCCAAAGGCTGATGTGAGTTTTTCTGGTCAAGGTATCTAGCTATTTTTTAGGTCACCTGAGCCAAAAAGTATTGTGAGCTTTTCTGGTTGAGGTTTGTTTTGCATTTACTATGCTCATCTGAGCCAAATGCTAATGTGAGCTTTTCTGATTATGATTTGTTTTGCATTTACTAGCTCACCTGAGCCAAACACTGATGTGAGCTTTTCTGATCAAGGTTTGTATAGCATTTGTTGTAATGACCCCCTGCTGAGAGAGGGAATTCTGAAATTTATACATCAGTTTTTCAACTGTCATCTTTTTTAAGGATTTGTTTCAAATTTTTGCCAATGACAAATTCATCTTCAGAACAGGGAAGTGTGCATCCTATTATACATGTACATGTATGTCAAATTTAATTCTATTAAAATTGTGTCAGGAACCAAGAGTTTAAATAGGAATTAGGAAATTTTTTAAAAATATTTTCTGTCCATGGAGATTTTTTAAAAATACTGTAGATTTAGGTTTTTGTTTAAGATAAGGCATCTGGAATCAGAGTTAGATTACAATGTACATTTTGAGTTAAATGTGAGAATATATAGATTTCCTGAAGGTGTACAGATCAGAAGGTTCAAGTTTATGCATATATACACTGCAAAAAACAGGGGTTAAAATATACGGTAGCCCGACGCCCAGGGCTAGTCATTTTAAGACTCAGGCTAGCTTATTTAAATGTAATGATAGTCTGTCGGACTAGCAGAACAGAAAAAAAATTCTCGTCACTTTACTCTCGCTTTTCTATGTAGACTGGTTTCTTTTGAATGAGAACTACATTGTACTTAAATTTGTTTCTTGTCACCACACGTTTGAAACTTTAATTTAACTTGTTATGTTTTCATTTTACATAAAAAAAAATTTGGGCTAGTTAGTTTGAGGTTTGGGCAAGTAATTTTTTACTGATCAGTAGCCCCTGGGCTAGTGGGTTTTCCGGGAAAATTTTTACCCCTGAGAAACATCCTAAACTTGGTTTAGGAAAACATCATTACATTGTAAGTCAGTTTGAATATTATGAATAAGGCAAGCAATTTGACCTTTGGGCCAATTTATTTGGAAATATCTTTTTACTTTCAGAGAAATTTGTGTTTACAGAAAGTTTTACATCTCTGCACCATTTACAACATCAACCAGATGTAGATTTAGATGCTTCAATGTGTCACAGTGTGCTTTTAGAGTTTAAATCATGTCTTTGTCAAAGTTATGTTATATATGCTGAACAACTTCATAGAAACACATGTACCAGTATTCTAAATACTAGTAAACATTGCAGCTAAGTTTAATCGCCGAAGATTACATACAGTCAGATCTTTGGCAATTTATGTAAAAACAACATAACCTTGGACCAGAACTTACAAGTGTTTTAATTTTCCATTATAAAATGATTTTAAGATATTTAGGATATTTAATGTGTTGTAATTTCAGATGTTGAGATTGAAAAGGTTAAAGAGAGCAGAGTGACAAGTCGTAACCAACCCAGACAATTACCAGTTGAGCTAGCAGATGACCCTAGGTTTTACGCTCCTCCTAAACCAGAGGAGAGAAGCAATTATAGGGAAAAACCAGCTTTTCTTTACAATAAAAACTGCAGATTTATTGAAGGTAAATTTTAATTATTTAAATCTCTAATGTCATGGTCTGCTATAATTTTGAGATCTTGATGTTTGTTTACAGTCTTGTACATCCATTTGTGAGGTGAGGTGTTATGTCATTCACACGAATGTTATCTCTGTGTGTTTTATAACTGTAAATCACTTTTTATTCATGGGAACTTTATTTTCGCGAAATTACACGAGACAATGTGCTCGCCAAAATTTCATTCTCCTGTATATTTGTATTCCATAAGATTATATAGAGCAGTAACTACAATTCGTGAAAATTTATTCTCGCTAATAATGAGTTATTGAATATCTCGCGAAAATAAGGTGTCGTGAAAATTTAGTGATCTATAGTAGTCAGTTATTAGAAGCCTGAGATATAGAAATGAAGGTTTAGTAAAGAATTCCTCCTGAAGTTTTATGCAACTCCTTACAGGAACAAAACAAGCTTGTTTTCTAACAAAATCAGTGAGGATTGAGGGAATGCCAGAAAATGTTCAGCAACTTGTCAGCAAGTTTGAAACTCCAGATGAGGTAATACAGGAAAAAGTATTGTACGTAACCTAATATATGAATTGTAATTAAGGCATTTTGAACTGTTTTCTGATACATTTTTATGTTTCTGCACATCATGAAACTATCAAAACTGTTTACCAGTCACAGAATGAACTTCTGCATGGCTGAACTGATCCATTATGATGTCATAATTAATTTCTGGTACTTTACACCTAAAATATTGAATTATGTATGGTATAAATTGGAGCATTTTCATGGCATTAAATTTGAACAAAAGTTTTGATGAATATTGAGTAAATGAATAGGCCATAGGTGCTTCCATTTGTACATGTATCTGTATCATTTGTTGAAGTGTTGCAACATGATTTCAGTCTAGGTTGTTGCAGAAAGCTGTCATGAAAGCTCAGATGTGGGAATCCACCAAAGAAAGACTCCCTAAGCGAACTGATCCTGAAAAGCCATTATATAGATTTGCTAGAGAGTATGGAATTCCCAGAGATAAGAGTTTGTAAGTGTCTAATTCTAATCATGTCTGCATGCATACTCACCTAAGGTTACACTAACTGAACTGGGAACTGAAGACACCCATTCACTTGTGTTCTGATTGTGTCAAAAACAAACCTAACAAAGGTATAATACATGTAGTGTTCTCAATTTCATTCAAGCTACATATCAAGGAAAGGGTGGGGGTTTACAGAACAACTAGTTTTTAGCTCACCTGAGCCGAAGGCTCAAGTGAGCTTTTCTGATCACATTTTGTCTGTAGTCCGTCTGTCCGTCTATCTGTCCGTCTGTAAACTTTTCACATTTTCGACTACTTCTCCAAAACCACTGTGCCAATTTCAACCAAACTTGCCACAAAGTATCCTTGGGTAAAGGGGATTCAAGTTTGTGCAAATGAAGGGCCACCCCTTGTTCCAAGGGGAGATAATTATGAATTCGTGAAAAATTAGTGGCATCATTAAAAAATCTTCTTCTCAAGAACCACTGTGCTTGAAAATATGAAACTTATTTGGAAGCATGTAGATTCAAGTTTGTTCAAGTCATGACCCCCGGGGGTCGGGTGGGGCCACAATGGGCGATCAAAGTTTTACATAGGAATATATAGGAAAAGTCTTTAAAAATCTTCTTCTCAAGAACAGCAAAGCCATAATTGTTCATATTTACATGGTAGCATCTTCAGGTAGTGTAGATTCAAGTTTGTTCAAATCATGACCCCCGGGGGTCGGATGGGGCCACAATGGGTGATCAAAGTTTTACATAGGAATATATAGGAAAACTCTTTAAAAATCTTCTTCTCAAGAACAGCAAAGCCATGATTGGTCATATTTACATGGAAGCATCTTCAGGTAGTGTAGATTCAAGTTTGTTCAAATCATGACCCCCGGGGGTTGGGTGGGGCCACAATGGGTGATCAAAGTTTTACATAGGAATATATAGGAAAAATCTTTAAAAATCTTTTTCTCAAGAACAGCAAAGCCATGATTGGTCATATTTACATGGAAGCATCTTCAGGTAGTGTAGATTCAAGTTTGTTCAAATCATGACCCCCGGGGGTCGGATGGGGCCACGATGGGTGATCAAAGTTTTACATAGGAATATATAGGAAAACTCTTTAAAAATCTTTTTCTCAAGAACAGCAAAGCCATGATTGGTCATATTTACATGGAAGCATCTTCAGGTAGTTTAGATTCAAGTTTGTTCAAATCATGACCCCTGGGGGTCGGATGGGGCCACAATGGGCGATCAAAGTTTTACATAGGAATATATAGTAAAAATTTTTAAAAAAAAAACTATTTCTTAAGAACAGCAAAGCCATGGTTGGTCATATTTATATGGAAGCATTCTTAGATAGTGTAGATTCAAGTTTGTTCAAACATGACCCCTGGGGGTAGGGTGGGGCCACAATGGGTGATCAAAGTTTTACATAGGAATACATAGGAAAAATCTTTAAAAATCTTCTACTCAAGAACAGCAAAGCCATGATTGGTCATATTTAAGTGGAAGCATCCTCAGGTAATGTAGATTCAAATCCCCCCCCCCCCCCCCCCCCCCGAACCACTTTTATATTTAAACTTTTCAACCTTTCAAGACTGAACTGATTTATGCTTTTTCCTAGCCATAGTGCTCAGGTGAGTGATGTGGCCCCTGGGCCTCTTGTTATCTAATCAGATGGCAGAATACCACTGGATATCTAGGTATAATTGGAGAGTTATAGTACTATTGTTTTGTTAGGTATAAATAGGAATAAACAACACCACTGTATTTCTAGGTATTATTGGAGAGTTATAGCACCATTTCTTTGTTAGGTCTAATTAGGTATGTAAAGGTACTACACTACTGGATATCTAGGTATACTGTAAAATGAGAAAATTTGGTGCACTACTAATTTTAGCGCCTTTGGCGCAAGCGCCCCTGAGCACTAAAATTTATTATGTGCTAACTGATTTCTAAATATGAATTTTTTTGTGTTCAAACCAGTTCAAAGCACTTTAGTACATGTAAACCGGAATGTGCGATTACATAATGTCATAGGGTCGCTGTATTTTTACACACTCACACTGGCAGACTGTAGAGTCGATTCCTAAATGTAAAGATATTTTCAGTGTTTGTTTCCATTTTGGTATCAATAATTTGTACTTGATAAGGTGAATTTGAAATAATCCATCCAGCCAAAACCAAAGACTAATCATTGGCCATTCTAAACTATTTATTCCATTGTAGAAATATGTTGTCATTTGACCTGCTTCGTATGGCCGAGATTGCTGTCACAGCCAAATACCCAAATGCTGGAAAAAACAGGAGAATGATATTTCATCCGCATGGAATAGCAACATTCTTCAAGTACAATGGTACCACAAATTTGAGTCACCTGAGTCTCATTATTTTTTCCCCAATTTTTTTTTTTTAATAAAGCAAATTTATCAACTCTCAAACCTCCTTCACTTGAAGTTTTCGGTTTCTTGTATTTTTCTTGTCCCATTACATAAATTTCTATATACAGTTAAGCCTCATTATCTTGAACCTGATGTGACTTAGAAAAGACTTCGAGATGTCGAGGTTAAATACTGAATGTGTACTTAAAAAAAAGGCTTCATATTGTAGTGGCTTTGGTGCAGACAACAATGTCCTAATTCATGAATACTTTTTATAAATAATTAAGAAATACTATACATTGCATGGACATTTGTAGTGCTAATTCATGATTATGCCAACCACTCTATATGCAGTGATTGTGGTAAATTTTGAATATATGTCAATTTATGTACACATACAGTAGACAGAGAAAAGGTGTTTTGGAATTTTAATTCACTTCGACATATCCAAGGTATTCAAGATATCAAAGTATGAAATTAAGAAATTCAAATGTATTTCACTTTCAACAACTAGAAGTAAATTTTCTGTCAAAATCATCAAAGTGTGAATAATAAGGTTTGACTGTACTTTGAATAAAAACATCTCTTTCTGCATCTAGAATAATTTTGCTGAATGATTTCTTCACAATATTCTCCTAGTAACTTAATGCAGTATAATTTCCCTCTCTCCAATAATGCAGTATAATTCCCTCTCCCTAATACATATAATGTATTAAAATCTCCTTCTCCTTATTACTTGTAATGCAATAATACATCCCCCCTAAAATTTGTAATGCAGTGAAATCTCTCTCTCTTGCTTATATATATAATGCAGTAATATCTTCCTCCCCCCTATACATCTAATGCAGTAATATCCCCCACACCCAAATGCATGCAATGCAGTTAGATCTCTCTCCCACAAGTGCATGCAATACAATAATATTCCCCTCCCCGAATACATTTAATGTAGTAATATCTCCCCGAGTAACCCCCCCCCCCCCCCATATACATCTAATGCAGTAATATCTCTCTTCTCTTAAAACTTGTAAAATAATATCCTTTCCCCCTAATATATAATACAGTAACATATCCCTCCGCCTCATACATGTAATGCAGTAATATCTCCCTCCCCCTAATACATATCATGCAGTGTTATCTCCCTCCCCTTAATACATATAATGCAATGATATCTCCCTCCCCCTTAAAGGTATAATGCAGTAATATTTCCTTCCTCCTTATACATGTATTGCAGTAATATTTCCCTCCCCCTAATACATATAATGCAGTTATATCTTCCTCCTCCAAATACATGCAATGCAGTAATGTCTTCTACCTCCTACATGCAATGCAGTAATATCTTCTACCTCCAACATGCAATGCAGTAATATCTTATACCTCCTACATGTTATTTGTGTAATACAGTAATATCTTTTGCCCCCTTCCAAAATGTTCAGTCATCCTATACTTAGCCAGACCGAGCTCTTTGCTGGTCACTTAAAATAACTTTAATCATTATGTTATATTAAGTGATTCTAACTGGTGTTACTGATACATTTTCAGAGTCTCTCCTGAGTTTTTACTTGGGTATTGATGCCATGATAACATCACCTTCACCCCTGCCCCCGTTTCTGTCGGAGGAGAGAGTGGAAGCTTCAGTGGAGAACATCATTCCCTCCATCTATCCCATCATGCCCACCATTGATTTTTACAAATCACATAATTACAACTTGAAGAATGCCTCAGGTCAGATGATTTTATACTTTGCTCGGTAGAGAACACTGTCAAATTTTCAGAGGTGGATCGAGTTTTCAATGTAAAGTACAATTTAAAGGAACTTAACGGTGTATATATTTAAAAAATTATTACTTTCAGGAATCATATTGGCATAAAAAATAATCAGAAGGGGGATGGGGGTACATGTCATAATAAAAATGTTCCTCCGATTTCTTCAGTTTCAATTAGTAAAGGTTCAGTAAATATAAACAGGTGATGAAGAGATTTATCACATGTAAACAGATTCAAAATCACAATTATTTTAATAAGAAAACAGAGAGCTCTGCAAGGTTGTTCAACAACGATATTTTCACTCAACCTTTATACATACAAACATTAGACTTCCACCTCAGAACAAATCTGCACTTGGTGTTTACAAAAGTTGTAAAGCCTGTACCTATCACTATTTTTTTTCTTTCATATTTATAAAAAATCAAAGGACTCTACCTTCAAAACACAGCTTCATATATTGTCCATAGATTTTATTTGGCTTCTTCAGATTTTTAAAAAAGATTCAAATTTTGACAAGTAACCAGGGACCACAGATAAAACCCTAGTGAGATTTGTTCTTTTAAAATTTTCATATCACACTACATATTGATGAGGAAAATTATGTACTATCCAAGACAAACAAAGTTTGAGGAAAAAAATCTATCATTCAATATTTTGTTACAATTCACAATAAAACTAAAGCCCTTCATTTTTTTGATCAACTGTAATAATATTGATAGGCGAAGTCAATCTCATGAACTTCACAATTTATGTAGAAGCACTTTTTGCTGCTGGTAACCATGCACAGAGAAGAAGATTTTTTTTTACTATAACCATATATATGATTAATACAGTTCACACTAACACCAGAACTGCTAACCCTGGGGCCATGAATTTCACAATTTTTTTTTCTGACAAAAATGTTAAAACTTTTAAATATTCTGAAAGATAGCACAACAGATTTAAAATTTACACAAGTACTGATGATTTTAATATTCTGTAACGTTTTTGCCGTAATGAGTTCGTATGATAGGATAAATATGGCTAGATATGGTATGGTTTTAAAAGCCTGGTTGCAGCTAAGATCTGGTCTCTTAATTTCTGGTAGCGAATATAATTATGAATAAACCTGGTAGCGTTTTTTTACAAAAGAAATCAACAAAAGATAATAAAGTTTTCAAAAATTATATTATGATATTCAGAATTTATTATAGTTAACAAAACCAACAACAATTAATATATATTTATATATGTGGTTGCACAATGTCACTTGCTAGATTTACAGGACCCCGAAATTCTGATAAAGTTAAAGTTAATTACTAATACCTAATTTCATAAATAATAAATAAAGGATATAAATTTCAATAATATATTAATATTTCCTCGACATTCCAAAGATAGTCTGGGAGCGACTAATTTCTACATCCGTTTACTAGAATCCCAAAACTTCAACTGAACTACAAAACTAAACGTTAACGCTAATGTGACGTAGCATAACCAAACGTGACGTTGCACAACCCAAAATCACGACACATTTCAGGTAAAACCTATACATAATTTCCCGCGACCGGAAGTAATGGAAAATGAAAGTACAAATATGTAATGACTTATAAATAAGGTAAATCAATGATGTACAATAAATTTAAATGTATTTTAAACATATGATAATGATGAATGAATCTTCCGGTCGGTATAAATTAAGATCACAAATAGATAAACACACATTATAATAATACACAGTCAAAAATCATTACATCGTTACAATTCTATCAGAGATGATGATATAGTCAAAATGAGTCACTTAAGAAATATATCAAAGTGAAATTAAGATTCTGTACATTAATCGAAGTCAAAATCTTAATACAGATCAAAAATGATTATTTTATGTTATTGAATATTGGTATTGAATTGATGTCAAATCAGATCATTGAATTTTATGTAAATTTGAAAGCAGCAATCCTGTCATTTTTATGTCATGTCTTTTTTAGCTCACCTGAGCTGAAAGCTCAAGTAAGCTTTTCTGAACACACATTGTCCTTCGTCTGTCCGTCTGTAAACTTTTCACATTTTCAACTTCTTCTCAAGAACCACTGGGCCGATTTTTACCAAAGTTGTTACAAAGCATTCTTGTGTAAAGGGGAATTTATATTTTTAAAATGAAGGCCAAGCCCCCCCCCCCCCCCCTCCAAGGGGAGATAATCAAGAAAAGACAAAAATAGGATGGGGTCATTAAAAAATCTTCTTAAAAATGGTGAACCATCGGGCCAGAAAATCTGAAACTTATCTGGAATCTTCCTTAGGTAGTATAGATTCTAAATTGTTCAAATCATGGCCCCCGGGGGTAGGCTGGGGCCACAATAGAGAATCAAAGTTTTACATTGAAATATGTAGGAAATATCTTTAAAAATCTTCTCAAGAACCACTGGGTCAGAAAATTCATGTGGAATCTTCCTGAGGTAATGTAGATTGTAAATTGTTCAAAACATGGCCCCCGGGGGTAGGGTGGGGCAACAATAGGGAATCAAAGTTTTTCATACTTATGTGGAATCTTCCTGATGTAGCATAGATTCTAAATTATACAAATCATGGCCCAAGGAGTTATGGTGGGACCACATTAGGGAATCAAAGTTTTACATTGAAATATATGGGGAAAATCTTTAAAAAAAATTTTTCTCAAGAACCACTAGCTCAGAAAAGATGAAAGATAGGTGAAAGTTTCCTGAGATAGTGTAAATTGTAAATTTATTCGTACTTTGGTCCCCAGGGGTAGGGTGGGGCCACAATAGGGAATCAAAGTTTGATATAGATTCTATATGAAAAGAAATATTTTAAAATCATCTCAAGTACAGCTAAGCCATTAGGTGATTAGTCATATTGATATGGAAGCAACTTTAGGTAGTGTAGATTCACGTTTGTTCAAATAATGACCTTCCTCCCCTCCCAGGAATAAGGTGGAGCCACAATACCCAATCAAAGTATAAACAGAATTTTATTAGAAAAGGTCTTTTAAACTTCTCTTCTCAAGAAAAGTGAAGCCATGATGAATCATATTTTTAATGTGAAAGCATTCTTAGGTAGTGTAGATTCAAGTTTGTTGAAATCTTGAACCTCCAGGGATAGAGTGGGACCACAATAGAAGATCATAGTTTTACATATTAGGAATTTATAGGAAAAGATTTTAAAAACCTTCTCTGAAGAACAGCAAAGCCGTGATTAGTCTTATTTATATTGAAGCATCCTCTGATAGTGCAGATTCAATTTTTTCATATCATGGCCCCCGTATATAGAATGGGGCCACAAAAGGTGAATCAAAATTTTACATAGGAATATACTCGTATATAAGGGGCAAATCTGATGAAGAACAACAGGCCCAAAGTGACTCAGGTGAGAGTGGTGGCCCATGGGCCTCTTTTTTGGGGGGGTGGGGGGGGTGTTTCTCGTTTATCCATCCATATATTTTTTCAAGGGGGAGGGAGGGAGGTTGTAGGGTTACTCTTGTTTGTCTATACATCTAGCTATTCTGGATAGATTTCCATTTAGCATCTGAAGTGACCTTAACAGATTTATAGATCAAATCAAGAATCTAAATATTGACTCACACTGATGTTTAAATTCCAGGATACTATGGAGAGTGTAACCGTTTTCCTCACACACTGATTTTGCTGAATAATGATGACTGGTCTGAGGACGAACGACAAGCCCGAGCTCTGGTGACTGCTATGGGTGTGACAGTGGGGCATGTAAAAAGAATGTATCCAGTAAGTACATGTCCTAGGTACAACCTTATTCTAACAATAATTAGTGTGTGCATGGGACAGTACAACTTACAATTGCATGCCAGTATGCAGCAAAGCTGAGAGCTGTGTCTGTGAAATATTTCACATATGCTCCTCTCAGCAGGAAAATTAAGCATACTTTCTTTAAAAAGTTTGCATTTGTCACTTGTGTCCTGTCTGTCTCTTTCTTTTCATTATTTTTTATAAATATTTAGTGGTTAGAGAAGAAATTCTCGTTTTATGTGATTGGTCATGTAATATAAATGCAGTAAGATTTCTAAATGATATCTGCCTCAAGGCTCCATGGGTAAAAGCTTGTCACAGAACTCCTTCTATATTCTGGGTTTTGATTTAATTCTGCTATGTCATAGTTACAATAAACGCTTAATACTAGATTACATGATTTCTACTAATAAATCTTTCTGTAAACTAAGTTGAATGCCATGCTTGCTCATTAAAAGGAATATTGGACAATTTTTAAAATAATTTACAAAAAAGACATATTCTTTAAGGAGGGGTCCTATGTCAGAATTCAGTCGTTAATACGGAGCGTTCTGCTACACTCAGCAATTGCTGCACAGATTCTGTGTATTGAGTTAATGAATGTGTTAACTATTCTTATTGGGATATTATTCCATTCATCCATCACTGCTTCCGTTGCAGTGTTGTTTGGAAGATGCTGACATTGTCAAACTCATTTATCAATTTCATCTCACAAGTGTTCGATGGGAGAGAGGTCGGGATTGTATGGAGGCCATTCAAGTGGTACGTTATAGTTCATTGCCAGATTATCGCAGCATATTTGTGCAAAATGTGGGCGAGCATTGTCCTGTGGAGAATAAGATTATGCTGATGCATAAAGGATTCAACATATGCAGTATGACGTCTCGATAATGTATAGTCATTGGAGAGCTGTCAACAACCACTTAAGGCATTTTAAGTCAATGAGCTATTCCACCCCACACCATTAATAAGGACCCTCCCCCAATCCATCTCCCTCCATAACACATGCATCGGAAAAACGTTCACCTTGTTCCTATACACTTGCCTCCTTCCATCCACTCAAAAAATGGAGAATCTAAATTCGTCAGAGACTAGCACATTTCTCCAGCGTTGCAGGGGAAATCTGTTGGGACGATGTCTATTTAGTGCCGTTTTTGCACTTATTCGAGCATTGTAACTTCCTGGGAAATGAGCAGTAGTTTCTACAGCAGTTTGGAAAAGATTACTGAGATGAGAAGACAAATTTCTGTCTTAGTGCAGAGTCGTTACACCCCAAATGACCACTTCTAGTCCCATCGTTTAGACTTCCTGCATTCGCCGTTTAAGACATGATATGGTTGACTGTGCAACGTTAAAATATTCAGCAACAGAAATTTGATCTTGCCCTTGCAAGAGTAACCCTGTTGCTTCATCCCTCTGACATTCGTTTAAGCAAGGCATTGTGACAAGTTGATGTCAACTCAAATAAAGTGCAGAACTTTTGCACATATGCATCAAATATTAAAAAATGATCAACAATGATTACAAATTGTACCTCATGTGTCATCAGACCAAAGTTGTTGCCAAAATTTTGTGCTTCATTATTTGAACATGCTCTTTTCATGGTTGAATGATTTTCCATTCATGAACCTGTAGCCGACACTCCATTGAACAATCAAAAACATTCTTTAGCTCGGATTTTATTTTTATGTATATATAGTACCCAAAAAGTAAAATATGTGTTTCTTTTTCTTTTCAGTATAAAATTATTGGTACCAAGCACATCTTTCATTTCATTAAAACATTTAATTTCTCCATTTTCTGTCACCAGATTTCACTCAAACAAAATAAATTATTAGGCTTGGACCTAGAACTAATGTCTTTGGAGAATTCATAGAAACTGAAACACTTGAAAACATTGCTTATAAAAATTTGATACATCCTTTTTAGGATGTGGGTAAAATTTGGTTACATAAAAAAAATTATTATCCAGGTTTATTCAAAATGTATTCTGTACTCACTTGATTGAACTTGGATAACTAATAGAAAATTAAATAATAGTTAATATACATTTGTGATAAATGTATTCATTTTTTTCTCTTTCTCTTTTAGGAAGTCAAAGCAGAGCTCCCAAAGCCAATGTCTATACAAGTGATCAATTTGAGTGAAACAACTTTGAACTTTACGTATTTTCAGCTTAACACTATTGATTTTGATGATTTAGACACTGGTGTGAAAAATTTTGTATGGTTTGACAATGAGAATGTATTGTTTGAAAAGCACTTATCTCAGCCATGGAAAGATGAGGATTCTGGAACTAGGATCGAAAATTTAGATATGGAACCTTTTAAGAAACTTCTGGCTACAGTTGGATATTGTGCAGAATTAGAAGACACATCATCAAATTTTAAAGATGTTCTTATTGAACTCTAAAGTTATTAAAGGAATAAAATGATTTGAGGTTTATTTATATGTTTATTTACTTATAGGTATTGTCTCCTTTAAATACCGTAATAGGACGGGACTCAAGAATGCTTTCCAAATATCCCCATAATTCAATGTCATTTTTGAACTCCTTTCCCTGTAGAATTCCACAGGTTAAGAGATTTAGGGAAAGTTTGAAAACTAAGCAAAAATGCAGCTTGAACATTAGGCTCCTAGACCCACAAGGTGGCTTCAGAGTTGGAAGGGGATTAGTTTTGTGTGTATAGTTGTAGAAGCTTATGGGTTACTGAAATGTACCTTTGGTACCTTATATTTGGTGGAAATTAATGCAAGTTCTCCACAAATTTCATCCAGACGGTATTGTGGATTGATTATTGGCGTCCAGATTACTGAGGCTTGTCTGTTTTTCAATGCACATGCAAACCATTGACCAGGTTAAAGTTTTAGGAGCAGGTCCATTCTTTAATTACTTCAAGCCTTACCTGGACCAAACTTGCTTGAATCGTACATCTAGGGATGGACGTTAAAAAATCTGCTTGGGATGCTGAATCTGACCTATATTTTCCAGATGAATGTCCAGGTTAAAGTTTTAGAAGCAGGTCTAAGTAACTAGAAGACCTAACCTGGAACAAACTTGCTTGGATCATACATTTAGGAATGAACACTACTTATCTGCTTCGGATGCTGGATCTGACCTTTATTTGCCAAATGACTGACCAGGGTATTGTTTTTGAACTAGCTCTATATCTATATGGTCTGTTATGATAAGACTTGCATGGATGCATGGATGATTCAACAAGGGATGGACATTACTAGACTTGCTTCGGATGTTGGAACTAACTTTAGTTACATTTTATGGATGAGTGAAAAGGTAAAAGTTTTTGGAGCAGGTCCATTCCCAAGTAACTATATGTTCTACTTAAATCAAATTTGCATAGATATTGATCTCGGGATGCACACAAACTAGAAAAATAATTGGTGTGAGATTTGCCATATGGATAACATTTGCTGAGGTGAGCTTCGTAATTTTTGATTACCTATGTTTTAAAAATAAAAGTGAGAAAACAATAAAATGATTAGTTTTGTATTATATAAATTATAATCAATTATTAAATCTCCAATCGATTGTCTAAAAATTGACAGCCTTTCAAATTGATAATTGATTATAAATTGATAATGACAAACAATACTGTTTGCTGACTAAATTCATCGTGATTGTATTGTAATTGAGATGCATGGTACCATTTTGCCATCCTTATCAAAGATATACATTTAGCATGCTCTACCTGTTTTATAATCAAGGTGCGGACGTATTCACATCAGTCCTTAAAATTTGTCACACTGTATAGTATCTATTATTGACATTATCATGAGGGAATAACACTAATAAATCTATTTTTTTAAAAATTAAACCCAAAATTTGTCCCTGGAAGTATAAAATTCCTACCATCAAGTGCGTTAATGAAAATACAGTAATACTTCGGTATCTCAAACACTGATATCTTGAATACCATGGATTATGTCGAAGTGATTTGGAAGTCCCAACCCCTTATTAGGGCCCAACATGAATTTGCAGGTACCCTATAGTAATCACTCTGTCTGTCCGTCCGTCTGTCCATCTGTCATTCTTCCGTCCACAAATTTTCAGTTTTTTTTCTAATAACTTTTTTTTTAAATAGTTGACCAGTTAAGTTCAAATTTGGTATGTTGGTTGAATAGGCAGTTAGACCTATTTTGATGATAAGTTTGGTTCTCTATGTCATCCAGTTTGGAGCTGGGGTGGTGGGGTAGATTAGAATGAATGCCAGGGCAAAGAGAAATAACTGCTGAGAATGTTCCTATTGTAAACTATGAAAGCTACAACTAGTCCCGTGGGATTAATTAACTTTCCTCTTGAAAAAAAATGCAAAACATTATCTATTTCTGTCAAATTGAGATTAATTGACACTTCTGTTTGCAAATGAAATTTGTTTTGAAGTTAAGGTCAATTCTAAGTGATGTTTACATTCTCTGAAATGTGGATTTAAATAATGTTCATACTTTATTTTGGTAAAATACACAATGAGTTGTGATTTTATTGAATTATAAAAACAAGATATACATAATGATATCTTTTTATTTATTTATTTATTTTCTTTCTTTTTTATTTATTTGTTAATTTATTTATTTATCTTTTTTTTTTTTTTTTTTTTTTTTTTTTTTTTTTTTTTTTGCTTCCTTATGTAAATTCAAGAACACTATTAATTTTAGCAGGTAGTCTGATAATAACCTCATTCTACCATTACTGAAAAAGTTCTTTTGTAAACTTGAAAGAAAAGGATGAGAGAGCAGTACAATTAATCCCCTGAGATTAATTATCTTGCCTGGTGCAGAATATTTGTCACTTTAAGATAAATTAACACCTTTGTCTGCAACTGATGTTTGTTTTGAAGTTAAGGTCAAACATGGGTGATATTTGCATTCGCTGAAGGCTGGCATTTTATAATACACATGCTTTATTTATAAATACGGGTATACTATTTACAAGCTGTTGGATATTTAGGAATTATCTTGAAATTTTATAAATACAGTTGTTGCATATTCTTCTTCATATATGTTTAAATTTTTGTAATCAAGTAAAATTCTCATTCTGTAAGCTGCACCCTTACATTTCTACCCCTCGGCGGGGCCCTTGCTGACTGGTCAGTTTTCTAGTTCTTTAAGTATTTTACCCTGGATATCTCAAACCCTCTGATATTTCAAAGTTTTTTTCTTGGTCCATTGAGTTCAAGATAACGAGGTTTGACTGTATGTCAATGTTTTACAAATTATTTGCAAATATGCAAGGTTTAACAAACGAAAATTAAGATATATACTAATGAGAACTTCTAACCCAACACTCTATTTTTTCAGTAGCTTAAATACTAGTCGGCAATTCCATACTAAAATTTACATGATGCTTCTGTTACTAATAATCGGTTATTTAACACTAAAATATTGAAAAGGTTGAGAAAAAATTGAACCATGACGATCTTTCGTGTAATGCAACGCTAAATTTTGTTTTCTTCATTTTTGTTTTGGTTTCTTTGAACATTTCTTTTACTAAAATACAGAACACGTGTACATATTTGTAAAAATGTAACATGTTTGCAGAGGAAGGCAGACGGGCCATTGATACAACACGTAATGTTCAAAAAAGGACAATTTCTGCGTTTATCACTTTTTTTTATCAAAAATGTTTAAAGTTTGCTTAGAGGTCAGTTAAGGAATAACTGTCTACGGTAATATTAAAAATAGCCTTTGAGATTTTGTAATAAAATTTTATATTACAACCCCTTATGGCCTAAAGAAGACCACTATTGATTTTGAGTTCAAAAGGTCTAGGTCATAGATCATACCTTGCAAATAACAGTTTCCAGATGATAACTTCAGTTTTCTTTGAGTTTTTTTCTCAATGAAAATTTAATATAATAATTCCCTGCCCCCCCCCCCCAAAAAAAGAAGACTACTATTGATTCTGAAGTGAAAAGGTCAAAGGTCAAGGCCAGAATTCATACGTTTTGTCTGTGTATAACACTTTGGTTTCCAGACTAAATGATTCTTAAAAAGCCTCTGAGATTTTGCATTGAATTTTATATCACAACCCTCTATGGCCTTAAAAACACCCACCCCATTGAGGTCAAAGGTCAGAAGGTCAGAAATTTATGTGTTGCTAAAAATTATTTCCAGATGATAACTTTAGTTTTCTTTGAGCTTTTTCAATGAAGTTATCCTAACTCCTAGTGAATTAAAAAAGACTCCTATTTATTTTTACATCAAAAGGTCAATGGGCGAGGTAAGAAATTCATACAATAAAAAAATAATGGTTTCCAGATGATAACTTTTTTCCTTGCATTTTTTTTTTAGCAGATTAATCTTAAAAAATTATCCCCTATTAGTATATAGGTTCGTGGTTTGAATTTTCACTAACTGAGGACACTTGCATAGTAGGACTTATAAGGACCCTGCTGTTCTCGAAAAAAAAAAAATTGACCCCCCCCCCAATATATATTTCCATAGAAAACTTTGATCCCCTGTTGTGACCTATATATATATATATATATATATATATATATATATATATATATATATATATATATATATATATATATATATCGAACCTACACTTTCTCAGGAAGTTTCCACATATACCAAGAAATATTGTCCTGTCTAGATTTGGGGTGAAACTCAATTAAATCATTGCATGTCAAGTGTTGCAGTATATGTTAGGTCTATTGAATTATTTCGATTTGCAATCTTTAATTTACTAATCAGCATTCTATTCTTGTATTACTGTTTACTATTACTGACTATTCTATTATAGCAATCTTTCATTTGTATTTTTTATTTGCATTTTAAAATTGTCCATTTGTATGGCATGTTTCACTTCTTTGTGTGTGTGTGTGTGTGTGTGTTTAATTGTGATCAAGAATTGTTTATCTGTGTTGTATAATTTTATACATGTATATGTGTATCCCTTTTCCTCTTGTTTTCTGTGTTAATTTATTGCCCATTTGTATTGTGTATCTATACCCACACTTTCTGAAGAAATTTAAGCAGTAATTGTAACCAATACATTTTTTGGAATATGATAATTGGTATCATATAGACGTCAGGTCCGTAGAACGTTCAAGCTCCCCACTTTTTTTCTGCATATAGTGTTTTGCTATATTAAACTATCCTTAAGATGCTGGTGCCCCCCCTTTTTTTGTAACTGTAAGGTCTAGTACCTTCATTTTTACCCGCGGGGGGGGGAGGGGGGGGGGAGGTCAAAAATGCCTTTTTTCCCTTTTTTTTTTTTTTTAAAGAAACATGGTTCCCAGAGCTCCTCATACATTTTATCCAGTAGCCAAATTATCTTTTGCAAGATGGCTGTTGGTATCCTGCGCCCCGGGGGGCCAATTGGGGGTCGAAAAAAATCAGTGATGTTTCCAAGTTCCAAAGTTCTTTGGCTTATGTTTTTCCTCCTTTTTCTTTAAAGAAAAACATTATTCTTAACTCCCCCTTTTAAAATCAGAATTTACTTCATCATAATCTCTATTTTCCATCGTAGGAAACCCACCGTCAATCTCGCACACGTTTAAAGTCATATATGGCATACTTTTGATTAAAAAGATCTTTCTATTTGTTTTATTACTTTATATAAAGAAAGGACCTTCCAGTGAATTACACAATTTAAATCAATCGCGTTTCATAGATATTAGAAATTTAAACAATCACGAAACAATAACTGATTTATTTACCGACTCCGCATTTAAATATCAGATACAGTTTGTAACACAATTGGAACTCACCTTATATATAAATAAACTATATATTAACTTTTAATATATATATATATATATATATATATATATATATATATATATATATATATATATATATATATATATATATATGTTGTGTTCGTGTATTTGATTCATAAGGACATATGTGTACAAGGCATAATAATCCTTATATGTCCTTGAGAACCATATAGGTTCTTATGTACTCTTTTCCTACATATTAATTGTATGTATAAAGTAATTCAATATTCAGGCATTGACACAATTTTCATAATTGAATGATGAACTAATAAATCTGTTTGTATATTAATAATCGATAAGATCAGATTAACCTTATTGACGGAATTTCATAATTGACCAATGTTCTTGATAAAATGTACTGAATAATTTAGATGTTTTCTAATACATGTAATGCAATTAACTTGAAGATTCGAAATAAGTATAAAGAGACTGGACAGGCGGAGAAAAGGGAGAGACTCTGAAATAACTAACCACTATAAGAACTTTAGAATCTGTGCTAGTAAGGCTAATAGTGGACTGTACTAGTGATTTCTACAAAAGACTTGTATCATAACTGTTCATTTATATGACGTTTTTTGCACAACTGTAATTTAATAAATACATTCTGCACCCATACCCAAGGCGTTGTGTTATAAGTTTAAAGTCAATTTAACTATAGAAACGTGAGGTTTTCAAGTTCAAAATCAGTGAAAATTTTAATTTGAACGTAAATAACAAATATCATGTTTATCTACACTCAGTCTCGCATTTTTTATTTTTAGCTCAGATACGCCATATATAGCTTTAAGTGGGTTTCCGACGATGTTATTTTCAGACTGGTAATGGATTTATTATATGGAATACTGACATAAGAGGCCCATGGTCATATGTTCACCTGTATATTTTATGCACGGTTTGATACATGTATGTTTCGTAAATGTTATAACACAAAATGTAAAAAAAAAAAGAAAACCAACTTTTCCTAATTATTACGCTTTGCGTTATTACATTTTGCGTTGAAGTTTACTAAGAATGTAATTTAGCAGAATGTAATGATCGCTAAATTATATCTCCACAAATAAATGCATTTTTCATATAAAGTGGAAATATATTGCAATCAGTTAAGTTTTTTTTTAATACAAATTTGATTACTTTATCCAAAATATTCCTAAATTTTGTGTCGGTATATTAATTTATTAAAACAAAATGTCGAAATCAATGTTAGTTGCCTTTAAAAAATGCCTACCATATTTTCAAACATTTGGAGGTATTTTATACCTCATAATATTTTTATATAAATAGGGTTTAATTTAATTTACAGCTTATATGTTAAAGTGTTTCTGTTATATTTTACTGTAATTCTCTAACTTGTTGAGCCTCGGGAAATAGTATCTCCATGAACTTGGAGGGATAATTTAACACAAGTAATTCAATTGGCGTTAATAAAATTTGTGTAATTTTCGTCACAGAATGCGAGGAAAGAAAACTGTGAATACAGCTCTATACATGTATTTTAATACCATATAGTATAGACAGATTATTGTCACATAGGAAATGTGATTTAAATTGTTTCCAATGATATCTAAATTTTAATATTAAATCTATAGAGTATATCATTACATTTTGCGTTAACGTCGACGAAAATGTAATAATAAAAAAAAGCGTGTTATTACATTTTGCGTTATTATATTCTGCTTTGATCTCGATGCAAAATGTAATAACTCAAAATGTAATAATCTTAGTTTGTTAAATCTTCCGTCGTTATTACAGTTTGCGTTGTATCAGCGTACATTTAGAGGCAAACACGCACGTGCAGGTATGTCAGCATCTACTTTCTACTTGTATTCCAAAATTTTCCATCTGCATTCTATAATTCTTCATTCGTTGTCTATAATATTCCCCATTTGTATTCTTAATGTTTCGTTATTGTGTGTAAATTCCATTTGCATTTGATATTATTTTTTGGGGGGGGGGGGATATCGTTGTCACTTTTTTATTACTTATTTTCTATTTATATTTAATAATTGTGCATTTGTTTCCCTTCATTTTCTTTATTTCGCTAGACTTTATTAAATTTTATTTATATAACATGTTTCATTTTTTATTGTATGTGAATTTCATCTGTATTCGGTTACAAAATGTAATTGTAGTCTATGATTAGAATTATTGAATACAAATGGTATTCACGTACGATTTGAGCACAATATAATATTATTTAAAAAAAAAAAAAAAAAGATGTACAGAGCTTCAACGCATATATCAATACACAAATGGAAAATTATAAAAAAGAAGAAAAAATAGAAAATATATTATGCAGTTATATACTAGAATATACAAAAAGTTTAAATTTATACTTTTATATTCCCTGAAGATGCTACATTCGTAACGTAAAAACTTTTGACAGAACCGAGTTGATAGAAAAATTCGGATCAGTGCTTGGTAGGTCGACGTCACATTACACCTATCAGAAAATCATGGTGGGCCGTGTGTGTATTCGGCTTCTCTACGAGTCTCTAAGCTGTGACACCTAGATACTGACACGTCCCATTTCCCGTATATTGGTCGGAACCTTTTTGATACATATAGTATATACTTGTCATTATATATATATATATATATATATATATATATATATATATATATATATATATATATATATATATATATATATATATAAAATAAATGCAAAGGAAATTTTTAATTGCACCTAATTTATACATTCATCAGCAATACCGTGCTCATTATGAGTTAAAAATTAAAAACACACACCTTCTTTTGGTAATCAGTGGTGATAAGTATGTATACTTATGCGACACATTTAATTTAATTCAACGATTTCACGTATACTAAATACTAGTAAAACAGAAGGGAAAACCAAAGATACTGAGCAATGCTTTTGTCTTGTCACCCCCGTGTCATAGGAATGGAATGTTCCAAGGGAGACTGAAGGGACATCCGGGCTGCAAACGAGACATCACAGACACTGTAGTCTCTAGATAATTATACCACTGGAAAACAAAACAAAACAAAACAAAAACGCTTGTCCTCTAGGAATCAACAGGTTAGACCAAGTATCTACTGGGTATGCTTGATCAAGTGTCTCCTAAAATTGGTCAAACTTTGTGCCCTGTTTCATGAAGATATTGACAGTATTTGGTAAGCATGTGCATGACTTGAACATCAACTGTTGAATATCAAGTGCGATGGTGCCCACAAGGCCCTGCACATGAAAGGAAGAAGAAATGTGTTTGAAGTGCATATGTGTTAAAATAAGTATCAATATTTTAGTAATGGAGGGCAGGTCAAGTTCTATAATCCATTTGGTGAATAAGGTGGCTTTGCTTTCTTTCGGTGAATATTTTTGGAAACTCGATCCAGTAGGCATGGTAGGCCTCAAAGACAATTGTACTGTACATTTTTAAAAAATGATGGTAATGTTAGACAGACCAATAACTTTTGACTGATATGATTTGATATGATTTGTTGAGATTCTCATGTTAAATTTTAAGAAAGCATTTGTGGGTGCATATTTTTTCTAGCCTTGATGTTCTGTGGTTTAATACTATAATGTGCAAAATAATTTCAACATTGTTCAAGATGCTAGTCCTACAGTTTTGTGTAATTGGAAGGCAAACCTGGTACTTTGAGTAAATACAGTATAAATTTAAAAGCCAGGGCCATCTTTATTTACATAAAAATTTGGACTAAGACCAAAACGTAATTTTGCAAATAACTTTCTTTTTTTGAAAATTGTTTTAATCTTTTTTAAAAATATAGATTGAAAGGTATTTTTATACAAGCAATTTTTATATTAATTTGGCAAATTTTACAATCAACTTGTTTTTAGCTCACCTGAGCCGAAGGCTCAAGTGAGATTTTCTGATCGAAATTTGCCCATTGTTGTTGTCGTTGTAAACTTTTCATTCACATTTTCATCTTCTTCTCAACAACATTGGACCAATTTCAGCCAAACTTGGCACAGAGGGGGAACTCTACCAAATAAGTTACAGTGATGGTTGGAAACCATTTTATGAAGTCATGAATTTCTTTCCTTGACATTTTAACTTAAAATATCAAAAGGTGTCTTCATTAAGTCATTGGGAGCTTTGATATGAAAATTCATAGAAATAGCTAAAAAAAAAAATATAAAGTTATCATATGGAAACTATTTTTTTTTGCACGGTATGAATTTTATGTGTTCTTGACTTTTAAACTTTTGACCTAAAAATAAATAGGGATCTTTTCTAAATCACTAGAACTAAGATAAGAAACTTCATTGAAAAGCTCAAAGTAAAAGCTAAATTTAATATCTAGAAACCATTTTTTGCCATATATAAATTTCTGACCATGACCTTTTGACCTCAAAATCAATAGGAGTCTTTTTAAAGCCATTTTGAGTTGTTATATTAAATTTCATTGAAAAAGCTCAAAGGAAAACTGAAGTTATCATCTGAAAACTGTTATTTGCAATGTATGAAATTATGACCTTGACCTTTGACTTTTTGACCTGAAAATCAATAGAGGCCTCCTTTAGGCTACAGCTACAGGGAGTTGTGATATAAAAATAATTTTATTACAAAAGCTCAAAGACTTTTTAAGATATCACCAGGTAAAGAAAGTGTTACACACAGACATATTGAATAGGTTTATGAACTTGACCTTTGAGCTTGACCCTTAAATCAATAGGTCTTTAAGCCATAGGGAGTTGTGAAATAAAATTTTATTGCAAAAGCAGGATATTTTTAGCTCACCTGAGCCAAAGGCTCAAGTGAGCTTTTCTGATCAACATTTGTCCGTTGTCTGTCGTCGTTGTAGTCGTTGTCGTCGTTGTTGTAAACTTTTCAAATTTTCATCTTCTTCTCAAGAACCACTGGGCCAATTTCAACCAAACTTGCCACAAAGTATTCTTGGTTAAAGGGGATTCAAGTTTGTTCAAATGAAGGGCCACGCCTTCTTCCAAGGGGAGATAATTAAGAATTTGTGAAAAATTAATGGCATCATTAAAAAATCTTCTCCTCAAGAACCACAGTGCTTGAAAATATGAAACTTATGTGGAAGCATCCTCAGATAGTGTAGATTCAAGTTTGTTCAAATCATGTCCCCTGGGGGTCGGGTGGGGCCACAATGGGCGATCAAAGTTTTACATAGGAATATATAGGAAAAGTCTTTAAAAATCTTCTTCTCAAGAACAGCAAAGCCGTGATTGGTCATATGTACATGGAAGCATCCTCAGGTAGTGTAGATTCAAATTTGTTCAAATCATGACCCCCGGGGGTCGGGTTGGACCCCAATGGGTGATCAAAGTTTTACATAGGAATATATAACCCGAAAAAATCTTTAAAAATCTTCTACTCAAGAACAGCAAAGCCATGATTGGTCATATTTAAATGGAAGCATCCTCAGATAATGTAGATTCAAATTTGTTCAATTCATGAGCCCCCCCCCCCCCCTCCCCCCCACTTTTATATATAAACTTTTCAACCTTTCAAGACTGAACTGATTTCTGCTTTTTTCTAGCCATAGTGCTCAGGTGAGCGATGTGGCCCCTGGGCCTCTTGTTATAATAAACAATGAGCCAATTACTAAAATAGTGAAATTCATGGCATCTGGATTTAGGAGGGGCTAGGTTGGTCAAATATTGTAAAATTATATCCCCCCCCCCCCCCCCCCCCCGAACCACTTTTTTATTTATTTATTTAAACTTTTCAACCTTTCAAGACTGAACTGATTTCTGCTTTTTCCTAGCCATAGTGCTCAGGTGAGCAATGTGGCCCCTGGGCTTCTTGTTGAATATTGTTCTGAAATGAAAGTCTTCCACAAAGATAGTGTATGAATTTATTACCTTGACCTTTGACCTTTTGACTTCAAAATCAACAGGGGTCTTCTTTAGGCCATAGGGGTTGTGATATAAAATTTCATTGCAAAAGCTCAAAGGATTTTTAGCTCTTCTGAGCCAAAGGCTCAAAGAGCGAATGCTATGGCCATTTGTGAGGTGTGCGTAAACTTTTTAGAATATGGGCCATAACTCAAGAACCCCTTGGCCAATTATTGTCAAATTTGTCACAGGGTGTCCTTGGCCCAAGGGCTCCTGTTTGTAATAAAACTAGGGTTGTGACCTTTAAACAAGGGGAGATAATTAGGAAAATAGAAAAAGTACTAATTGCTAAAAAAATCTTCTTCTCAAGAACACTGGGCAGAATATCACCAAACTTACACAAAAGGATGAAGATATGTTGTAGATTAAAATTTGCACGGGGATTTACCCTGGGGCAAAGGGCGTGATCTCAAGGTCACTTCAGAGTTGACCGAAATTACATTTATTAAAATGTTGATATTTTGCTTACTATAAGGACTAGGATCATCAAATCTTGTCAGTTGATGCATCTAAGGACCTCATATCATGTTGACTCAAAAGTAGGTCACGGTGACCTACTTTTTAAATTTTGCGGCCATTCTTTTTCAAAATGATTTAGAGGCATGTTTTGAACAATTTAGGGCCTATGATCATCAAACTTTGTCAGTTGATGTATCTTGGATCCCCGGAGTAAGTCGATTAAAAAGTAGGTCACCTTGACCTACTTTTTGAATTTTATGGCTAATCTTTTTCAAAACAATTAAGGTCATTAATTCGAATACTGAGAGGTTTAGAATCATTAAATCTTCTAAGATGATGCATCTTGGGGCCATAAAACATATTTATTAAAAAGTAGGTCACAGTGACCTACTTTTTGAACTTTGCAGGCATTCGATTTCAAAGCGTTTTAGAGGCATATTTTGGACATTTTAAGGCTTATGATCATAAAACTAAAAAAAAATAATTTGATGCATCTAGGGTCCTCAAAAAACGTCAACTAAACAGTAGGTCACGGCGACCTACTTTTCAATTTATATGACTATGATTAAATATTTCAGGTACTAATTGGCTTAGAATCATCAAACTTTGTCAGTTGATGCATCTTGGGTCCGCAGAGTTAGTCGACTGAAAAGGAGGTCACTGTGACCTATTTTTGAAATTTTATGGCTTTATTTAAATATATCAGGTACTTATTGGCTTAGAATCATCAAACTTTGTCAGTTGATGCATCTTGGGTCCTCAAAGTGTGTCATCTGAAAAGTAGGTCACTGTGACCTACTTTTGAAATTTTATGGTTATAATTTTAAAAATATTTTAGGTATTAATCGGCTAAGAATCATCAAACTTAATTGATGCATTTTGGGTCCTCAGAGAATGACAAGTGATAAGTAGGTCACCATGACCAACTCTCAGGTACTAATTGGCTTAGAATCATCTTGGGCTCTCGGAGTGTTTCATCTAAAATGTAGGTCATGATGACCTACCTTTGGAATTTCAAGGGTTTATCTAAATATACAGGATACTTAGAGGCTTCAAATAGAAGTAACAGGTTGTACAGTTTATCAGAAGAGCGATTCAAGGCCCTTGGGCCTCTTGTTGAGATTGTCTAGGAACGAAAGTGTTAAACACAGAGATTAGATCAAGGTCAGAAATTTATATATTGCAAAACCAGCTCTGTTTGAGCTTTTTCAGTTGTATATATCATAGCTCCTAGTATCTTAAAGAAAACCCTATTGATTTATAGGTCAAGTGGTCAAAGGTCAAGGTCATAAATTCATACAATGCAAAAAATGGTTTCCAGATGATAACTTTAGTTTTTCTTTAGTTTTTTAGCTCACTTGAGCCGAAGACTCAAATGAGATTTTCTGATTGAAATTTGTCCATTGTCAGTCATTGGTGTAAACTTTTCACATTTTCATCTTCTTCTCAAGAACCACTGGGCCAATTTGAACCAAACTTGCCACAAAGTATTCTTGGGTAAAAGGGATTCAAATTTGTTCAAATGCCATCCAACAACAGTCTACAGATGGAATAAAATTCACAACAAGCGAGTTTATTGGTCTGTAGAGACTACTAGAAAGGGTTAAGAGATGGATAAAATATACATATTGGTTATAGAATATGTCTAGAAGTAGGGAATGAAAGGTAGTTGAATGACCAATGCTGAAAAGTGGCCAAATCCATCCCCAAAGTGCGCAGAAAATCTTGCGCTGTAAATTGCACAATATTTGCATTATGGGATCAGTAGTGTTATGGTCAAAGACTAACATGACTAAAATATAAAACCATAACGCTACAGTTCTGCAGCTAATATTGAACGTGCTTAATACAAATTGATGGTTACAGCGAAATGATTTTCAATTCCTGTGGCTTTAAAATATATTGTGAACTTAGCAAATGAAGAGCCACACCCTCTTTCAAAGGGAGATGATTAAGAAAAAAGACAAAATATAGTTCGGTTATTTCAAAATCATCTTCTCAAAAACAATTGGACCAGAAAAGACAAAACTTGTGTAAAACGTACCTCATATATGTAGATTCAAGTTTGTTCAAATTACTGTCCCTGGGGCTTGGGTGGGACCACAACAAGGGGGTCTAAGTTTAACATTGAGATATGTATCACTAAAAATCTTGATCACAAAGTGAACAATGCCATTAGTCACATTAGCCTTTAAGGCTCTTGTATTGCAAGTTTGATTTAATTATAGCCCCAGGGAGTAGGGTGGGACTACCATCAGAAAACAAAGTCTTAGATAGAAATATAGGAAAAACTCTTTAAAATTCCTCTCAAGAACAGCAGGCCATCTTAAGTTATAATATTAAATATGCAAGCATGCATATGTAGTGGAAAATCAAATTTGTTCAAATCATAACCCCTGGTGGTAGGATGGGGTCACTATAATGGTTCAAAGTTTTGCCTGTTAATAATATAAAGGCAAAAACTATTAAAAGCCTTCATTTAAAGAGCAAAATTAAGGATACACCAAAGGTTTCCAAATGCCAGAATTTAATTTGTATGTAATTCTTTCATTATCAAAGATAACATAATAAAAGTATATATCATTTGAAAGCTTGTTAAATTTACTATTTAATTATCCTATTTTAAACTTTAATTAATAACTTATTTAAAAATTATTTAAATATTACTGTAAATTTTAGTGCATAAATATTTTATTAATCAACTTTTTTGTATTTAACCCCTCAAAGTGGTCATTTTGCTTAAAGGTAGACTAAATATTGAACTTAAAAACTGTATCTCAGATTTTTGATAAATCTTCTAAATCAAAAGTTACAGCCATTTTCCCTTCAATGTTACTAATTTATTAGCCTAATTTAACATTTCCCTCAATAATTCCAAAACTAAGCTAGGTATCAAAAATCTGAGATACGGTTTTGTGAACACACATTTGAGAAGCAGCCCATCCAATTTTCAGAGAAATTGGTCAATAAATAAGGGAGCTGAATCCTTTGAAATAATACCACAAACTGTCTGATCTTACTTTACAGTAGAGGGCAAAACCCCATTACACAACAAAATCTGCCAAAGCTAGGAATATATGACACCTTGGAGATTCAGCTTTGGATACCTGTCACTTAGCCATATTTCCATGCATATTCACAAGAATGGGAGGTTCTTTTCTGTATTTAGATGCTTTTAATTAAGTAAAAATAGGTTCAATTCTGAATCAGAAAGATTTCCCGGAAAATGGCAAGAGCTAAGCTCCACCTCCTATTTTATGGTCATCACTGATCTGTTAGATCTCTTTCTCTAAATCTAGAGTCCCTGTAGTTTAATTACTGATAACCTTTGTGTGGCTAGTGAAGAATTCTCCAAGTGGTCACAGTGATTTATTTCGTCTTTCATGAGCAGGCAGTCACTGGTCAAATCAGAAGCTTCAATAACGGGACATTCACATGTGGCAGTGTTTATGTTTCATTATTGTTAAATAATTAGAAAACCATTTCATAATTACCAAGAATTTTACATGCATTATAAAGCAGTGATTAACTTCTTTTTCTTGGCCAAAAATCTCAAAATTGTTGAAAATCTTGAAAAAAGCCTTTGGTGTATCCTTAAGGGCCATGATAGTCATGTTTATTGCTGCAAGTTTCCTCATGTATTGCAGATTCTTAAAGATCCGCAGGGGTATAGTGAATTATTACTCTTTGGGCTATGATGAGGCCATAACATGGGTCAAAAATTTTCAGGGGAATAAAGAGGGACAGTAATCTTATAAAAATCATCTGATTGAAAATCGCAGGCCCATGGTAATTCAGGTGAGCCTTATGGCCCATGGGGCTCTTGTTTGTTTTTTTTGTAGATTAGAAACAGTGAAAATGGTGATGTCAGACATTTTCCTCAATGAGGACATCATTAAACTGCTGCACAACAAATTTGTCATCATTATAGGAGATTCAAGTAAGTTTTTTTCAGGGATTCACTGAAAGACATAAATTAGACCTATTTTTATTTATGTATGATACATGCGGACAAAATGGATCCATGTACATGTAGTAACATAATTATGTAAAATCATTTATATCTAGAAGTTATAAAGTGTATATAAGAACATTAAGACAAGGTATTGCCACCTAAAATCTTAAAAATGTATTTATAAACAGAGACAAGATCCATTAATTTTCCTGATATACTGCTAGTTCTTGTTAATTTACTTCTGGTCTTGCAAATGAATGAAAATTGCACAAATAAACATAAGTAATCCATCCTGAAAATCAACAGCGATGTAGATATAAAGTTTAAAAATTTCTCTGATAAATATTATGAGTACACGCAAATTAAACTGTTACAACAGATTCAATTTGCTCAATTTTGCAAATGCCACACCAACCAAACACTCTCAGACCTGGCTCCAAGACCATAAACGGAGAATAGACTTGAGTCAAAATTTCAAATTAATATAACTTTTGAAATAATTTTGATAAACAAAATTTTCATTACATGTTTGAACTTGAATATAATACAAACCTGCCAATTTTTATACACATATGCTAAATAAAACTCAAGATATTCAAAATCAAAATTTTGACTTAAATCTGTTCTCAGTTTATGGTCTTGAGGCCTGATTTAGATTGAGGTGACATTTTAGAATAATTCTTAAATTCTCACAAGTACACTCGCAGCTGGACACAGTGTGATGAATTGTAATATTCAACATGTCAATTGAAGTCAAATCAAAGTTAACACAGTCATAACAAAGGAAGCGATAAGTTTGTTTTGAACATGCTTTTTGTAAAGTTAAGTATGAGTGCACGTTTATGGGCTCATCTTCTTTTAATATGACAGTATTTTGTTCAATGTACAACTACAATTTTCTTAAGAACAGCTGACAAATATGTGCTTACTATGTATTAAGACAATGAAAAAACCATAACCCTGATTATCTATTGATATTCAAGAAATCTTTGGGTCCCATTCCATTGATATTTATTTGGTTTTCCTTGAAAAGAGTGTTTTAAATTCATATACCAGTATGTATTAACTTAAGGTATCTATGATTTATATTATGGAAAGAAATAAACATTTTATAAAACTTCAATTTACGGCTAATTTTCAGGACTTGTATGTCCTCTCATTTGTGGACGTAATGAATGTTTGCAGGGAAAAAAAATTTTGGAGCCGCAAGGCCATTTTAGTTGATATTGAAGCATCTCCTTGTTGTGTAGATTCAAAGTTGTTAAGTCCTGACCCAATAGATCTAGGTTAGGCAAAAAAATGGGGTCAAAATTTTTCATTGCAATAAGAGAGGAAATAAATTTTCTAAATATTTTCTTCTCAAAGAAAAGTAGGACCAAGATTACTGATGACCAGGCATTGTGGCCCATAGGAATTTTGTTATTTTGTTTAAGCAAAACACAAGACAAAACATTACTTCCCTATATGCTTACATTAACATTTTATTGTTTTGTTTAGTTCAGAGAGCCATATATAAAGATTTGGTTATGCTGCTGCAGAAAAACCTGTATTTAAAAGACAAACACCTTCGTAATAAGGTAAGACTATGGAATGAAGACTTGTTGAAAGTAATCTTGAAGGTCACCTGAGTAACTAAGGTAATGATGTTTTTATCCATTGATTGTACAACTGTCATAAATTTTGAACATTTATCACTTTTTATCTTGAACCCCTGAACCAATATCAATCAATTTTGCTATAAAACATCTATGGGCAAAATGGAACAAAAATTGTGAATTTCATGGTCTCTACCTTACAGGGCCTTGAAAGGTAGGGCCAAAACCACTAAGATCAATGCAATAATCTTATTCCTTACTCCTGGACATGAAGCAGTAAAACTTTTGGTATTTTAAGCTCACCTGAGCCAAAGGCTCAAGGGAGCTTTTCTGATCAAAATTTGTCCGTTGTCTGTCGTCGTCGTTGTCGTCGTTGTTGTTGTAAACTTTTCACATTTTCATCTTCTTCTCAAGAACCACTGGGCCAATTTCAACCAAACTTGCCACAAAGTATCCTTGGGTAAAGGGGATTCAAGTTTGTTCAAATGAAGGGCCACGCCTTCTTCCAAGGGGAGATAATTAAGAATTTGTGAAAAATTAATGGCATCATTAAAAAATCTTCTTCGCAAGAACCACTGTGCTTGAAAATATGAAACCTATGTGGAAGCATCCTCATGTAGTGTAGATTCAAATTTGTTCAAATCATGACCCCTGGGGGTCGGGTGGGGCCACAATGGGCGATCAAAGTTTTACATATGAATATATAGGAAAAATCTTTAAAAATCTTCTTCTCAAGAACAGCAAAGCCATGATTGGTCATATTTATATGGTAGCATCCTCAGATAGTGTAAATTCAAGTTTGTTCAAATCATGACCCCCGGGGGTCGGATGGGGCCACAATAGGCGATCAAAGTTTTACATAGGAATATATAGGAAAAATCTTTAAAAATCTTCTTCTCAAGAACAGCAAAGCCATGATTGATCATATTTACATGGAAGCATCCTCAGATAGTGTAGATTCAAGTTTGTTCAAATCATGACCCCCGGGGGTAGGGTGGGGCCACAATGGGCAATCAAAGTTTTACATATGAATATATAGGAAAAATCTTTAAAAATCTTCTTCTCAAGAACAGCAAAGCCATGATTGGTCATATTTACATGGAAGCATCCTCAGATAGTGTAGATTCAAATTTGTTCAAATCATGACCCCCGGGGGTCAGGTGGGACCACAATGGGCGATCAAAGTTTTACATATGAATATATAGGAAAAATCTTTAAAAATCTTCTTCTCAAGAACAGCAAAGCCATGATTGGTCATATTTATATGGTAGCATCCTCAGATAGTGTAAATTCAAGTTTGTTCAAATCATGACCCCCGGGGGTCGGATGGGGCCACAATAGGCGATCAAAGTTTTACATAGGAATATATAGGAAAAATCTTTAAAAATCTTCTTCTCAAGAACAGCAAAGCCATGATTGATCATATTTACATGGAAGCATCCTCAGATAGTGTAGATTCAAATTTGTTCAAATCATGACCCCCGGGGGTAGGGTGGGGCCACAATGGGCAATCAAAGTTTTACATATGAATATATAGGAAAAATCTTTAAAAATCTTCTTCTCAAGAACAGCAAAGCCATGATTGGTCATATTTACATGGAAGCATCCTCAGATAGTGTAGATTCAAATTTGTTCAAATCATGACCCCCGGGGGTCAGGTGGGACCACAATGGGCGATCAAAGTTTTACATATGAATATATAGGAAAAATCTTTAAAAATCTTCTTCTCAAGAACAGCAAAGCCATGATTGGTCATATTTATATGGTAGCATCCTCAGATAGTGTAAATTCAAGTTTGTTCAAATCATGACCCCCGGGGGTCGGATGGGGCCACAATAGGCGATCAAAGTTTTACATAGGAATATATAGGAAAAATCTTTAAAAATCTTCTTCTCAAGAACAGCAAAGCCATGATTGATCATATTTACATGGAAGCATCCTCAGATAGTGTAGATTCAAATTTGTTCAAATCATGACCCCCGGGGGTAGGGTGGGGCCACAATGGGCAATCAAAGTTTTACATATGAATATATAGGAAAAATCTTTAAAAATCTTCTTCTCAAGAACAGCAAAGCCATGATTGGTCATATTTACATGGAAGCATCCTCAGATAGTGTAGATTCAAATTTGTTCAAATCATGACCCCCGGGGGTCAGGTGGGACCACAATGGGCGATCAAAGTTTTACGTAGGAATATATTGGAAAAATCTTTAAAAATCTTCTTCTCAAGAACAGCAAAACCATGATTGGTCATATTTACAAGGAAGCATCCTCAGATAGTGTAGATTCAATTTTTTTCAAATCATGACCCCCGGGGATAGGGTGGGGCCACAATGGGTGATCAAAGTTTTACATAGGAACATGTAGTAAAAATCTTTAAAAAAAAAAACTATTTCTTAAGAACAGCAAAGCCATGATATGCATATTCATATTCATATGGAAGCATTCTTAGATAGTGTACATTCAAGTTTGTTCAAACATGACCCCTGGGGGTCGGGTGGGGCCACAATGGGTGTTCAAAGTTTTACATAGGAATACATAGGTTAAATCTTTAAAAATCTTCTACTCAAGAACAGCAAAGCCATGATTGGTCATATTTAAATGGAAGCATCCTCAGATAATGTAGATTCAAATTTGTTCAATTCATGAGCCCCCCCCCCCCCCCCCCCCCACTTTTATATTTAAACTTTTCAACCTTTCAAGACTGAACTGATTTCTGCTTTTTTCTAGCCATAGTGCTCAGGTGAGCGATGTGGCCCCTGGGCCTCTTGTTATAATAAACAATGAGCCAATTACTAAAATAGTGAAATTCATGGCATCTGGATTTAGGAGGGGCTAGGTTGGTCAAATATTGTAAAATTATATCTTATGAGTCTTCTGTACTCATGGAAATCTAGCATGCAAACTGTCTGAATGATTACCGTGGAATGCATGTAGTGAGTGCTCAACATTTTCAAAAGAAAAAAAAAATTGTGAGATTCATGGCTCCAGGGTCTTTGGTTCAGCCTTAGGTTGGGGCTAAGTTGGTCATATAGTCACAGGTGACGATCTTTCTCTATTCATTGAATTTCAGCAGGCAAACTTTTTCTAATTATGTTAAAATAAACAAGTAGCCCTCTACCAAAATTGTGAAATTCATGACCCCTGGGCCCACATTTAAGGGTGCAGGGCTAAGTTTGTGTCATACATTGTATATGGTAATTATTTTTCTTAACTCATGGACATCTAGTAGAAAAAAAAACATGTAGCTCATTTGATAGGTACAATTAGCAGTTACAGTTTACAAAAAAAAAAAAAAAAAAATCATGGCACCTGGGTCCAAGCATTCAGGCTCCAGGAGTTGGTCATATTTTGACATCTTTGAGAAATCTTCTTTTCTAAAGGACATCAAGACAGCAAACTGATTATATTACAATGAAACCTTCACTTGAAAAAAAAAATTGTAAAAATTCATGTCCCCCTGAGTCCAACACCCAGGCCTCAGGGTGGAGCTGTGTAGGTAGTATATTAAAAATACATTAGACACTTAAGGTGTCACAGTTCCCCAGTTCCACATACTGTACATCTTAATGTGTATTTGTTGATGCAGTATTTAAAATATACAATGATTTGACCCAGTTGAGGAAACTTGTAAGGAAAACTGTTGTTCAGTTATATTGAATGTTCTTGAACATTTTTACTCTAAAGTAATTGTATATGAAACATTACAGGGCGAGATGAGTTTTGAAAGAGATGAATTAATTGAGGGAGGTCGTAAAGGATTAATGAGCAATGGCGTGAATTACAGGGAGATAAGACAGTACCATAGGGAAAACCACCTTATCCGCTTTTACTTCGTCACCAGATGCTACAATACCTATATGGAATCAATATTGTCTGACATCAGCAAAGATCCCAAACCAGATATCATAATAATGAATTCCTGTCTGTGGGACATCAGCAGGTGTGTATAACTTTGTAGCTTAGCTAGACTGTTCAGTAGTGAGTTGTCTGTGGGACATCAGCAGGTGTGTATAACTTTGTAGCTTAGCTAGACTGTTCAATAGTGAGCTAATGCCTCAGCTTTCGTATTTCAAACAACATTTCTTAACCTCAGGGGTTATCTTGCAAAATTCATGAAAAACTTTATTTCTTAAACATAGGATTGTAGTTTGAAAAACTAGAGCAGAGCTCGTTGCAAAGCAACGAGTAGGTCTTCCGTTGGAGCTGCGAACAGGAAGAAGTGACCTTGAGTCAAGGTCATGCCACATTCTAAGGTTATAAGCAATCTTGTAAGGGGTATCAACTTGCAATGTCTCACCAGTAGAAAGACAGTTAAGGAATGTTGTTTCTCCGTTGATGACCTTGAACTCGTTCAAATGACCTTGCATCAAACCATGACACACTCTGGTTATAAGAAAACCCCATCTATGTGTAACCGACTCGACAAGTTAACACATGTTCTTTCAGACCATTCATCCAGTCAAAACATTCTTTCCTTAGTGACCCTAAATTTAATCAACATGGCCGTAGGAACCGAGGGGGGCGTGCCCCCCAATAATTTTGCCGATATATAGATTACAATAGTAGACATAGATACTATAGCTTGTGCCACCTCAATAAAAACGTCTGATAACCTTCTTTTTTTTTTTTTTGCTTGTCAAGGAATATTTGGTAGTTGGTGACCTTTTTTTTTGCTTGTCAGGAAATTTATGGTAGTAGTGCCCCCTCAACTGTCAACTGAAAATGTATGGCTGTGCCCCCTCCCCCCCCCTCCCCCCCCCCCCCCCAAAAAAAACAACTGAATTTGCTTCCTATGTGCCTGATCAAGGCAATGATACACTCTGTATGATAATTATTCAGCGATACCCTTTTGTGTGTTTCGGAATTGACAAGTTCACAGTTTGCATTTATTGCATGATAGTGAGGGAGACATGAAGATTTCTTCGCCCATAAAAAATCATATTCCGCGAGGGTAACATGAAGATTTCTTCGCCCATGAAAAATCATACTCCCTGAAGGCAACGCCCGAGGGAAATATGATTTTTCATTTGTGAAGAAATCTTTATGTCTCTATTATGCAATAAATTGTTTATAATACCGAATTAACCAAAATGCAGGAATTACAAAGGAGATCCAATGAATAAAGCAAACATGCATTTGATGAGAACGATATGAAAGAGATGTAAGTTACAGGTACACCAATAGCCTCGTTTCATTAAAAAAAAATTCCTACGTGACAAGTTTGTGTGATCACACCAGTAACATTCAAACACCATTACATTTTTACACATTTAAATCGACACAATCAATCAACGATAATATGTTGACGGTGCGACTGTTGGGCGAGTGCATTGTTCACTTAATTTTTAGATCCGCCTCTTCAAACAGCACGAGACATTTGGAATGTCTAGACTGTGACGTCTCATGACGTATGTTAGCTGTACTTCCATAAACGAATTTTGAAAAGTGCAAACATTTTAACAAAGAACGTTTAATCTACTATCTGTATGCAATTCCATTAATTAAGGTGATTTTTTGGGGTGAATTTTTAGTTGTTGTTACCGCGCGAACGAAGTTAGCAGCGTCGCTATAAACAATCTAACTCCTCACTCGTTTAATTGTGACGTCACAATCGTGAAACACGACGTTTTGTTGCAGGGCAAACATGATGGACACGTGACTTTCTCGGCCAATCAAATTCTATTTTACTAGTGATTTTTCACTTGTAAGCTAGTTTTCACAGAGGTATAATAAACGTTTTTTTAGACCATACATCGAAATAAATTATCATAATTTCTATAGTCGTAATTTATTAGGTTCAACTCACTGCTTTAAAGGATCATCGTAAATGTTTTATGCCCGATTTGGATTTTTGAAACACTGATGCCCCCATATGGCATCTTATGGCAAAAGTTAAAGTTTCTCAAATGCAAGTCAAACTCCATGGTCAAGATCAAAAGATAAAAAAAATGTTATTACCCAAATAAAGGTCTTGAACAAAGAATATACTGTGAAATATATACTAGTATAGCAGCAACAGTTTAATGCCAAGGTTAATTTCTTTAAAAGGTCAAACTCCAAGGTCAAGGGATCATAATTGTTTGTACTTGAGGGAAGGTCTTAATTGTTACAAGGAATACACATATGGTTTTAAAAAAGCCTTAGCACCAACTGTTCAAAAGTTAAAACCAAGGTTAAAGTTTTTCAAAAGTAGGACATACTCAAAGGTCATGGTAAAATGGTCAAAATTAAAGGTATACAATGACAGGCCTTGTCACAAGAAAATTACCTATGTAATATAAAAGCCCTAGTACTAGTCATTCAAAAGTTATTGTCAAGGCTAAAGTTGTTTAAAAGTTGGTCAAACTCCAAGATCAAGGTCAAATGGTCAAACATATTTATACCCAAGGAGGAGACTTATCACAAGGGATACAGATGTGAAGTATAAAAGCCATAGCACCAACTGTTCAAAAGTTTTGGCCAAGGTTATAGTTTGGTAAAATTTTGCGAAAGAGGATCAAACTCCAAGTTCAAGGTCAAGAGGTCAAATATGTTGGTACCTGAAGGAAATCCTTGTTACTAGGAATACACATAAGAAATATGAAAGCAGTAGTTCCAACCAATCAAATTTTATGGCCATAGTTTTTTGCGGACAAAGAGGCTAACACAGTCTAACAGACAAATAGACAGGTGGACAGGACAAAAACTGTTTGCCCCCCGGATCTTCGATTACAGTAGCATAAAAAAAATGTCGGCGTCTTTGGGTTTTCGCATTGGCCTTAAATCTGAAAATCCAAAGGATCACAAGGTGCATTACGATACGCTTTCACATCATGTTCTATAACCCAGAGCATATTGTCTGCAAAGATAAATATTTATTTCAGTATCTAATTAGCTATGCATAATTATCTATGTTGTTTTAAAAAGAAAATATAAAAAAAATATTTGTTTTATATTTTTCGATGTAGAGATACGCCGAAAATGTTTTCCTATTTTAAGTCCTATCGCAATACATATTTGAAAGAAAGTGTGTGTTGGAGGGGGGGGGTCATTACATTTTTGCTGGGATTCGCCTATGTATGACCGTAGAGAAACAAAGAGTGGGGAGGGTGCAAGCAGCAACTAAATCAAAATTTACATATTAAAACTACAGCAAAAGACTATTTTCAGAAGGTCCCCCCCCCCCCCGGTACAATCCGTACAACGGACCTGTGAAAAAAATACTGATCCTACATTCAGAGTCCCAGGGCACCAGGAAAGAGTGGCAAAAAGAGAATATCGGTTTATTTCAGTCTATAAGTCGAATCAAAACATCTTTTCCTCAAGAGTCTTCTTTCTTTGAGTTCATCCCAGTGATCGTGTGATTTATTTCATTTATTTTACGTTCTGTACTGGACTTGGAAAATGAGGACATCTTTAGGTTCCTGAGCTGGCCTTGAAGCCCGCAGAACAGATTTTCTGCTTTATGATAAATTCAAGTGATATGTAATCCGGTATTAATTTTGTGTTGCTTTTTTTAATGTTAATTTCATCAAGAAATATGAAAAATTAATGTTTTAACTATACACAGTGAGGCATTTTTTGTGTGGAACGATTATCAAATGGGGTTTTCACGATTTTTTCATATGGTACACATGATGAGTAAGTGCAATAAATATAATTTGTGGAAAAAATGTCCAACAAGCCCCGGGGTTGAATATCGGGGGGGGGGGGGGGGGGGTGTCTGTCCACAAGTACCTTTTGTCAAGCCCGTAGAAAGCAATTTCAGTTTTTTTGGAGGGAGGGGGGCAAATAGAAATTTCCACAGGTACTTGTACTCGATTTTTTTTCTTATGGTACACATGATGAATAAGTGAAATAAATATAATTTGTGGAAAAAAAATGTCCAACAAACATCGGGGTTGAATTTGGGGGGGGGGGGATCCTGTCCACAAGTACCTGTGGAAATTTCTTGATACATAAACAGAATTTAAAAGCATGTATAAGACATCAATTGAAGGGAGAGGGCACGGCCGTAATTAAAAGTTATATAGAGACTAGGAAGGAATGAACTGTCATTAAATTTTGGTTAAGAACTATTACCTAAACTCTTCACTTTCACATTTTCAATTACAGATTCTTGTTTTTAAAAAGCTACACATGTACATTGATATGTATCTATTAGATGCATAAATTATGTTATTAATCATTTTATCTTAAAGGAAAAGTAAAAATCTCAATCAAACTTGTTCCGCATATTATGCTCTCTGATTCATTACTCAACAGATGCTTCATATACATAGACTGCAGACTGCAGGTGTGATAAATTCACAGCATGCAGCTCCAGCCTTAATTCCAACTTTGTTCCAAAATATTATTATTCAACGCGAAAAATTAGAATTAGCCGATAGAATATTTTGAATCACTTCGGAAATGCTGCCGTAACACCAGACTGAGTTCACAATATCGAGTGATTTTGATTGACAGGTGTAGCGCCGTTGTGCATGGATTTCGTGTAACTGCAGATTGTGGTTGAAAATAATAAACAAACAGATCTAAAGAAAAGATATTGTATACTGTACATATATTTGTTAAGAACCAGTTCATTCATGAAACGAATTTAGTCGTATTATGTGGGCCCATGTTAGATCATTTAGGGTATTCCGAATCACCCCGCATATCGCGACTCTCGGTAATTTACCTTACCGCTGTACCTCGCACGACACATGCACAGGTGTGACAACCAAACAGTCATTATTAGTAAGGTCTATACTTATTGCATACAACAAATAAAGAGGTAAACATAATGCGTTAACTAAAAGAATTAATTATTTTAATTCATTAACTTCCTACCCTTTTCGAAGAAAATGCCCGTGTAGAAACGTTGCATGGTATTTCTCATCGATGTCGTGGCGTTGTTGGTGGATGAAACATGGCATATAAGGTATCGATAGAACGGCAATTTTATAAGCTTTTGTGAGTATTATTTGTTTTTTATAACACCTCAAAAATATACTAGTTATGGCCGCATTTATAGCCCCCTATAGTTTCGAACCACGTGTGTACATGCCCCTAGCCAAATAAATTGCACACGCTACATGTATACTTGTTATATGTCAGATTATTATTTTTTTATAACATTGTTTTTCTTAAATGCAAGGGGTATGAAAGTAATGATTTGACAAAGCAAGAGCTATAATAAGACTATCCCGGGTCCCGGTATACACTTGATCAGTGTTGATCAATGTTGATATGTACGAGTACACGTATGCAGTGATATACGTCATTCTTGATAATCATGAAATCTAAACATGAGTTGGTTTAATTCCTTTTCACAATTTTTTTTTATCATCATTATATCATTATTTGGTAGCCTACTCGTAGAATTATGACAGTTCAATGTTAATTATTTGCATTAAAAAAATCACATAGGTAAAAAAAAAAATTACATAATTATCATGATTATATTTACAGGACAACAATTTACAATCAGGTAATTTCAGAAAGTAAATATTCTGTTGGTATTTGCTTTTCTGCATGATCCGCCTCTGAGAACGCTGTTTTATAGTGTTGTCTACAGAAGGGGGGGGGGGGGCTTTAATAACTTAATAAAAAAAAACCAACAACATTCAACAAGAAAATAATTCTTTTTATTTTTTGATACTTTTGGTAAACAATACCAACTAATTCATTAATTATAATGTTGTTATCTGACTGTTTTTAGCCATTTACCAGGTGATTCGAAATACCCGGAAGTGACCTGCAATACACTAAAAAGGTGATGTAAATATAAATCCCTGTCAAGGCCGCTGTATCGTAGATAGACTCGCCGTGTAATGTAGATTTGATTTTTCATTGAATTGGCTTTCCTTTAATACCAACCAACCATTTATAAACTTGTTAATAAAATCGTTTACCGTCAAAATGTAAAAAGTGATTCGGAATACTCTAAATGTACTCGTTATAAAAACAACTCATTATCAACTCAGTGGACCGATAATTTACTTCAAAATAAGCTATAGATCAATAAAATTGATTTCAGATTAACCAATATTTTGTTGCAAAGATAATGTAAAACAGAGACCGGGGATTTTGTATTTCTCTGTATTTTAAACACTCGATATGCGTACATTTGGGGCGCTCTTGCATATACATGTACACTTGTACATTCGAATTCATGATCGTGCTTATAAAAAGAGCATGTTCTGTACTTGCATGCATGTATGTATGTATGTATGTATGTATCTGTAAAACTTTTCGATTTTCCCGAGAATTCATCCTCACAATGTCAATTAAGGTTCCGAAATCACATGTGAGGATGCCGAGAATTGAAAAAGTCACCTCCACTTACAATTATCATGCATGTGTACATGCAGTTTAAAACACGAGACAGAAAAATAAATTGTTGCAAACTTAATGGTTAAGTCGGCAATTAAAATGCGTAAAACTTGAAATGAATAAATGCACGGGCGGTAAGGATTGATAAAAATAAGCGTGAGATAGAGTAAAATAAAATAATATGTAAGATTCGAAATGATTTCAAACCCAATTTTCCATTAATCGCTATGAGTACACAATGTATTTTAATACCGATATGACCCCGGCTCTCTGCGGCCACGTGTGCACGAAGACTGGGTTACAAAGCGACAGAGCAGAATGTAAACTGTGCTGTAAGAAGGCGTGAATTATTGTATGTTTAAAAGTATTATTTGATGTATATACATGTAGTTTAATATTTAATGAAAAATTAAATGAAGAAACAATTAAGAGACTGATAGTAAAAATTATACTTTACACAAGTATTAATACTTAATACTTCCATCACTAATTGCAATTATTTGCCTTAGCACCTTTTCAATTACAATTGAAATAGAATACAATTACAGGGGACAGAGAAATAAATTGTTTGTTTGTTTTTTATATCGTATTTCTGTGTCGACAGTGAACAGGCCGGAAAAAGCGATTAAAATTCGAAATGATTTTATGCACCAGTGTTTGAAATTAAGACTAAATCAAAGATGCAATTACACGGGACAGAGAAATAAATTGTTTGTTTTTTTTTTTGTTTTTGTTTTTTTAAATCGTATTGCTGTGTCGACAGTGAACAGGCCGGTAAAAGCGATTAAAATTCGAAATGATTTTATGCACTAGTGTTTGAAATTAAGATTAAATCAAAGATGAGATTAAGTTATCTTAAAGATTCAATATAAATTTAAAAAACACAATGTTTCATTAGTTGTTGTTTCTACACGATGGATTTAAAACGTGATCACAGTCTTCACAGATATTTGTTTTGTTTACATGGTTTATGACCGCAGGTGGCTGGTCGATGGTGACCTCGGCAACGTGGGATCGCGGGTTGTGTTACATAACTAAAAACATTTAGGTGAACATGGAGAAATGCGTACTGTTAATGATCATTAATTATTCGATGCTTAAAGTTTAATATTACTTATATAGTTATATAGATACATTTAATTCCTTCCTTTATTTGAAGACGTGTTCCCTTTAAATCTAAATTAAAAAAGAAAAGAAAGTTGTAAAGAATAATTTATGAGTGAACCACAGAACACGTTTAAAACCTTATTTAGAAGAAAATTAGCATTAAATACAGTAGGGTATATAATTTATTGCAAGTTTGTTGAAGTTATACACATGAAGAGTTCCGATTTACTTGCCGAATGAAAACGCTTACCTGTTTACGGGACCTGCTTTTTACCTACATATTACGACATATTACGCAATACTCGAACAAAACAACATTTGTATGAGATCAATAAGGTGTTAAAGAACAACTTTAATTCCGAAAGCCATATCGAAATATTTACCGTTTTTGAGTTATAAAGCGAAAACTTTCAAGGGCTCTAGATCCCTAATTTTAGGGGCCAGCCCCTTTTAAATGATATCAAATGAAAGCTCTTGCTATTATGCACAACTTTTATTCTACATGTTTTAACAAAATATTTTTAGTTTTAAAGATATAAAGGAAAATATGTCAAAATTTTTGCTCTTTTCCGCGTTCTAACTTTTGACCCCTCTCTAGCGCCATTTTTAATGCAAAAATCAAAAAACAAAAACCGATGTGCACAACTTCAATGCTTCCTCTTTTCAATTTCAAAGGGTTATGTGCTCCAATTATTACAGTCTCAGAGCCTTTGTCTGGAAACCAGAGGCATAAAAATTTCAATCAAAGGGGAATAACTCGTGAACAGAAGGTAATTTCCGAATTGTATTACAGTATTCTGAGAGTGTTTTGCAAAGTCTAAAAACTCTGAAAATTTGAACAAAATCCGTTCAGAAATGAGGAAGATATGAAGCTTCAAAGTTGGCGTCTATCAGAATCAGTAGAAGGTCTTCCGTTGGAAACGGAAGACCTTAATAAATTAACTGTTTGTGACATTCAGATATATACTTTATAAAGTGTAGACACATTGTATTGTATTCAGAATTGAAATGTTAAATTTTATTATGCCATTTGGGAGTTGTATTATCCTTCAAAACGGTTTTCAGACATTTTGGATGTGAATTACTGTATACAGGGTTATTTTCACCCCATGTTATTTTAGCCCTTTCACACTTGCAAAAAATTTTGCCCCATTTTAAATTCGCCCAGTCACAATTCTGTTTAACAAATTATACTACAATTTTTGAATTCGCTCAATTTTAAATAAGCCCACTTGTGTGTAGGATGAAAGGGATGAAAATAAAACAGGGTGAAAATTTCCTTGTATACAGTATATAGAATCCACAGCAAAAGACTCTTTTAAAACAGTGAGACTCCCCACCCCTTGATTCCCTAGAACTACAGGCTTGAGAATTGAGGAAAAAAAACATGAATATGATTAATTTGTGATCAGCAAATTGAAGAATGAATTGTCACAGTAATTACTGAAAGAATTTTTGGAACAATAAATGTAGGTTCCCTTTAATTTATGGGTCATTGAAAGATTGTTTATGTTTTAGATTACATATTACAAATAGGCTAAAACATTGAGTCTTGGTTTATATAATCAGTTTATACCTAAACATCACTGTTGTGATGAGTTTTCCACCAAATCATATAACTGAAGGATGATAAAAGGTTAATGTCTATAGAATTATATTTGGATAAAGCCAATCAGAGGTCAAAGTCAGATTTATTTTTTGGAATAATTTAAAGCTTTGTAAGTTTGGTAGTTGGAAATAATGCATGTATCTACTTTCTATTGTAGATATGGAAAAAATGGTGTAGAAGAATACAAGGTGAACTTGGTTCGCCTTTTTGACCGTTTAAAGGAGGTTGTGTCACCTGATTGTCTTGTCATCTGGAATGCCACTCTGCCCATCTCAAAAAATGTCCGAGGAGGTTTCCTGATACCAGGGGTAGAGTTCATGAATAGTACACTAAGACTAGATATTCTGGAGGCCAACTTTTATGCCCAGCAGGTGGTCGTGTCTCATGGATATGATCTTCTGGATCTTCATTATTATATGAGAAATCAGCTTCATCGCAGAGCTGGAGATGGTGTACACTGGGATCAAACTGCTCATCGTCGCATGACAAATTTACTCCTGACACATATATCAGGTAATAAAATGACAGGAATTTATGGGGGTCAGTTGTGTTGTACATCCTTTAATTCATAGCCTTTCACAAGGTTCAGGCCCCTGAGTGGAGTATACATCGCAACTTCGAAAAGTTTCTTCTTTAGTCATGGACATTTTGCAGCCAAACTGCTTTACATGTACTACAATGAGTGTCATGTTACCCTGTACCAACATTTTAAAGTATATAGCTCCAAGTTCCAGCATTCAGGCCCTATGGTGAGGCCAGTTGTTGGACAAACATCCAAATCTGGTCAAATGTGTCAACAATTAAAATATTTAATAAGAGAATTCAAATAAAATAGATAAGTTCTGCAGGGTTGCATATATCCTTTTAAACCTTAGGGGTCATTTGGGCCCCCAACTTCACATGTGTTACTAGTCCATATTGATATTTTGAGGCCACAATTTTCTCTTCTTTTAGTAAAAAGATCTTTTCTTATTATAATCCGAGAGAAAAATACTTTATTTTCTACAGTATTTCTTTTTCAATTTTTCCTGCGGATTTTGAAACCACTTGTATGAAATTCTATGTTCACTTCAAGGCATGTATTTTGAATTATATGTTTCTGTTGTAAAATTACAGAAAGCATTCTTTACCAACGTTCAAAGTGATAAAGTGAAATCAGAAAATGTCTTCTACATTCTTATTTCAGGAGGAAAATTAATGTAAATAAATCTGCTACTTATGAATAATACACAGTGCTACTTATGAATAATACACTGTGTGCATCTAAATAGGATATGGAAAACCCGCTACTGTTGATACATAAAAGGAAAATTAAATAAAATTTAAATTAAATATAAAAAATTTTCATACTTTAAAGGAAGCATATCATCAACACGATTCTGGATCTTGAAAGCATTTTATAGGAAGAAAACAGTGAAAATGAAAGTGCATTTAATAGTAGAACCAAACCATGATCTTTGGTCCGGAAAAAGTCTGATAAAATTTTTACTCGCCATGTGGGCTATAACATCCTCAAGAGTTGGTCGCGCACAGGCAAAATTACTCGCATTTGCAAATTGTCCCATAAATCAATAAACATGAGCTGTGAAATTCCTTATCATGAAGGAAAGTACAACAATCATTATTAGTATGAATTTTATATTCAAATTAAATATTTTTCAAGTCAAAATTTCACTGAAAAAATTTTAACATGAATACCAAATAATTGCTCTCTTTGCACTAATTTAAGGGCACAGGGTGCTTATTGGGGATAATGAGTGCTCAGGGTACTATCAAGATCCATGGGCCTCTCGTTTGTTAGTGTAAATCTGATGCAAAATTATCATACGTATTTTTCTGTTAATTATAGAGGCTTGGCGGCTGAAACTTCCAGGACGATCTGAAGAAATCAGACAATTAACAGAACAAGTTGGACAGGTTTTACCCAGTGACACGGGGAGAGTCCAGTTTTCTGGTGGTCATCAATATAGAAGAGGTTCCAATCATTTCAGGGGTTCTGCAAATACTGGTAGATGTGGAAATTTAAGAGAACCTGTTGTTGATTATCGATCTCCAGTAAGCAATCTGTACGCTAGTTCAAGGAACATGTGGAATTCAAATAACAATGTTCCATCTGAAACAGCTCCAAATCCAAACTCACATTACCAGAGAAGAGAAAAGGCAACAGGTACTTGCTACAAGAGATGCCAACAAGAAGAAGAGGATTATTATTACTGTAGACAGGAACAGTTAGGTGAGAGTGCTAAGTCAGAGGAGTTCCACAAAGATCTGCAGATTCCAACAGGTGACAGATTTCACATGATAGATATTAATTCCAACCTCTGTGCACCCTTTACTTGGAAGCCTTACAGTGAACAGAATATCCCAGGATGCAGTAAACCAAGAGGGGGATTCAATAGAAAGAAGAATCCATACCACATGAGGGAAAAAAAGAACAGGAAAGATTCAAGTTGTAACAAGAAGTTTTTGTAAATGTGTATTTGAAACTGTTGTATTTGAAACAATGTGGAAAGTTATATCTCAAAAGAAAAAGATATTTCTTAGAGAAAAGCATTTTTTTTTGTTTTGTTCACTGAACATGCTGAAGGTTGGTTACCTGAAAAAGTTCTTTCTTTCTTTTATTATGTGTTACATTTTCTGTAAACCATTGATATTTGAAGCAGAATAATAAATTTGCAAGTTAAAAAATCTTTGTCTTTGTTTTTAGCTGTTCTTGTTGAAAAGCAGAACAACTTGATCAATAGTAAAAGTATCCTATTCATGATCTTTCTGTAATCAGATTTTCTGACTAGTTCTGGTTGATTTCAGCAAAACATAGTTATACAAGATTATATCAGTATACATACTTAAAACACAATTATGGACTCGGATATTCAAGGAAGCCATGGTCGGACTGTTCTTCCGTTGTCCCCCCTCCCCGCTTCTGTTAAAATTTAGGGGGTATATAGTGATAGGGGTGTATGTCCACTACACTTGGGGGTGGCCGTGATGGCATTCCCTTGTCTGCTACTCCTCTTACACTCGTGAATGCAATTTAATGAAATTTTCACAAGATCTTAATTGCATAGTGGCATTGTACATCTATTTTACGTATCGATCCAACACATACATTGGAGTTTCTGCATAGCAAAAAACTGGACTTTGCCATTTTTTGGTCAACTGAGTCACTCAGATGACCTATTACATGTATTACCTGTTTTTGTCTGTTGTGACGTGCGGTGGTCGTAAACTTGAGAGCATTTTCAGCTTTTTCTCTTGAACTGCTGCACCAATTTCAACCAATTTTGGCATATAGCATCAATGGGTTAAGGGGTACAAGAATTGTGAATTTTAAATCCCCCCCCCCCTGGGCCTGAGGGATGGGGCTAAAACCATCAAAATTAGTGCTATCTTTTAAAGTCTTCTTTCTTCTTTACTCCAGGACATCAAGCAGTCAAACTTGGAATTATTGTAATAGGCCCAGTTTTGAAATTCAGGGCCCCAAGGTCAGGGGATCTAGTTTAAAATATATTTATTCATTACAAATGAAATATATTGAACAGCAGGCATATTGCCTATAATCGTTCTCTCCATAGGTCAAGGTACATATAACAATTATTGGTACATTTAACATTGAAAAGCAGTATATAAAATAAACCGTTAACTGGTACATGTATAAAGTGAATCCACAGAGATTGAGAGAGAGAGAGAGAGAGTAAATAGAAAGAAAGACCATAAAAAACAAAAAAAAAAAAACATAATAAAGTTGACTCAGAGTGGAAAAATTTCCTTAGCTTACCTCAAATGGGATATTATTCTTCCTAGCATATCATGATAAACTAAGATTTCAGTGAAAACCTCTTTGAGTTTCTTATAAAGGTATGTACATGATCAAAAAATGAAAAATTGTCTTCTAAACGTAAGGATTCGGCACCATATATTATATTATCTATATTAATTGGTATGTCATTCTCATTCATATATTCAATCAGCATCTGTCTTTGAAGAACATATTGTGGGCAATACATGAAAAAATGTAATGAATCTTCAGTTTGGTATCCACAATTTGTACATTTTGGTGAATCGTTAAGGTGGTCTTTAAAAAGATCATCATTAAGGTTACTACTATTTCTCAACTGGCAATGTAGTATATTTTCAATTCTATTCCCATAATTGTACAACTTGACTTTATTATTCTGGATGGGATTGGTGTAGGTTAATTTTTTTTTTTAATTTTGCAATGTAGGGGAGGTTCTACAATCATCAGGTAAATTATTCCATAAGGATATTGTGGATGGTACAAAACTATTATAGTAAGACACTGTTCGAGTTATTGGGATACGATATGAGTTTGGGTTGCGTAAATTATAATTATGCTGAATTGGCATACATCCTTCGAGCATATTATACATGTAATCAGGGGTAAGGTTATTAAGAATTTTGTACATCAGTGTGAGCTTATGCTTTTCCCTTCTTGAACTTAGGTTTTCCATCCCAACTCATTATATAGGTTAGTTTTGGATGTATTGCACCTAATGCCTGTAATTATTCTTGCAGCTTCCACCTGAACACTTTCCAGTAATTTGGATTGTTCTTCAGTGCAATTATCCCATACCACATCCCCATATTCTACAACTGGTCGAACAAATGATAAATTGACAAATGACAAATTGTTGTAATATGTTTGGACCACCCCCCATTAGACTGTAATGTCAACCCTAGATGACAGTGACTTTGATTCTGAGAAATACTATTCATTATGTTCCCAAACGAGATATTTGGGTGTACTCGTTGAGTTCTAGTAAAATTAACATTTACTGTCTTAGTAGGGTTAAATTCAACTAGCCATTGATGAGACCATTGCCTTATTTTTTCAAGATCATCAGTAAGAGATACTGCTGGGCTGAATGTGTCAGCATCTACAATAACAAATAAGGATGTGTCATCGGCAAACAGTCCTATTTGATTTTGTATGTTTTCAGTTATATCATTGATATAGATAAGGAAAAGAAATGGACCTAAAACTGACCCTTGTGGGACTCCAGCATTAACGCTTTCCAATCCAGAGGAGTATCCTTCTAACACTACCTTCTGGACTCTATCACAGAGAAAATTCTCAATCCAACTTAAGATATCACCTGTGAAACCATACTGTTGTAATTTATATAACAGTCCTTTATGCCATACTTTATCAAAAGCCTTAGATATGTCACAAAAGACAAATCTTACATCTTTACCTTGATCAAGATTTGATATAATTGTGTTATAAATTTCAACAAGTTGATTAACAGTGGAGTCACCTGGCTGGAAGCCTGACTGGTTCTTAGAGAGAAGATTGTGATTAAACATATAATTGTACAGATATTTAAATACAATTTTTTCCTTGATTTTACACAGACTACTAGTAAGTGAAATAGGTCTGTAGTTTGCTGGATCTTCTGGGCTCCCTTTATTTTTGAATACAGGTGTTATATCCGATTGCTTCCAAATATATGGTATTTTATTAGTTTTTAAGGAGAGATTGAATAATTTAGTGAGTGGTCTGCTAATGGCAGGAATTATATTTTTTAATACTTGTGGTGCAATTCCATCAGGACCAGGAGGTTTTGATATGTTTAAATTTTCGAGTTGATCAATAACATCTTGAGTTGAAATACTTATGGAATCTATAGAATATGGGGGACCAGGTCCTTGAGGGGGCAATTGGGGTTCTCTATAATGTTCAATATGAGAAATCTCTGCAAAATGTTTATTCAGTTGGGTAGCCTTATCAATGGGATGGATGAAAATACTACCATTAAATTTCAGTGGTGGGGTACTTTGTTTTTATTGGCAAATTTAGTTAATGATTTCACAATTCTCCACCATTTACCAGGAGGAATAGTTTTGTCTAAGATTTGTGATGTAATCTTTTGTTTGTAAGTATCCTTAGCCTGTCGTACCATAGTTATAACTTCGTTCCTTAGACTCCGATATTTACTCCACTGATAATCGCTGTTACAAATGTAGTCTTTTTTGCTTTATAATGTACCCTATTTCTTTGTCTCATTTTACGTCTAATTGAACTTGTCATAAAAGGTTTATCAGATGGGCGAATTACAACAACTTTTTTAGATATGTTTTTGTCAACATGGTAATTATATACTCTAGTAAAATTGGTATAGACTTCATTAATGTTTTGAGTATTAAAGACCTCTCCATCCCAATCCACGTCTGAGAGGTTTTTATTAAGTGATTTATAATCAGCCTTTGAGTAATTTCTAACTACTCTTTTATATGCACATTGTTTAAATGTTTTGAATTTAACATCAACACCCACTGGACTATGTGTGCTGCAAAATGGGGTTAGCACTACCACTGATTCAACTTTTTCAGTATTGTTTGTAAGTATAAGGTCAATGCATGTTCCCTTTTGTGAAGTAAAGTTAGTTGGCTGGTTTATTAAATTTGTTAAGGAAAATTTATTTAGTAAACTTTTAAATGCATTATTTCCCTTAGACATCATATCAATATTAAGGTCGCCTAATAGAAATACTGGCAAATTGGTGTTAAGGGCATTTTCTAAGGAAGATGCAATAGTCAATAAAATCTGCCTTAGAGTTTGGTGGTCTGTATAATACTCCTACTAGAAATTTATTTGTAGAATTTTGAATTTCAGCCCATAACATTTCAATGTTTTGGTTAGAGAGATCAGATCTTTGAGTAAATTTAAGATTATTTTTAACATAAAGAACGACACCCCCTCCATATCTGTTACGATCTAACCTAATTGGTGTCAGGGGATCTGGTGATAGGGAGCACAGGTACTTGTGGACAGGACCCCCCCCCCCCCTCCAATATGCCCCACAGGTCAAAAAATATTTTTTTGTATTTTTTTCATAAATTATTCTTCTAGTACACATTTACAATGTATTCCATAAGAAAAATCCAAAAAATAACGCAGAATTAACGTTTTACTAAAAAATCATACCCGCGGTATTATAAAATAGCTCTGTCCACAAGTACCTGTGATAGGGAGGAGCTCTAATGATCATATATTGAAAATGCATAAATTCCTTGAAAATCTTCTCTCCCCCTGTATATTTAGTTGATGCACAATTATGGTCAGAAGGGTGCCTATTCCATAATTTTGAAATTTGTGGCCCCAGGGTCAGGGGTTCTGGTGTGTGTGTGTGTGTGTGTGGGGGGGGGGGGGCTCCATTCTCTTCTTCTCTGCTCCTGTGTTTTTAGCAGATAAACTAAGTACATATCTATGGTGAACAAGGGTGCTTGTTTGAAAATTGTGAAATTTATGGACCGAAGGTTGGGGGTTCTGGGGAGGGAAGGGGGCTCTATTGATTATAGTTACAGTGAAAGTGCATTATTTCTTTGAAAATCTTCTCTACGACTTCTCTGCAAACAAAGTAAGTGCATAGTTATGATGAAAGAGGGTGCCTCTTCCAAAATTGTGAATTTCATGGTCCCGGGTTCAGGGGTTTTGGTGTTGGAGCAGGGCTTTATTGATTATTTAGTGAATAGGCATTAATTCTTTGAAAATCTTCTCCGCCCTGTGTATTTAGCAAACATACTTAGTGCATAGTTATGATGAGCAAGGGTGTCTCTTCCAAAATTGTGAATTTCTCTGTCCCTGGGTGTAGGTGCTAGAGTGGATTTATATTAAATAGCAGTCTACTGAGAGAAGTTATTCC